AGAGTGACATTCCTCTAGGGACTCAACTGCCTTGATGTTAATACTTTGCTATGGGCAACAGGCCCCCAGGATCCTGTAATTCTATTTTAACATATAAAAAGGAAACTTCCTTTATCTCTACCCCCTCCCCAAGATGCGTGTTGGCAATCATCCCCCAAGCATATGACCCACCGATATACATCTAAAGGGCCTCATGACTCAGGTTTTATTAAACAGTAATAAACGACTTTTTCCCAACAATAGCTAGCGCCCTCAAGGTCCTGGAAACCTTGCTTCCAAAATTCCTTAGGGACTTACACTATCCCTAACCCCCTCCCAACTTGAAAGTATATAATGGGCCACTCCTCATGACCCCACCGCAGCTTTCTGCCCACAGGTCCTGTCCCCGTGCTTTAATAAAACCAACTTTTGCACCAAAGATATCTCAAGAATTCTTTCTTGACTATCGGCTTCAAACCCTAACGTCTTTCCTACATCAATTAACACAAAATTGGTCATCACACGTAACTTCCTAAGATAATTCAGGCATTATTTTCTACTTTACAGATTTTTCTTTTCCCTCTATCTCCACTCTTTTTGCCTCTATCTACAGAACATGCCAGAAAAAGGACATGAAGAAAATGTTATCTAAAGAACTGTCTAGGCTTCAGATAGGCAAAAATATTGCCACGATTGCCATCTGCACAGGTTACAAAGCACCTTCATGCCATCTCCTCATTTGACACAAAAGCCTGAGAAGAGCAAAAAACTCAGACTGATCTAGTTTCAATGGAGAGCAAGTCTACTCTGGATAAAATGGTCACAGCAGCCACAAAGAAATTATTTACCTGACTGCAGTAAGGATGAGCAGAGAGCAAAATCACTTCCGAAGTCCCCGGCTGCCTAGCACTTGATTCAGCCCACACACGTGAGGCTACACTTCATCCCCTTGACAAATACTGAGTACCACCACGTACCAAGCACGGTGCCATGCAGTCATGAAGAAAAGGTAAGAAAAGCAGACATGAATGGTCCTGCCCTCATGGAGCTTACAGTTTAGGGGGGAACACAGACTTTAAGGAAATAGTCATGGAGATGAATGTAAAGTTTCAACTATACATGCTAGAAACACAGGTACACAGTGCTACACAGCTTGAAAAACAGGTAAGAAAGTCAGGATAGTCTTCCCTTAGAGAAGTGACACTTGAGCTGGGACTGAGGACGAGTTCCTGGCACAGAGACAGCACATACTAAGACGAAATATGGTGAATGTGTACATGAGATTCTACGAAGCTGTGTGTGGCTGGGCTCCCTGATCTCTCTGCAAAACAGTAACAGAATCTAGCCTGTGATGCCACTTAAGAGTCCCATAAATAAATGAAAGGATTGCTTCACACCAAAATCTTAGAGGCTTATAAGCACTACCCAAGATCAGTCCTAAACCATACCTTGGTAAGTGACACACTTATTTTGGGGCTCTGATAAAATAGTGTATTCACATATACTTCCAAGTTTAGCAGGTTCTGGAATTTGGGTCTCAGCTGAAGAAGGCCAGAGAGGGCAATCACACCTACTTGAGCCCTGTCATCCTGACACTAATAACGTCTTTCCTACATCATCTCCGACCTCCCTCCCTATGACTATGATGGCACTGCCACTGTAGTAGGTACCAAATGGGCTATATGCCCAGGACCCTTTTCCCTGGGAATGGACTCCCCAGCCACATGGTTTCAGGGGAAACAGCCATCTTTGTGAAACAGAGCCCTGCCACTCACTCCCAACTCACAGAATTTAGATAGAATTACGACTAAATGTGGCATCTCACCTGCTTGCTCTTTTGAGTGACAAATCTCGGAAGCTGTTGGTATTTTCTATTCTCAGCTATATGGAGAAGAAACAGAAAAATAACCAAATATTTTGAATGTAACAAAGAGCAGTAAAGCAGAGAAGAAAATCTCCACAGCAGTCCAGGCTCAGGGACCCAGCCCCTTCCTGAGGCCCAGGCACTTCCTGTCCTTGGAGGTCTAAGGTACCCTTGCATCCTTACCACAAACTCCCCTTCCTCTGAAGCTCCCCTCCAAGGGTCCGTTAAGCACAAGCAAGAGTCCTAACCACATGGACATAAGAACTTAACATGCCTAGTGTTTTTCTTCCCATCTTTTCAGTACCCTGACCTGTTTCTTGAAGTTCTCATATCCACTTTCTATCACCTCTCTGCTAACTGCCTCAAAGCCAGTCACCCTGTTTTTTAAATCAGGCTTAAAACACAAACACACACAGCACACACACACTTCCTTCCTTATATACAGAGCAGATCTGAGGCAGGTTTTGAATTTCAAATATAATTCTCATGGATTTATTCATCACAGTAATGAGCTGTGGATGAGTGAACGTCTCAGAAACTAAAAGCCCCCTTCAAATAAATAAAGGAATCAAGATCCACCAAGTGTAGGGAACTGCCCTGAAAGTCCTAACAATTTCTACAGGCAAAAAGTAATACATTTCACTGGTAAACACTACAAGAGAGCACAGAGATTACAGAGTTGGAAGTCTTATTATCCACTCCCCAACTCCTACTCTTCAGAGGTAAGTTAATCTTTCAAGACGTTTTCGACACATAACCGAATTTATCTGCTGTTTCATCTTTCCCCTACACAGACTGCACTACACAGGCTGTCTTCACTTAACTTGCTGTGTATCCTCTGTCTTAAATGGTGGTAACTCCTAACTTCAAAGGATTGACAGAAATATTAAATGAGTTAATACAAAGTGCACAGAGCTGGAACAGCATGATCTTTATTATGACTGGAGAATAAATTCTTTCTAGTCCAATTACTGTATCGGGATGTATACATTTTAAATTTTGATAGATAGTGTCAAACTGCCCTCCAAAGACATTGCAACAAATTATACTCCCACCAACAGTACATGCAAGTGCCTGCTTTCTTACACTACAGTCAATGACCATTCTCACACTAATTTTTAATCACTGGAGCGGAGTGTGAGACTATCCATGTCAATGCAAGAAGCACTGACTTCCATAGCCCAAAGTTAACAAAACAGTCAATTAAAGTTCTAAGTGAAAAAAGGTGAGACCACATTCAAGGCAAGGGGTCAAAGAGCTGATTTCTAAGGGAAAGCTCTGTTCACTAGAAGATTTATCATATACCCACGCCAGTCTCAGCCCTAATCCTGACTCCACACTTCTGACTCATGTTTATCTCTGACTTGATTTCCCATCAGCCTTTCTTGCTTATTCTGTGTGGCCACACTAGCTACCTGGTTTCTGTCCATCAACCAGGAGGTCTTCGGATTTTCTTATAAATGAAACGGAAAGTCAGTGGAATGTTCTGAACAGGGAAAAGAGAACAGACCTACATTTTAAAAAGATCTCTTCTGGGGGTTCCTGGCCAGCTCAGTAAGAAGAGCATGTGACTCTTGATTGTGAGTTTGAGCCCCTACGTTGGCCTTAGAGATTACTAAAAAATAAATACATGAACTTCAAAGAATGGTATTTGGCATTCCTACTATCATATAAAACATAAAAAGATCTCCCTGGCTGCGGGTGTAGACACGGCACAGGAAGAAGGACGGAAGAAAACAAGCCACTGCAGTTACTGCAGGAGTCCAGTCAAGCGATGATGGAAGCGTGGACTAAGATTGTCGGAGAATCAGTGACGAAAAGTGTCTAGGTGCCAAGGTAGAGCTAACAGGATTTACTGACAGACTGGATGTGGGATGCAAAAAGGGAGGAATTAAAGTTAATTACCGGGTTTGGGGTTTGAGCAACCTGACCAATAAGAAAACCATTTACAGAAATGGCAAAGATTAGGAGCTGGAGCACGAATTACAAATTCTGCTTTGGACCCATTAAGTTTTAGGTACCCATTGGGCATTTAGTGCTCTTAGGGATCATTCAGTCCTAATTATTCACTCAACAATTATTAAGTATCTAGAATGCCAAGCAGTATGGTAGGAGATATTCTGGGGAAAAAGGAGCCCTGTTCAATGAGAACCCACCGCCAGGACTCGGTGAGTGGGGCAGGGTCGGGTGCCCGGAGGCAGAAGATACAGCTTAGCTGAGATCTAAACAAGGACGGGAAAACGCTGCAGGATGAACAGCATCGGGTTCTAGACAAAACGGACAGCAGGCCTTCGAGAAACGGAAAGAGGACCGCTGTGAGTGAGGCAGGCAACAAGAACCTGGCTGCAGACCGGGCAGAGAATAAACCGCGGGCCCTTGTTGTATGGGTTTGGGGCTTTAGCCGAAGAACTACAGAAAGCCACTGAGGAAAGTGTTGCGGTGGGTTTTCCTGGAGAGGTGGGAGGGGGCCGAACCGGCGGAAGAGACTTCTGAGAATCATTTGTGGCTGCAATGTGTAAAAGACTCCAGTGGAACCCGAGGTAGGCACTTTTATCATCTCCAGTTTCTGCTTACAGACCCTCAGGTACTGGCGGTCGCTGCTCCGAGCAGCTCAGTCACACGGTTTTGGTGGCCAGAAAGTTTTTTCCCAGATATAAAGCCAACTGGGGTCGCGTGTGCGTCTCACCTCGTCGACGCTCTCGTCGTCTTCATCCTCTTCTTCGTCACTGTCTCCATCGTCTTCGTCCTCATCCTCCATTTCCTCTTCTTCTTCTTCCTCGTCGCGCTGGTCCGGGACGCCTGAAGGCTGCGGAGCCCCACTACCCACCGCACGCCGCTTGGGCCTGGACGCCATGTTGCCGGCCTCATTGCGCCTGCGCAACTCCCACCAGCCCTCCCTTCCGGACCCACCCACACAAGCCGAGGGGGGGTGAGAGAAGACGGACATCCTCGGCGCTGAGTCGGGGTCAACCCCAGGGCCCCCGATGGATTCCACGGCCATGATCTCTAGGGGCCAAGTCAAGTTTGAGGTCCTATTTTGGCATATTCTTCCCCCTTTCCATCCTCCTTCAGGCTCTCCGACGCTCCTCCTCCCCTTCGCTCAGTGGTTCGACCCACCTCGGCCCACCCTCCCCGGGCCTGCGTGTCTGTGCGCATGCGCGCGCTCCAGCTGTGAGCGGCTCGGGCTCCGGGACCCCGGGCCTCCGTGCCGCTGCCGCGCGGCCACTCACCAGCTGTTTCCATGGCAGCAGAGGCCACGTGGTGAGGGGGCCGCCCACCCGGCTCCGCTCTCCGGTGGCTGCACCGCAGGCTCGTTGGCACTGCGAGATACCGCCCCCGACAGGGCGCCCTCCGAGTGCTGGGCAGTGGCCCAGCGCCTGGCCTTTCGGGCCTGCGCAGCCCAGCGAGGTAGGTGTCGCCGCCCGCGGTGCCGACGATGACACCGAGGCCCGCGGACGCGCAAGGCCAGCCTGCGGCGCTAGCTGGAGCGAGCCGAACCCCGAGGCCGCTGCTGGTCTGGGCGGGGGCTCTGGCCCGGGGGCAGCGATCGACCCCGAATGGAAGGTCGCCGGGCTCAGGCCCCCCTGCACCGTCGGTGGCACGGCCTGGCCCGCGGTTGAATGAATCTCCTCCGAAGCCCTGCCCCAGCCGACGCTCTTTACGCGCATTTCTTGACCTGAAAGTTTCTTTAAGATAGGGGTTAACCTTAAATGCTTCAAGTCCAGTGGGGAAATCTGAACTACACAGCAGAGCCTACTTGGAGAGGAGAGTGGAGGGGGCTGTGGTCAGCTAGAGAGTGCAGCCAGTTGTGGCCGAGGGGACATGCTGGCCTAGTGCCCTCAGATCTTTACATTCAAGAGAACCTGGAGTTCCACAAGATCGATCCTGATTTTTAACATCTGTGCCAAATAAAATTCAGTCCCCAGTCAGCTGTATCCCACGGGCAACCAGTATGCAGCCATTCATTGTAAAGACTATTTGGAAAGAAAGTCCTTAATTGAAGAAGACATCAACTACCTGAGAAGGAGGTCTATGGTTTAACTTTTCTTTTCCCCCTCTGTAAAATGAGAAGAGTGGGTTGTATACCTCTGATTCTAAAAATGGAAGGAGCTGCCCTGTGTAGGGAAGCGGCTGCAGCCCAGAGGTTTAAGCAGAAACCTGATAACCTCTTCTCAGTGACCCCTCAGCGGCAGGAAATGGAGTCAGGGTAAGGTAAGGGTCCCCCGAGGCGCCATGATTGTGTTCTGTGGGTCCCGCCCTTCCTGAGAAGCTCCGCTAGCAGGCCACAGCCTGGATATTGATAGACATGCATATCCGGGATTCACATCTGTTGGGGTAGTTCTCCTGCTCATACCCCTGCCTGTCTCCTGTTCGTGGCTTCCTCCCATTCTTGCTGCGAGGCAGGTAACAGAAGCAGGGAGCTTTCAAAGTGGTCCCAACCTATCAACGGAGTTGCACTCAGACATCTTGGATAATTTTCTCTGTTTCTTTATACTTTCTTGTAGTAAAACATACACAACACAATTTACCATTTTAATCATTTCTAAGGATTAAGTTTAGTGGCAAAGTATATTCCTTTGTTGTGCATCATTTGTTGTGCAACAGTCACCACCATCCCTCCCCAGACCTTCGTCTTGCAAAACTAAAACTCTACCAGTTAAACAGTAACTCCCCATTTCCCCCTTGCCCAGGCCCTGGAAACCATGATTCTGTTCTCCGGCTCTATGAATTTGACTACTCTAGGGGAATCCTATAATTTTTGTCCTGCGATTGCTTATTTCACTTAGCATAAAGTCCTCAAGGTTCATCCATGTTGTAGCATGTGTCAGAATTTTCTTTTTAAGGCTGAATGATATTCCGTTGTATGTATATATCACATTTTGTCTATCCATTCGTCCGTTGGTGGACACTTGGGTCGCCTCTACCTTTTGACTATTATGAATAACACTGCTGTGAACTTGGATGCACAAATACCTGTTTAAGTCTGTGCTTTTAAATTTTTGGGTGTGTATACCCACAAGTGGAACCGTTGGATCATATGGTAATTCATTCTGTGTTTACTGTTTTTTGAAGTACTATACTTTTTTGTAGTTTGTTTTTTGAAGAACTATACTTTTCTGTAGTTTGCAAATTTTCCAGGGAGCTTGTATTGCTTTAATAGGAGATCGGGGAAAAGCCTTACTTTGTGTCCTCAGACTAGCTCCCAGCGTTGAGTGAATGGTCAGAGTGGGAAGTAGCATGGAGTATCTGGCAGGAGCTGAGAAGTGATGGCAGTGCTTAAGGAATGGGCATGGGCTTCAGACGGGGATTGAATCCTACCCCTCCACTCACTGTGCTGCTGTGTGACCTTGGGCACCTTGCTCAACCCTTCAGAGTTTTGGTTTCCACTTCTGTGAAGTAAGGATACCAATACCTACCCTTGCTGGTTTAAATGAGGATTGAGATCCTGCAACGTAAAATGCTTAGCCCCGTAAATAACAGAGTAAGTAAGCGCTCACTAAAAAAGGCCGGCTGGTGCTTAGTTCTCCTTGTTGCTAAAATTCAGGAGCTTCTGCAAGGTGGGCAAGGCAGAACAAGGTACACCAGGAGCTTCAAGGAGTAAGTCATGCCAAAGAACCTTGCTCGGTTGCTCCCCAAGTGCATTGCATGGCATTCTTTGACTTGCTGTTCATCTGGAACTCACCTCTCGGTGCCTACCTTGGTTCTGATATCTCCCATATGTGTGTACTGGGGAGTGGGGAGGTGCCTCTGGAACCTCTCTCGACCCCACTGCCTCCCTCGCCAGTCATAGCCTCGTTTCTCTTCATAGCAAAACTGAGATTCTCCACCTCTTGTACCTACATCTTTACCCCCGCTTTATTCTGTGACTTACTCTGTTATGGACTGAATTGTGTCCCTCCAAATTCATATGCTAAAGCCCTAATCCCCAGTGTGAACTTTATTTGGATATAGAGCCTTTGAAGAGGTAATGAAGAGTGGTGCCTGGCTGGCTCAGTTGGTAGAGCATGTGACTCTTGATCTCAGGGTCCTGAGTTCAAGCCTCATGTTGGGCGTGGCACCTACTCTAAAAAAAAAAAAAGGAAAAAAGAGGTCATAAAGATTAAATGAGGTCATTGCGAGGTCAAGCCCTATCACTATATCCATTAGGTGGAGCCCTAATCCTCTAGGTCTGGTGTCCTTAGAAGAAGAGGAAGACACCAGAGGTTTCTGTCTGCACAAACACAGAGGAGAGGCCATGGGAGCACACAGCAAGAAGACAGTAGTCTGGAAGCCAGGAAGAGAGCTCTCACCAGGAACCAAACATGGTGGCACCTTGACCTTGGACTTCCAGCTCCCAGAACTGTTGGCAATGAATGTCTACTGTGGAAGCCCACATTTCTGTGGAATTCTGTTATGGCATGACTAAGATAAAAAGTATCATTCTGGTACAAAAGACTTAGTTTAATAATGCAAACGCTTGAGAGCAAAACCAATCTACCCACTGCAAATAGAGAAAATGTTTCTTCTCGGTTCTACTCTGTGGTTGTCTTAGATAATAAAATTGATGGCTTCCGGATAATGACTGTTAAGAGATTCCATGAGATGTGCTGCTGCACTTGACAAATAAAAATCAGACTACCACCCTTATTCCTTCTCTGCCATGGCTCAAAGCACCTCTAATGCAAAATTAAGAGGAACCATTGCTGGTGATTCTTTTCCCTGCTAGAGCCCCATGTCATCAAGTTCAGTGAGAAAGAAATCACTTGATAAGTGTACAAAGATAGTCATGCTCACACATTACTAATTTTCTTAGTAATTGAAGATTTAAAGTTAATGTTTTTAGAATTGATTCCCCCTAATTGACAGGTACTGTGCACCGTACTATTAGCACATTCAGCCCAGGGCAGAATCTAAGGGCTCAGAGAAAGGTCTACAGGTGATGGGGGGTGTGGGGTTTGGTTTGGAGAGTCCCAAAAGGTTCTGCAGAGCCAAAGGGTCTGCAGCAAAGGCCTGGGGACTAGGCGACGGACCCTGCCCTTAGCAGAGGAAATACTCACCAGGGGAGGACTGGCTCATGGGACAGCCAAGGTACGTGTGTTTCTAAAGGCACATATATGGATGACATCAGCCAGCCGCCTTGCAAGTGAGGAATGACTTCTGTCCCAATGGCTTTCTCCAGTCACAGGAGTTTAGACAGTGGCATTACTGCAGCTTCTCACAGACCAAGGAAAGGTCCAGAACGTTCACATCCACACCCCAGCCAGCGGGGAGGCAGGGGGGAAGAGTAGGCGCATGGCACTTCCCTCTCAGGGCAGGCCCTGCAAAGTGTGCACATCACTCCCACTAACATCCTGGGGGCCAGAAGCTAGTCCCCTGGCCACATGCGGCATATGTTTTTATTTTGGGCAAACGCGTGCCTTGTTACTAACGAGGGATTCCATTTCTATGAGTGAGAAAGGAAGGGTGGGTATTTGGGGGCAACTGGCAACCTCTGCCCCCCCCGCCCACCATCCAGGTAAGACTTCCAGTTATGCTTGCAGAGCATCTTGACTTGTTTTCATAGCACTTATCACACTGAATGTCATCGTTTTTATTTGTAAAGTGTCTATTTTACCCTCCCGTAAATACGAGGCAGGAATCCTATTGTATCCCTAGTGCCTAGGACTCAGTAATGGTCTAGAAATACTTGTTAACTCACTGATAGGATTACGCCGTACAAACCCCAAGTTTAGGTGGGATTCGAAGAAGAAAGACTTTCACCTAGTCCCAACTGTCAGGCCATGGACACAGACGGTTTCATCCTGAATTACACCGTGTCCTGTTAACCTTGTCGGTAGGAATCCCTGATCCAGCCCCTTCCTAACGGCGCCCCTGCCTGTTCATCCTCACCTCAGCAGCCGGAGACCGTTCTCGGGCATGTACACCTTCGCCGCCAGTCCTGCTTACACTTGTCCGTGGATTCCCATTTCTCATGGTGTCCAGGTCCACCTGTCCTTCCCACCGGAGCCATGCGTACCCTTCTCTCCTGGGAACGTGCTCAGCCCTTTCCTGACATTTGAACGTTTCTCTTCGCTGCTGTTGTCATTCAGATCTCAACTAAGATGCCACCTTCTCAGAGAGGTGGCCCTGGACGGGCAGCCAGCTATCAGCACCCAGTTTATCCCTCCCAGCACTTGGTAGGACTTGAACTTGTGCCCTGCCCCCAATACATAATGCAGTCCTAAACTCTCCGAGGCAGATTCCAGGTGCCACTGCCTGAGAACAGCATTAGAAACACTTGGGAGACATTGGCTTCTGGGATCTGAAAGCAATACTAACCTATCCTTTGAAATCTTGGGGATACGCATCCCAGAGCCTCGAACCATGGCTGGGCCAAGGTGGGGCTGAGGTCTGAGGCCCAGGACCGACTGCTTCCAACATGCTCCCACCTTTTAATCCCCACAATCCTGGCTTGTTTTGTGGGCCTGGAAACATTTGTGTGTTAACAGAAAATGCTAAGTTTTACCTGCCACTCATCTCAGCCCCTTCTGGGGCTCTCGGGATCAGTCAGGGTTCAACCAAAGAAAGAGCCGGTGGGGGATATGGATTAGGACCTGCTGTAAGGCACCGCCTGGTGCACCTGTGGGGCTGCTGGGCAAGTCTGAGACCCCGAGCGCAAGCCGAGTGCAAGCCGCTGAGAAGGCAGGGCGGCCTGGGCAGTGGAGGAGGCTGTGGCCACAGCTGGAATTTCTTCCTCGGGGAAGCCTCGGTCCCACTCTTAAAGGCACTGTCTGGAGGGGGCCCCCCCAGATTATCTAGGATAGTCTCCCTGGCGAAAAGCCACCCGATGATAGAATTTATCCTCTCTCCAAAATACCTTCACAGCACCATTTGTGAAGAAATGGGGACTGGAGCCTCGTGGGGTTGACTGACAAACCTGTGCGTGCCCATCTCAGAAAGGCCAGTTCCTAATTTCTGTGTGAGACACATTCCAAGTAATTTCAGGAAATGATAGGAACAATACTGCCCATTTCCCCAAAGCCCCAGTCTCTCTGGCTCACAGCTCGACAGCAGCAGTAATTAGAATTTGATTTCATGATGATTATTTGTTCACCCAGGGTTGGTTGCTTAGATACAAAGCAATTCATTTTGAGCCAAATTTTCCTAAGACGTCCCGTAGATATTATAATGTTCTAGAAACCTATTCAGTAATAACTCACAGGTAATGGCTCCCAGAGTTAACACATTTCTGCTCCAAACAATACACGTGTTTTGACTATTATCAACCACTGTATAATATTTAGTAAGTGACTAGCTGCTGTGCCTAATGCTACTTACAGGATAGTAATACACATTTCAGGCAGAGTTTATTCTGCAGGTCTCTAGCAACATTTATTTTGAGGCCTTTGGGGTGGTCATATTAAATTCTTCCCCCCGATACAAAATAATTTAATGTTTATTGTAAAAAAAATGTGGATAATACACAAAGAGGTAAACAAGAAAATAATCACCCTAACCTGCCACCCAGAAATAATTATTAGTAGTATTCTGGTGCATATTCTTTCATACATATGCATATATAAAATTTATAAAACCATACTATGCAGGCATCCTACTTTTTTAACAACATTTTGTGATTAAATAATCCGTGTAATTAAGTTATTTTATTTTAAAGATTTTATTTATTTATTTGAGAGAGAGAGAGAATGAGAGATAGCACGAGAGGGAAGAGGGTCAGAGGGAGAAGCAGACTCCCTGCCGAGCAGGGAGCCCGATGCAGGACTCGATCCCGGGACTCCAGGATCATGACCTGAGCCGAAGGCAGTCGCTTAACCAACTGAGCCACCCAGGCGCCCCGTGTAATTAAGTTATTAATGAATATTTTAATGATTTCATATAACTGTACCATTCTCTCACTGTTGGACATTTACTTTGTTTCCCACTATAAATACCAGGATATCATCTTACAACTAGAAGAGGAGTAAGTCCTGGAAATCTAATACAAAACAGTGATTATAGTCAACAATACTCTTTTACAAACTTCCAAGTTCCTAGGAAAGTTGATCTTAATTGTTCTCACTGCAAAAAAGAAATAATTATGAAGCAGCGTGGTAGAGGTGTTAACTGAGCTACTACTGTAGTAATCATACTGCAGTATATAAATGTATGAGATGAACAGCTTAATAGCTGAAACCTACACAGTGCTGTATGTCAAATATACCTTGGTTAAGAAAAAAAAAAGAATACCAGGATCCAGGATGAACATCTTTATGTCAGTCTTTGCACACTTTTATGAGTATTGCCTTAGTATTTATTCTTAGAAGTGTAATTATAGGATGAAAGAGTATGAAGTATGCAAGGCTTTTGAAACATCAACAAATTCTTTTCCAGGTTGTTAGACTAAGTTTTGAAAGAGATCTCATATTTGACACCATTTATAAAACATCATTTGAGAGGTAGAAGGGTCAATATGATTATTTCCTAAAGAGCTTATGAACTACTTAGTACATTTATCTTGAGATGGAAGTAATTCTTTATTTCCTTAAAATAATTTGTCTATTTGTTAATGATACAACCCCAAATTTGTATCACTCCTCTTTAGGAGCCTTAAATGTGTGCCCAGGACATGGGCTTTCCCTAATGGCTTTCATCGGCCTTTCCGAGTGGTATCAAGTGCCCGCATGCTGTCACTTGGCCTTATCAGTGGCAGGGGCTTCAGAAGGAACAAGCCCATTAACGCTAAGTCATTGTGGGCGAGGGATAGGCCGGTCACCTCAGCGATCAGTTGATGACCTTGTTCCCGTGCTTCTGTCCCATCTGACATTGCTTAGGAAGAGTCCTTGAGATCTAATTAAGATCCATCCGTCTCCCTGCTCTGTCCCAGCGCCCTGTAAGGACTGCCAGGTGATGATGAAGGTTCTCTTACTGAAAGACGCTAAGGAGGACGACTGTGGCCAAGACCCATACATCAGGGTAAGTGCCCGAGGCTCCGGGTTCCGCACGGCATGACACTGTCTTACTAGGGAAGCTAAGGGGGTGAGGGGTAGGGGGGGTCTGCGAACCCTCCGAACCACTGACAGAGTAAGTTGGTACTATGATGCTTTCCTTATTTTCCAAACAACCCTGGCCAATCCAGAACTATATTCTTGTATTTGCAGGAATTAGGATTGTATGGACTTGAAGCCACTCTGATCCCTGTTTTATCATTTGAGTTTTTGTCTCTTCCCAGTTTTTCTGAGAAGGTAAGTTCTGTCAGTGTCTGAGTACCGTAATTTCTGAGTCTCTGTAGAATCCTTGCCAACCCAAGCCGGAAGGATTTCTTCGCTGCTCCCTCATTTTACTACCAATCTTGAAGACAAGGGCAGCGCTGCCTCACCCGGCTCCAGTGGGTGCGGCTATTAGACTGTCCCTGAGCCTCCAGCAGGTCCTCCAGAAAGCCACCCTGACCTGAAGGCGGGGGCGGGGAGGGGGGTGTCGGGAGAGCGGGTTGCAGGGAGGGCTCTCAGCTGTGCAGGCCCTTCCAGTTCGTCCTCCCGTCTACCCACCTGCCCTGGCTACGCACTGCACAGGTGTTACTTTGCCGTTTTAGAGAGGGGCCCCAGGTTGGGCCACTCGCTCAGCTGAGATCTCCAGCAAGCGGGTTGCTCCCCCACAGCGTCACGTCTGCCGCCAGGATCAATCTTGCCAGACATAATCTCAGTAAAGCCTTCCAGATGCTTCAGATCAAAGCTTCAGTGCTCAGGCAGCTCTCACCAGGGTGCACCCAGTCCCAGGAGGGGAGCGCCTTCAGGACATCTCCCCTGGAGCTCCTTTCTAGACACATTGGGGAAGAGCCAGGCTGGTTTCATGAACTAGGGTGCCCAGCCCTGCTCCCGGGCTCCAAGCCTCTGTTAGCGCCAGGTTCACACCCCTCCTGTTCTTTATGGAAAGCCTGTGTTTTCCTTTTGATTTGGGCCGAATGTTGAATGATTCATTCAGTAATGTACCCGACAGACACTGATCTGGCATCTGTTATGCCCCTATGCACTGGGCTGTATGCTGAGAGAACGAGGTAAGGACCCAGACCAGCATGCCCTTCCATAAGCAGCCTGGAAAGGCACCAGAGATCTCCTCACTTGAGATCACTTCTTGGGCCTCATGGCCACACAGACTAGAGTTTCCACAGGAGCCTCTCCTGTCACCGCCAGCCAGCATGCCCCCTGAGGGCTTTTCTGGACTCTGTCTAGCTCCCTATGCTGCGAGTTGGGGCACAAGGCACGTGCTGGAGTCCTGGCCCTGCCATTCGCCATGGGCCAGTTCCTCAGCCTCTCCATGCCTGAGTTTTCATCTTTGAGATGACAGGAACCCCACCCATCTCCCAGGGAACTTTCAGAGAGTGAGGGACACGATATGTAAAAACAGCAATGTTCGGTAGATGTTATCACTATTATTGTCTTTGAAAATCAAGGCTTCAACATGGATATCGTCCCTTGAAGATCCCAGTGTTTTTTTAAAAGATGTATTTATTTACCCTAGAGAGAGAGAGAGAGAGAGAGAACTCGAAGGGCGGGGGCGGAGGGAGAGAGGGAATGTGCAAGCAGACTCCCTTCTGAGCATGGAGCCCGACGCCAGGCTCGATCCCAGGACCCTGGGATCATGACCTGAGCCAAAATCAAGAGAAGGCCGACTGAACCACCCAGGCGTCCCTTGGAGATTCCAGTTTTATAACAGATGCAGGTCCAATCTGCCCTCCTGCATGCACCCCACCCAAGCCCAGGCTGGGTCAGATAGCCCCTCTCTGCTCCTGTTACAACTCCCACCCTACAGTGCTCTTTCCTGGCTCTCCCCTTGACTGGGAGCTGCTTGAGGGGAATACCATGAACAGTGAATTCACCTACCTATCCTAAAAGGCCTAGAATAGTTCCAGGCATATAGTAAGCTCCCAGTAGGTGTCAAGTGGAAGAGTGGATGGATGGATGGGTAAGTAGATGCAGGGATGGATGGAAGGAATTAGTTTTGTGAAGCATTTGGAAATCTGGGAAATGCTGAACCTGGCCATCATGTAAAATGTCTTTGTTGCTATTTGGTGCACAGCTATGTCATCCCGAAGGCTATGGGGGACTCATCTTTACGAGCCCCAGAGCAGTGGAAGCAGTGGACCTGTGTTTGGAGAAAGACAATAAAGCAGAAGGTGAGGGGGACTCTGTTGTGAATTCCGCTGGACTTTCTTTACTCTGATTCTTCTGACCAGGGATACTGGATTCCAGAAATGGATTTTTCAGGTTTGAAACATCTCAATGGCTTTTAGCTCAAAAAAGTATTTACGTACCAAGTTACTTCATGTTTGTGTAACCTTTGGAGGAAGCACAAAATGACCTTTCTCCTTGTAAGCTGACTCTAATGTCCCACACAGAATGACGGGTGCGCCTCGTAGCTCTCTGACGGGATCGGACGCCTAGAGGTGTCATGTCATGGATACTGTCTTGGGAAACAGGAGACAGGGCGGCCCCCCAAAGCCCGCAGACCCTGAGGGGCTCATCTGCCAGGTGGTCATCTCTCTCCTCAGAATATATTGGTGGCAGTCTCTCTCCTCAAAGGGATGATGAGAAAATCCAACCACATCGAAGAAATGGCCCGTGCCATGCCAGGCGCTTAATGACATGATCATCTCTTAGTCCCTTCTTCCTCCCTCCCTCCCTCTCCTTCAAAAACACAGGAACAGAGCCCAGGCTTCAGACTGAACAGCCACCTTAGTCTTTCAATCAAATAGCTTTGTAGCTAACATTTATGGAGTGCCTAATGTATACCAGGCTCTGTTAAATACTTTACATTTGTCATCTGGGCCACTGACCAGAGGCACATGTACTGTGGTCCTCATTATGTTGGGTGTAGAGATTACTTAAAAAAAATAAAAATCTTGAAAAATAAATTAATTAATTAATTAATTAAAAGGAAATCTCCCACGGGAGTGTAAAGGGTAGCATAACACCTAAATGTAAGGGAAAGTGATGCTCCTAATCAGATTTTAGGAAGGGAGAACTCATGTTTCCTTGTCTTCTCAAAAAGTATTGAACACCCAGTGGCCTTATCATATACTTATGCAACCCATTTTCTTTTTGTATTTCTTTCATCCGCAGTTAAAGGTGTCTGTTTTTGCCCTAAGATGGTAATGTTCTCTATTAAATTGTGTTTGCTCATGAACCTGAAAGTTATGATCTTTACTTTGACTTAATGTATACATCCGAGATTATAGTTTCTTAACTGCTTTCAGATTTATGTCCCAAATAAAACCAGGTGTGTTGCTTTTTTAGATACTAAGTTGCCCTTTTTAATGACCAGTGACTTTTTCTTTAAAAGTCTAGATTTTTAGGGGCACCTGGCGGGCACAGTTGGAAGAGCGTGTGGCTCTTTTTTTTTGTTTTTAAGATCTTATCTATTTATTTTAGAGGGGGGCAGAGGAAGGGGCAGAGGGAGAGGGAGAGAATTTCAAGCAGACTCCCCATGGAGCCCCACATAGGGCTCAACCCCACGACCCTGAGATCATGACCCGAGCCAAAACCAAGAGTTGGACGCTTAACCAACTGAGCTATTCAGGTGGCCCAAGTGTGCAACTCCTTTTTTTTATTTTTTTAAGATTTTATTTATTTATTTGGCAGAGAGAGACACAGCGAGAGAGGAAACACAAGCAGGGGGAGTGAGAGAGGGAGAAGTAGGCTTCCCGTGGAGCAGGGAGCCCAACGTGGGGCTTGATCCCAGGATCCTGGGATCATGACCTGAGCCACCCAGCCCCCGCCACCCCGAGTGTGCAACTCTTGATCTTGGGGTTGTGAATTTGAGCCCCATGTTGGGTGTAGAGATTACTAAAAAAAAAATTTTTTTTAATAAAGTCTAGATTTTTAAACTTTAATGTCACCCTGCAAATTCATTCTTCAAGTTATGTTTGTTTTCTGGTACACACTAAAAATGCAACTGTGGAAAAGAGTTAATATTCTAAGCAAGGCATACTGAAACATTTATGAAGTGATTTTTCAAAATTTGCCTGTCGAATATGAACAGAATAAAAATGGAATTTTAGTTTGAGATGCTGTTCTTTATACGTGGTTATTAATAGTTTGCCTTGTTCACAAGTGTCTTAGGATGAGCAAGGAGCTTTGGGCAACAGTCCAGATGGCCACTGTGGTGTTTGCAGCTCACATCTCATTCCATGTTTTACAGTCTGGAAACATTCTCTGAGGGAAAAATGGAACGCTAAGTCAGTGTATGTGGTCGGAAATGCTACTGCTTCTCTAGGTAAGCAATCAAGGTAAAGATAAAACACCAAAAAAGGACAGTGACGTTATGATTTGTAATAAGAAATATGTATTTGTCTTTGTCCCTGTTTCCTGGGACAGAGCTCTTAAAACCCTTGGTATTTGATAAATGATAAGAAAGATAAAGTTGCCTATTTTTTTTAAAAGATTTATTTATTTTAGAGAGAGAGCTTTCACTGTACCCTTACCAGCAGCATTATATATTTAACTAATTAATTATTTGTAAATTTCATAAGCAAAAAAATCATTTTTTAAACTACAGTGTTTTTTTAAAAAAACAAACATGGTTAAGTCATTGGGGAATGAAAACCTGGTTTTCTTCTCTCCTTTAGTCTCTGCTACTACTCAGTATATATTCAAAAGTTCTATTACATTGGCGCCTGGCTGGCTTAGTCAGTAGAGCATGCAACTCTTGATCTCAGGGTTGTGAGTTCAAACCCCATAGTTGGGCATAGAGATTACTTAAAAATAAATAAATAAAATCTTTAAAAAATAAAAAAATAAAAAATAAAGCTCTATTGCAAGCTTTGTACCCTTTGGCCCACTAATCCCTTTCCTGATAATCTAGCCAAAGGTAATAATCCAATATAGGAGAAAAAAAGTGGTTTTTATATGAGAATGTATATTATAGCATTATTTATAATCATGGAAAAAGGAAAGCCCCCAATAGGGGAATAGTTAAATAAATTATGATACATCTATATGATGATTATGTAGTTCCTTCTTTTACATACTTTTTATTTTGAAGGAAATTTACAGAAAACCTATAGTTATAACACAGAACTCAATCTTTCCTGGACCCTGGAGAGTAAGTTGCCAACGTGATGTCCCATCAACCCCAAAGAGATGAATGTAGGTTCCCTACAAACAAGCACATTTTTCTGTATAGCTGCAACTATCAAACTCAAGAAATTAACATGCATGTATTTGTACCTCTTAATTCTCAATAATGTCCATTGTAGCAGAAGGGTTGAGTTCAGAATCCTGCCTTGCGTCTAGTTGTCATGTCTCGTTAGTTTCCTGCTGGAAAGGGGCCTCCATCTGTCTTTGGCTTCGTGACCTCGACACTTTCGGGGTACAGGCTGGTTGTTTTGTAGATGGTCCCCCAATTTAGGTGTGTCTGATTTTTTTTCCCTGATTACATTAATTCAGGTTATATACGTCTGGCAGGGATATCACAAGCTTTTCCCCTTGCCTATTACCCAGCAGTGCATCATTTTGATTTGTCCCATTACTGATAATGTTCCTTGTAATCCCTTGATTAAGGTGATATGAGGCTTCTCCCTGTGAAGCTACCATTTTTCCCCTTGAAATTAATAATTACTTTGTGGGGAGGTACTTTAAGATTATATGATAACATATTCTTTTTTTTTTTTTTAGATTTTTTTTAAAGTAATCTCTACACCCAACGTGGGGCTTGAACTTACAACCCCAAGATCAAGAGTCACATGTTCTACCTACTGAACCAGCCAGGCGCCCCTGATAATGTATTCTTCATAAGTAGCTCCTGATTTACATCAGTATGGATTCATGGTTTTCTCTTTAATAGGGTTCAATCCATTACTAAGTCTATTTATTTTATTGCCCAAATTATCCCTGCTGTGGCCAGGGGCAACCCCTTGAAGGTGACTTCTGTGTCCTTTTGACATGTCTTCATCATTCTTTGATTACTTCCTTCTTTTCTAATGCAAAAAGATGTTCCAGATTTGTCCTATACTTTCCCTATCCCAGCCCTAAAATCAACCATTTTCCTTAAGAAGCTCTGGTTCCTTTTAGTGGAGAGGGGTATTTAGAAGCCATGATGAGGATGCTTAGCGTATCATTGCCCTTGGACTTCACTGCTCACTGCTCAGGGCCCTTTTCAGTACACAGAGACAGGGAATACACACACACACATCTTTATTTATATCTACTTGTTTATGTTGAAAACCATGAGTTCATTCCACCACCTCCAGTTATAGTACAACACAACAGGGTTTCTCTAGGTCTTTCATTTCTGTATTCGTGACTCCCATCTCTGGCAAGGAGAAACCTGGCTCCCAGGTAATACATTTACTCATTTGATCAGTGCTCCTGTAAAGAACCGGTCTCCCCTGGCTCTGCCCCCACAGGGATGGCCTCTTAAGCCCATGTGGATTCTGACACCCAACACTGGCCACTCCCCCATTATGACATTCATGTTACTCTGCCCCACCTAAGGGCCTTTGGGCTGAAATGTTCAAAAGGAGAAGGGGGACAGGGGAGGCTAGGTGGTCTGTTTAAATGATTTTGAAGCATCTTTATAGCGTCGGAAAGATACAATGTAACATTAAGAAACAAAGCAGGATGGGGCGCCTGGGTCGCTTAGTCGGTTGGGTGTCCGACTCTTGATTTCGGCTCGGGTCGTGATCTCAGGGTTGTGGTATTGAGCCCCTCGTAGAACTCCACAGTCAGCGGGGGGTCTGCTTCTCTCCTTCTCCCTCTCCCCCTCCCCACCGCTCCCATGCGTGCATGCTTGCTATCTTTCTCTCAAATAAATAAATCTTAAAAGAAAAGTAGGATGCAATATAGATATATGATACAATTTCAATTTATTTTAAAAATATAGATACTGCACTAGAGAGCCCTCCTTACCCCCAAAGGAGCCTGAGAGGAGCAGGGACTCACAGAGATACTTGCTGGAATATGTAATGTTCATAATAGCATCAGTCACAATAGGCAAACGGTGGAAACAAGCAAAATACCCACGGACAGATAAATGGATAAACAAAATGTAGTGTATACATGAAATAGAGTATCATGCAGACGTAAGAGGGAGGGAAATTCTGACACAGGCTACAACGTGGAAGAACCTTGAAAACATTACACTAAGTGAAATGAGCCAGATGCAAAAAGATGAATACTGTAGAATTCCACTTACCTGAGGCTCCCAGAGCAGCCAGACTCAGAGACTGAAGGTATGGGAGAGGTTTGCAGGGTTTGGGGTTGGGGGGAAATGGGAAGTTCTTGTTTAATCTGGTGTAGAGTTTCCGTTTGGGATGATAAAAAAGTCTTGGAAGTGGATACTGGTGATGGTTGTGATGGTACCAAATGTCACTGAGTTATACACTTAAAAATAGTTAAAATGGTCAGTTTTTATAGTATGTGCTTTTACTACAACAAGAACAAAACCTGAAAGGAAATAACCCTATGAAAGTTACTCCAGATGGTGGTATTATAGTTGTTTTTACAATTTTCTTAATATTTTCTACATTTTCCAGTCTTGAATTTGTATGTTATTTTTAAAGCAAAAAGGTAAACAGATCATTAAAAATCAACCTTACAAATGAACAGAAAAATTAAGCATGAAATAATACTTAACAATTGTGAGTCAATTAATGTGCAGTTTGTTTCAAAGCGACTGTTTGTCCAAATGAATTTTAAGATATCAGGGGAAGATGCAGTATGAATGAAAGTAGTTTTTTTTTTTTAAGATTGTATTTATTTATTTGAGAGAGAGTGCATAAGCAGGGGGAGAGGCAGGGGAAGAGGGAGAAGCAGGCTCCCCGGGGAGCCCTATGTGGGGCTCAATCTCAGGACTGGGTTCATGGTTCATGACCTGAGCCAAAGGCAGACACTTAACGACTGAGCCACCCAGGCGCCGGCCAGTATGAGTGAAAGTAGTTTAAGAATGAAAAGCACTCCTAGCAGAGAACAAAATGATGTCAAGGAGTTCCCCAGCTGTGAGTTAGTTGCCTGACTAATTAAGAGCTGGTGCATCGCTTTTCAACGCAGAGCAACTTGTACCTGGGAGCTCAGCAGATGAGCAAAGAGAGAATCAGGCCTTGGTTGCCAAGGAAACCGCCCCCACTCTCCCCTCCCCACCCAGATCAGTTAAGAATTTGCTTGCACCTTCTTTCACCCTTTCTTTTTTTCTGAAGAAGAGGAAAGAAAAGTCTAGAGACAACTTCAGACTTACACAGCAACACTTCAGCTATCAAACATGGCATGTTTGTAAATTATCCTGTTTTGATTCTCATGCTACCTTCGGTCTGATCTCAGTGGCACCACTATGCATTTTGCATCTCATTGTGCTGTCAAATGAGAAGAAAACCCGAGAACAAAAGTGGTGATACGGGATGAGAAACCCAAGACAGAGCGGGCTAGCGTGGGCCGGCATCCCCTGTGGCACAGAGCCTGGTCCCATGGGACCCGCTGGCCCCAGCCTGCTCCCTGTTTGTCCCGCTGTGAAGGAAAAGGACATGTTCTAAATGCTGGAAGCACATGATCAAAGGAGAGATGAAATTAGGGATTTGTTCCTTTAAAAAATCTCTTGAGAGAGGAGCACCTGGCTGGCTCAGCTGGGCCCCACACTGGGTGTAGAGATTACCTAAAAAAAAAAGAGAAGAAAAGAAATCTCTTAGAAGAAACCACATTCTATCTTAACATGAAAGTCAGTCACCCAACTTTGGAACCTTCTATCTTAGTTCACCTTCCCAGACATGTCCCAGAGGAGCTCTCTCTAGTGAACTGCTGGACGCTTCTGTTCATCCTGAGGCTCAGCAAGAGCCTGGAGAGTTAGAGGAAGTTGAACACGGACAGCCGGAGGAGACCAGGCCCGTGTGTTAGTCATCTTTTGCTGCGTAACGAATTGCCCCAAAACTTAGTGGCTGGAAACAATAAGCATTTAATTTCTCATGGTTTCTGTGAGTCCGACATCTGGGAATGGCTGAGTTGGGTCCATCTGGCTCGGGGTCTCTCACCAGGCTGCAGGTATCTCAAGGCCTGACTTGGGGGTCCTGCTTCCAGATCACACACATGGTTCCACTTCCCAGTCTTCATGTGGCCCTCTCTAAGGGCTACGTTATGACACGACAGCAAGATTTCCCTCTTGCGTGCGAGACAATCCGAGAGCCAGCGAAAGAGAGCGTCCAGGCCAGAAGCCAGTCTTTTCATAATCTAATCTTGGGAGTGACATGCCATCACTTCTGCCATCTTCTTTTTGTTTGAATGGAGTCAGTCCAGGCCACACTCAAGAGGAGGGATGTCAAGGTGGTGTGAGCACCAAGATCACTGGGAGCCATTTTACAGGAGCCCTCTCTTCAAACTGAGCACGAGAGCTGCCTCTGCTTCCCCCAGAAGCTGCAGGTCAGGTCAGGAGAATGGAACATTTTAAGCAAAGAGAAGATAGAAGATATGTTTCACATAGTGGAAATGAAAACTGGGCCCAAGCAAGTGGTCTTGATGTCAAAGTCCATCACGACTTATTTATCTTAGACAGAGCAAGTGCACGAGAGAGAGCAAGTGGGCGGAGGGGCAGAGGAAGAGAATCCTGAAGCAGATTCCCCGCTAAGCATGGAGTCCGACCCAGGGTTTGATCCCAGGACCCATGAGCCAAAACCAAGAGTTGGATGCTCAACTGACTGAGCCACCCAGGCACCCCATAAACCATATCTGGCTTTTTAGTATTTTTCATTGCTTTGTTTTCCCATTAATTTTGGGAGAATACTGAAATCATCTATATCTATAACCTTAATATGTCTTCACATCCATTTGTTGATTCTTACTGATTTGCTCTTGCACTAAGCATTTTTTTAAAGATTTTATTTATTTGTCAGAGAGAGAGAGAGAAAGAGAGCACAAGCAGGGGGAGAGGCAGGCAGAGGGAGAAGCAGACTCCCCGCTGAGCAGGGAGCCTGATGTGGGACTCGATCCAGGACCCTGGTATCATGACTTGAGCCGAAGGCAGACGCTTCACCGACTGAGCCACCCAGGCATCCTGCACTAAGAATTTTATCTCACCTTCAGATAACCACAGGGTACCTTTGCACATAGGCATCCACCAGCAGGGGAGCTCACCCCCAGGCTTACACAAGCCCCCTGGCTGGATCCACCATGGCAGTCCTTGCTTTAACTTCTTAAATGTAAAGAACACGATGGCAGGTTTGTCTGGGGTCAGACTGGTTCGTTTCACACAGCTGTGAGTCACTTGAAGTTCCCCTGTCACCATGGCCTGGGGAGGCCCCAAAGGCGGGCTTGCCTGGGCCCAAGGGCTGGCTGAAATGCTTGCACCCCCTTAGAGCAGAGCCAGCCTTGCCGCCACAGGGGTTGAGACCTTCCAGCAAACATCCGTTCCCCCGATCTCTACTGAGAGCCTCTGCGGGCTGCCGGCGGGGCCCACAGCCCAGTCCCTGCCCTCGCAGACAGAGCTGACAGGCGCTGGACGGCTCAGGGCCTCCGCTTCCTGCTCTCAGGAGCCCTCGTCCCAGGGTTGTGCGAGGATGAAGTAATGCGCCAGTGCTCACTCGGAACAGCAAGGCCGCATGGGAGAGTCTCCGCGGGCTTCCCCCCGTCTAGTTAACGCAAGAACGATGTGGATGAGCGCCGACGTTGAATACCAACATCACGGCGGTACTTACGTCCCAGTTCCGTTCCTGGGAAGTCGTCAGGGTCTTGGTTTACCGAGACCTTCCCAGTTCAGTCAGAGGACAGGCGGCCCGGCCTGGGCTGGCCATGCAGCGTAACAAGGGCTTTGTTCTGGAACAAAGTTGACAGCTGCATGTGACTTTTGTCTCTTGGGCTCAGGACCCTTGAAATGACCTGTCAGTGAAGAGCTGATGGTGTGTATGTGAAAGCTGCAGTTTGTTCTTAGCCAGCGCCCTCACGTGAATCCGAAATGGAAGGCCCACAGCTCCTCCTCCGTCGGGGAGGTGCCACACCCCGGGCACAGGTGCTGAGCGCTGACGGCGCGGGGCCCGTGGCCCTTCCTCCCCAGCATCCTCTGCAGAGTGGCCAGTGCTTCCCGTGTGGAAGAGTGCAGGGGGGCCCGGGGCGGGGGAGGGGGGTGCTGCTCCTGCCTCACTTCTTGATGGGAGTCTCTCAAAGCTGCTGGTCTGCCCCTCGCCCCAGATGACCCGTAGTCATGGTGCTGGGGGTCACTGTTGGCAGGTTCCCAGGGAACCGCTCCTGCCCTCCTTTCCATTCCAGTCTGGCCATGTCAGCCCACGACACCCTTCTGGATGGGCGCTGGCCTTGGCTTCCCGGCAGGACGAGGGCTCTCTCACGCCCTGTAAGAAGTAGTAAATCCTAAATGCTCGCCACCTCCGTACTGGCTGGTAAGAAACCGCCTTTCTTCAGCTCCCCTAGATGGCCTGCGGTTTGCTCTCATCATCTCGTATAATCCTTAAAGCAGTCCCCTGCGTCTTCCCCTGGTGTAGCCGAGCTCAGCGGGGCTCAGAGAAACTAGCGCATGACCCAAAGCCACACATACTAGGAAGGGTGGGCCCGGGGCCCAGCACCCTCACGTCCGACACAGTGCCGGCCGCCCCCTGCACCTGCCTTCAGGAGGAGACGTTCCTTTGTATTTGCACGTTAGCAAACAACCCAGGAACAGAGGTCTTTAATAGCCACATGAAAACATATTTCTTTTGTTGTTTTCCAGTGAATAAAATTGGCCTGGATACGGAAGGAGCAAACTGCGGAAATGCAGAAAAGCTTGCAGAATATATTTGTTCCCGTAAGTAGAAAACGGTCACTCCAACTGAAGCCCATTTACTTTTTGTTTGTTGGCCTCACCCCCGACCCCCGGGAGAGGAACATTTCCTGGGTGCGTTCTCCGTGGTGACGCGGGTTGGTGTGCAGTGTGCAGGCCGCTCGTGGGACCGCGGACTCCTTTTCCGGTGTGTGTCTGTGCTTGTTTGAGATTCAGCCCGCCTCTCTCGGCCCCCTCCACCAGAGGACTTGAGACAACTCGAACATGACACAAAATGAAACGTTCGGAGACAAATCCAGGGAGACCATCTGCAGTGATGCTACCCGGAGTGGAGGCAGGCTGCTGCAGCTGGGCACCTCCCCTGAGTGTGTGTCCGCCCCCACCCCCGGGGGGCCGCCTCCTCCGAGCGCCCTCTCAGGGCTGGCCCACCCCCTGGGAGTGCGTCCCTGGGCAGCGTGTCCCCCCCCCCCGCCGGGACCTGAGAGGACGCTGGTTGTAGAGGTGTTTGCCTTTCAGTGGGGGTGCAGCCCTGATGGAAACAAAGCTTTGGGGGAGCTCTCGGAGCGAGAGGGGCGGGAAGGCCGTCAACACTCAACAGACATGGGTTCCCACTGCTGCTTCTGCCCCCCGCAGAGTCTCCAGGGCCAGGCTGGAGGCTGCCCATGGGTGGTGGAGCAGGGCAGCTGGAGGGAAGGTGCTCCCTGCCTTCTGGTCATATCCGCCACTGTGTCCCAGCCCGGCTCTTCGCTTTAGTTTGCTGATTTCTCTACGTTTTGAAAAATGCTCTTCTTACTAAGGGGGTGGGTTTCAGAGACCCTCCAAAAGCCCCAGGGATGAAGGAGGTGAGCCCTAATCCGGTGACCCTCCGGGCCCCTTCCTGGCCGAAGCAGGTGCTGCCCTGGGCTGGAGCAGAGGACCGAGTACCCAGCACTGTGTTCCTGTCCCAGGGCAGCACCGCTGGGCCTCCCGCCCTGGCTCTTGTGTCCACCACTCCACCTGAACTGCAGGCCTTGGGGGCTGTTCAACAGGACAGTCTCCCGGCCCACGACTCTAGTGGCCAGGTCCATGGCTCTCCGGCTGGCCCCCTGGTGCTCCCAGCACATCCTCACCTCCCACCTCCTGCACAACCGTCTCTGCTCCTCCCTCCCGTTGGTGCTGCCTACAGAGGCCCTGTCCTTCACGTAGGCTCCTCTGTGGCAGGGATGCCACAGGCTGTGGTCCTTCCATGTCCACTGTCCTGGAGACCTTGGCCCTCCTTTGTCCACCCCCACCACACACATGCTGTTTATGCCTTGTCTTGTTGCTGAACCACTCCTGCCTTGTGGCCCGGCACACAGGTGTTCTCACGCAGTGTTTGCTGAGCGCTGAACTGTTCTGGCGTGACAGGAGGGCATTCGGGGGGCAAGGCGAGAGCGGGCTTGGTCCATGCCAACAGGCCCGGCCAAGCTGAGCAGCCATCTTCTTGAGCATCAGCTCGGGCCGGCCAGTCGTTTGATACTGTACGGCCAGGTGTTGAAAGCTGCTGAGAAGCCAAGGGCAGTTATGCTCGTGGTCCAGGGGTGAACACAGCCCTGGGCACCTCAGGGTCCTCAGGCCCATGGGACTGTTTTAAGGGTCACTGAGCCTTACCTTTTCCCGGATGAGAGGAACGTCATGTGATTGGGTTTTTCCCCAGCAGTTTGTGGCGTGGGATGCATATGTTCAAGAATGATCCAACGCCAGGTTCTTTATTTCTAATGTTTGTAGGGGACAATGGTCACCATTAAACAGTAACAAAGCCCTTCTGTTTTAATGTGGAAATCAATGTAAATGGTAGAACTTGGCATTCCCCGGGGGATTAAGTGCCTTGGTTTAGGAAGACAAATGACTGGTCCCGTGGGTGGGACCACATTTAGCTCCTTAATGAGCAGGTGGCCGCAGCCTGTCTCCAGGGCAGATGACCTGGCTGTACTCACCGCTGATGCACTAGTTCTGGAAAGAGATGGAAGGAAATTGAGTCATTCCTCACTATCAGGTCCAGAGGCATCAATCAGGCTGGTGCTCCTTGCTCTGCATACACAAGGCAGGAAGGATCCGTGTCACTTCTGAGATATCACCCTGGTGTTTCAATTAACTGACTCAAGGCGTGGAGGGGAGATAGGAACGTACTCTGCCTTATCTCGGCGAGACTGGGCGGCATTCTTTGCAAAGCCTTTGTTACTTCTCATTTGTTACCAGCACGCCTGTGTGTCCTAATAAATCTTTAATTCGCAATTAGAATATCCAAATAAGAATCCTTCTTGACTGCTAATAGGGACTTTCACCTTGGTTTTACCAAGGCATTAATGATTTTCTGCCCCAGCAAGCTCTGAAACTGGATTTTAAAAGCTAAGAATCTACTTCCAGTGTTTGGAGTCAACAGGCCAATTCATAGTTACTGCTTATTTCTTTTACTTAACACTTTTTACTACGGGACAGATACCATCGCGGGCACTTAAAACTATTAAATCATTTAATCTGATAGCTCATTGTTCTGATAGAAAATTCTCCCCTTCCAGGAGATCTGCTCTAATGGAAAAGAAAGCAGCAAATAAATGGTAAAAGGGGGCATTACAGCATTCTGCAAGAGAGGGGATCCGCCTGAGTCAGACAGAGGGGAGTGCCGTTATTGGAAATGTCCCTGGATTGGGGGCTGCCGATGGCCACTGCTGCAGCCTCGTGGACTTGCTCGGCCCTTCCTTACCTCGCATCAGCCCTGTTGTCCGGATTCTCCACCATGAGAATCTCTGTCTGCACGGCTGCATCTCCCAGCTTTGCCTGGGAGGCCGAAATCAGTGCAGACCGGGCAGTTGTCAGAGCTTTCCAGCCACGCACATGTCCTCCAGTGAAATGGCATTTTTTTAAAAAATCAGCCTTGTTACCTTAATTACTACAGTGACTACTTATGGAGTCCCCAGCCCCTCGGCACAACCCTCTCCCGGGATTTTCAGCACCCTTGCTGGCCTCAGCCCCCACAGCCCAGCAGTCCAGGCCTCCTTCCTGTTAAAGGAATGGGCAGCCTCTGAACCCCATGAGTCCCCATTCGTAATGTCTTCTCTGTCGGGTGAGACCCCTGCCAGGCCCCCGTCTCTCCCTGTTGTTCCGGGAAACCTCTCACACCTCTGCAGAATCAGCCAGCTTTAGCATTGACCTATTTAGCAGGGGCCTATTTGGGTTAAAAATCTGCAGGCAGTAAACTTATCCCCAAAAAAGAATGGGTTCTTTGCCTCCGACTTCTTGAAGGGGGTTAGGTCCCAGGAAGGATAGTTGTGGTACATCTCTGCCCAGCAGAAGAGGATTCTAACCAGGACCTTTTCAGGTTTTCCTCCCTTTGCTGAGAGTGTCTCGGGTTTCCATGACGTCAGCTGGGCTGATTGGGCCTGCATGCGTGGCCTGGCTCTCCGGGCACTGGTGATGCGGTCAGAAAAGACAGGCGTCTGTCCTGGGCCAGGACACACATGCTAAGCTCCCATCTCCCGAGTTAGCAGCCAGCAATCCGAGAATAAGCATGAGCAGCTCAATACTGGGCTAGACCTTGCAAAGAGATGCTTTGAAGGGCAGACTCCGGAATCTTCCAAAGGCCCCTTGCACACCTCTAGGGCTGGGCTTGCTGGAAAGGCAGGCCCTTGGCTTTCCTGCTGCATTCCTGAAGCTGCCCCAGAGCAGATGGCTGGGAGGGTCTGTGGCAGCAGCTTTGGCCTCTAGAATCCTGCACAGCCCAGCACCTAACACACATGGATGGACACAGAGACACTGGAGGGACGCCTGGGCTCTGGTTAAGAAAGCTGCACCTGAACATGGCTATGAAAATATGTATCCAAGGATGGCATCTACAGAAACATTTGCTCCCACTGGAAAAGAGGAATCAGTGGGCATCTGTTGTCTACATTTGAATTTTTCCCAATTCCTTGTGTTCTTTTACATCGTGCTGGTAGTTACAGAGCAGCTTAAATCAAGAACACATCCACCAGGACGTAGTTCTTGAATAACCTGGAAAAAGGAAGTTATTTCTGTGGTTGGGCTGGGCCTTCCGGGAGATGGTGCTAGACGGGAAGTGCTTGCTTTGTTCTTCCTCTGACTGCAATCCCCAAAGAGGTGTTCGGGGAGATCGGACGGGTACAGAAAAACGCGTTTGTGCGTGACCAACAGCCATTAAGACTTCTTCCAACTGATGGACGGACGTCGGGGGAGGGGTGGGTGGTTCTATCAGAATGTTCACATTTGGGGAGGATTCGCCCATCGGTTTTGTTGGATGGTAGTGTCTCAGGTCGGTGTTCAGACTGCATGCCATCTTCGTTCTGCAGAGAGCTTGGAGCCGAACGCACCCCAAAGTCTTCCTGGAGTGGAGATGGGGAGCAGGCTGGGAGGCAGGCCATTCTTAGCAGGCCCCTACACGGCCACCCATCCGCCCCATGGGCACTTGGCCGGGTGGCCGCCATCCTGAGGGGACAGAAGGCACGCAGCTTGTCTCTGTTGGGGGTGGCCACAGGGCCACTTGTGGCTGCCATTTCCCTGCCGCCTCCTGAGCGTGGGCCCTGGCTCCAGCCACCTCCTGTGGCCTCCAGGGCTCCTCCCGAGGCGCAACGTGGCTGCAGCAGCCTTGTGACTCCAGCCAAGTGCAGGGCTGCACGCTAGCTCGTGCCTGCAGCCCAGGTGCCCCGTCAGAACCAGAGGGACTGGAGGGGCCTGGGGGACAGCGGCCCTGGCTTGCGGGGGTGCCCGTTTTCTGAGCGCCATGGCCGAATCCCCTGTGATCTTCCTACAGCAGAGTCAGCTTCTTCCCTCCCACGCACAGCCGCTGGGCAGCCCGGAACTGCTGCTCGCCGTGCCCTGGGCACATGCACCCCCTTCTTGAAAGCGTTGACAAAGTCTGGTTATTTATCCGCAGGGGAGTCACCAGCATTGCCTCTTCTGTTTCCCTGTGGAACCGTCAAAGGAGAAATCCTGCCGAAAATGCTCAAGGACAGAGGTGATGGCAGTGCATTGGCTCGTGGGCACGGCCTCCCTGGTCCACCTCCTCGGGTCTGCCGGGAGCCTTCGTGGTCCGCGTTCGGGGTCGGCCGTGCGGAGCCCCCGGGGGAGGGCAGGCCAGGGGAGGGCGGGCGGCCCTCGTGGGGTGCAGTCTACTGTCCTGACCGTAGCCCTGCGCTCGTCTGCCTGCTCGGCTCCGGCTAGGCCCGCAGAGTGTCACAGCCTTCGCCAAGGGTGCGGGTGGTGCTGGTGTGGACGGACCCCGGGGCAGGTCCCGGGGCAGAGGAAAGCCTCAGGATGGAGCCCGGTGTTCTCGATGGAATAAAGCCTATTCCCTGCTTTTGATTGTGTCCAGGGATTCCCATGGAAAGCATAACTGTCTATCAGAAGATCCCACACCCGGGAATCCAAGTGAACCTCAACAGCTACTATTCTAAGCAGGTGGGTGGTGCTTGCAGGGAGACTTGGGGGAGGGGGAGGCCCAAACCCCAGTGCGTGGTTCCACCATCCCAGCCGCATGACTTCCCAAGGCTCCATCTCTGTATCTGTGAAATGGGAACAGACCTCTCTTGGAAGGGTTTTAGAAGGATGAAAGGAGATAAAATGCACAAAGCCTATGGATATCACCCCAGACACAGTGAGCCTGGGCAGCTAGGGGCCGTGCTGTGACTGTCCGGCATTGTGTGGGGCACTGGGGGAGCCCCAGGGAAGAGGCTGGGAAGGGAGGCTGGGCCCATCCTGGGAAGGCCCACAATGCCCACTGAGGAGTCTACATTGAATTTGGGAAGCCACAGGGACCTCTGAAGGCTTCGGGCAGGAGGGTGGGTGGCGCCTGTGTGAGTTAAGGTTTTCCACATCTGTATTCAGTGGGACGCCTCCCCCACTCTCCCAGGACAAGCCTTGCTGGTTCTGGACATCCCGTTAGTGCAAACGGAAACAGAGAGCCACGCAGCCAGTCTGCCTTCTGTCTCCTGAGAAAGGATGCAGAGTTGACAGCCTGGACTGCTGCCTCACTGATCAAGGACACTTTGGCCACGTGAGCTAGTGGCAGCGTCTGCTTCGGCTGGGCGTGCGGGTCCGCGGTGCCCCTGTCCTCTAGCCAGGCAGACACACACCTGTGGGCCACAGAGCGATGAGGAGCAGCACCCAGCCTCCCCAGTGGCACCCTGCCCTCTAAACGGTGCCTCGCCTGAACTCGGCCTTGGCCTCGAGGGAGCAGAGAAGGCCACGTCCACCAGGAGTGCTCCTGCTGTGAATCTGTGGGGCTGCCTGGGGGCTGCCTCCTGGGGCTCCAGGGCTGATGGTGCCCGGCTGGGGGAACCAGGGGAACATTCTCTCTCCTTGGCCTGTGGTGACAGACTGATCTTATGCTCTCCCTGCAGGGCGTTCCGGCCAGCATCACATTTTTCAGTCCCTCTGGCCTTACCTACAGCCTAAAGCATATTCAAGAGTTATCTGGCGACAACATTGATCAAATTAAGGTGAGGTATTCAGTGGGCTTTTGGTCTTTTCAGGTTTTTAAAAATTCTTACTAATTACCTAGAGTTTCCATGTAAAGCCAAAACACTCCTGACTCCTGATGTCAGCTCGTAGCCCTGGAAAGGCCAGGCTCGAGAATTCTCCAGCATCAATCACTTCCTGGTTGGTGCTCTCGGACACCTTACTTAACCTCTCTGAGCCTATTTCCTCATTTGTATCATGAGGATGATTATCCGTCTGTGGCTTTTATAGACACGTAGTCACCCCTTATTTGCAGGGGATACGTTCCCAGACCCTCAAGTGGATGTGTGAAACCACGGCTACTACCCAATCCTGATGTAGTGTTTTTTCCTACACATACATCCCTGTGATAAAGTTTAATTTCTAAATCAGGCACAGTAAGAGATTAACAACAATAGCTAATAATAAAGCCATTACAACAATATCTTGTGGTAGCGGTGAACTCTCTCAAGATACCTTACTGTACTGCACTCACCCTTCTTCCCGTGAGGCTGTGGGATGATAATGTGCCTCCATGACAAGGGGAGGGCAGTGATGTAGGCATGGGACGGCATTCCCACTTGTGAGGGACCACATTTGCTAGGAGTCTATAAGTAACAACAAGGCTTTTGGGGCCTGTAACGGGAAGGCTCTTGAACTGGGTCCAGTGGGACCGAGGAAAGGGTGGAGGCCACCTGGGGCCCCAGGACAGAGGCTGCCAGCACTGTGCGCACTCACACAGCGTGCGTGCTCTTAGCTTTCACTACAGGTGCGACTCACGGCACACCTGCGGAGTCGGCACCGGTTCCCAGTTCTGCAGGTGGAGAACTGGGCTCAGAGGAGTAGTGCGTCTTGCCCTAGGCCTTACAGGAGGAAGGGATTTGAACCCAGGAAGACGGATTCCATGTTGTTAGCTGCGGTGATACCTGAGCTGTGGCCAGTTGACGGAGCACTTCCAGGCAGTATCTTGTAGAATTCGCCCACCAGTCCGGGGGTAGGAATCAAGCAAAATTGGGACTACCAGCTATGTAGGAGGGTTCTGGTTCCTGCCCCCCCTTACCAATACTTGTACGTTTGGTCTTCATGATCACAGCTGCCCCAGCGGCTGTGGGGGAGTTTTGACTTGGATTGCTCCCATGACCGATGACGCTAAGCATCTTTCCCTGTGCGTGTCGGCTGCTTCTGTATCTTCTTCTGAGAAGTGTCTGTTCACGTCCTTGCCGTCTGTCTCGTTGTGGCTGTTGCTGGGCTGTACGGGTTCTTTGTTCCTGGATGCAAGTTCCCCATCCGATAAACTTTCCCCATCCTGTGAGCTGTCTTTGCACTTCTGTGATGATGCCCTTAGAAGCACGACGGTTTTTCCGTTTTGGTGAAGACCCACTCATCTATCTTTTCCTTTGCGACTTGTGCTGTGAGCGGCATGTCTCAGAAACCACTGCCTAGTCCCAGGGCATGAAAGCCCCCCCGCCATGTTTCTTCTGTATTTACAGTCTCAGCTCTTACATTTAGGTCTGTGACCCACTTTGAGTTCACGTTTGTGTCTGCTCTGAGGTAGGGGTCCGGCACCATCTTTTCCTCGGGGAGTTTCTCGAGGAATGGCTGCGCCTCAGGGTGGAGTGGGGGGGTTGGGGGGGGCTACAGGAACTCTGGCTTCCAGGGGGCAGCAGCCTCTGTCCTGTGGCTCTGACATGCCCCAGAAAGGGGTGCTTCAAGTCCTGAGATTGTTCCCTGCGCCACACCCGGCCCAGGGTAAGGGCTGCCATCCTCACAGACCTACTCCCAGGCAGGGGTGCGTGCACCCGTGTTGGGGTGGGGGTGACGTGAGTGCTCTCCCTGCCAGAGCAACAGATCTTATTTACCCCCCCCGCTAGCCCTGCCAAGCGAGGGTAATTGTACCCCTTTTACAGATGAGGAAACAGGACCAGAGGGGCTAAGTGACTTTTGAGAACACCTAGCAAGGGCCGGGGTCACCACAACAAAAAACCACATTCAGCCCCAAGCAAGGCTCTGCATGTGACCATCAAACGTGCGATGTTCAGAGAGAGGCATCTGGCTGGCGAGTCTCAGGCCACTGGAGTTTCTTGTCTGGAGTAACTGTGTTCCCATCAGTGGCAGCCACTGGTGGCCGCCGAGCATTTCTCTGTGCCAGCCCTGGCCACGTGGTTGCTCACATTGCCCCCACGTGATCCTCAGAGCAGCCCAGCGGGGAAGGCTGTTCCCCTCTCTGTTTTACAGATGAAGGGACGGAGGCCCAGAGAGGGAGGGTCACTTGCTAGGGCCGCTATCCTGCAGAGCTAGAATGGGAACCTGGCCCTCCAGCTCCAGGTCCCGGACTCCGCTGCTGCGTTTTCCTGGGGAGCGCAGCCGGGGCCCCTGCCATGCCCAGAGCACCTTTCAGACTTTGCTGTCTGCTCCACTTGGCCCCCCACCCAGGGCAGAACCGTGGGCGGCTGAGGCTTGTGGAGAGGCAGCCAAGACGGCGGGCACCAGGGCAGGGGCCTGGCGCGCCTGCCCTGCACCCGAGCCGCAGGCTGGAGGGGAGGCTGTAATGAGGTCGTGCAGGCAAAGGCAGTTCGCGGGCGTAGGGCTGGGTTCGCATCGGGAGGGGTGATCACCCGTGCTATGAGCTGCGACGACCTGAAGGGCCCAGGCCCTACCCCACTGTCCGCCCGGCTGGCCCCGCAGGTGCGCTGAAGCTCCCTCTCTCTCCCCCTGCAGTTTGCCGCCATCGGCCCCAGCACGGCCCGCGCGCTGACCGCCCAGGGCCTGCCTGTGAGCTGCCTGGCCGAGAGCCCCACGCCGTCAGCCCTGGCCAAGGGCCTCCGGTTGGCCCTTCAGGCCCCCCGCTGCTGAGTCGGTGGCCCGTCCCGCTGCTGACTGGTGCAGGGAGGTGAGGCATCGGGGGGGCTCCCCACACCTCTGCCTCGTGCCTCCGCGGAACCCCGGGGACACCCGGGCCCGGCGAGAGCTCCTCTGGCAGAGGGAAGAAAACCAAATAAACCACCTGGCTCTTCACGCTGAGTTGTCACTCGCTGTGTATCGTTTTCCATGCAGAGCTGCGTTTGTGGAGGAAACAGACGTGCCCACGTTCTGAGAACCGCCCAACCTGGTAGGAATGGTAACACCTGCTGTGTAGGAAGTAGCTTTATGCATCCTATAAAAGGGACCTTCAAGTCCCTGCTTTGTGAGCTGTGGACACCTGCCATTCAAATAAGGAGAGACTTTCTTTCCCTCAGAAATGAAAGGCAGCTGAGACCAGGCAGGGTGTCTGAGGCGGGGAGGCTGGTTTACACAGAAGGGCTTCGCCTGCAGGATGCAGTGCCCTGCAGACAGGCTTGGGGAGTCTGCCCCCAAACTTTCTTTCCGCTTTTAAAAAATCTTGGTCTGGAGCCTGAGCTGGGTGGAATGAAACCCGTGTCCGTCGTTTGGCAGGAAGGAGGACTGTGTGCCCAGCACGAGTGCACTCCCCGGGAGGTGTGTCACGTTGGCAGTCCCCGCGAGCAGTGCTCTGCCTCTCCCCTCCCTGGTCCCCTCAACGCCCTGAGGGGTGGACGCCACTAGGATTCCTGTTTCTCTGGGGAAGACCCTGAGACTCGGGGCATTAAATGCTTTGCTCGGGGTCACCCAGCAAGTGAGTGACCAGCCAGGACGCTCCGAAGGGGACTTGTGCACAGAAGCACGGAGGCCCAGAGTGATGGCGCTCCTGAGCCGCCTCGCCTCCACGTGACCTCAGTACAAAAGTAAGGACCTGGTAATCGTTAGTGACCTGAATGGAAACTCTGCAGGTTTCATGATGGCCCCCCATGTTTTGTCTGTAGTCATGTTTCTGAATATGGGTCAGAATCCATCCCACCGCTTCCTTCTGATCTGAACGTCAGGTCTGGATTGACGAGGTGCGTTTAGGATCCCTGCCACTCCCAAGGAGCCTTTTTCTGCCGGAGTTACCTTTTCCTGAGCTTGGGGAAGAGCCCGGCCCCAAGCAGCCCCGCAGCCGAGGAGTGCAGAGGCTGCGCCGTGCAGGCCCCCACAGCTGCCACAAAGCAGGGCCCGCCACATCGGGGCTGCTGCGGCAGCGTCTCGAGGCCAGCCTCGGGACAGAATGTTGCCACCGGGCCCCGGGATGGCTACAGGACCTGCGGTGGCCAAGGCAGTCCCCTGACCGTGTGCCTGCAGGTCAGAGCCCTGCCGGATTGCTCCAGATTATATCCCCCAAACTACCGCTCTGCCTCTGACCCACCTGCTGCCCACTGTCCCCTGTGTGCACAAGGCCCCTGGCTGCCATCACCCCCACACTCCTGCCAAGTGGCCACACACGAGCCCCCACGGAGGCATCACCTGGGTGAGGACAGGAACCAGCCCTCCCACAATGGATGGTGCCTGGGCTTCTTTGCGGGGAGAAGGAGCGAGTGAACAGTCCAGAGGGTTTGGGAAGCTTGCGGTGGGGGAGCATGGCGCCCAGGAGGAGGGGCTGTTGGCATCAAACTCTCAGAGCCCCAGTCTCCCCGACACTAGGGGAGTGACTCCTGCCTTCTGAGTTCCAGTTGGCCCGTCTGTCAAGAGGGGAGGAGCTTCTGCCTCCTGGATGTGTGCACTGCAACTCAGAAAACTACGCCTGAGGCTACCTCGAGATCTGGATGGAGAGCTTAGGTTGGTGGGTAATAAGCAGTGTGTCACGTATTCTCATAAATAAATAGTACTGCTCAGCATTTACTGCTCCATCTGAGTTTAGCGGTTTATCTGGTGGAAAGTGTTGCTGGAATGGCAAAGGTGATATTGGGGTCATGGCCCCAACACCTAAAGCATTGTAGGTACCTGGGGATCAGAGACAGCACAGCGCCTGCCCCAAAGGGGCCTGCAAACACCTTGAAAGAACAAAGTCAGGAGGCAACTGAGCTCAGCATAAAGAGCCTGTATTTCACACAACAGGACTGTGGCCAGGAGACACGGGGGGAGGCCACCTGTCTTTGGACGACTGTTGCCAGAGAACCACTCTCTGAGGTTCTGTCGCGGGGAACCTGACAGCGGGGAGCTGGAGACAGCAGAGTCTCAGGATGGCCTTCTTCCAAACCAAATCACCTGCCTTTTGTGTCGATGCCATTGTCATATGTCCCTTCGGAGATTTTATAATAAGCATTAGATTCGATTTCTTTTCTTTTCTTTTTTTTTTTTTAGTAGGCTCCACGCCCAGCACGGAGCCCAACACGGGGCTCAAACCCACGACCCTGAGATCAAGACCTGAGCTGAGATCAAGAGTCGCACACTCCACCGAATGATCCACCCGCGTGCCCCCAGATTTCTTTTTTTTTTTAAGCCCATTTCTTACAACTGCTGGAGGTTCTCAGCTGGGCAAGTCACACTACTGATTATACAAACCTCTCTGCCCTCCTCCCTCCCACTCACTTCAGCGTTCTGGACACCTTGCAGCAAAGACAGAGGACACAGCAAATCAGCAACCACGCGACAAGCAGTAAGCAACAGCCAACGGCAATCATGATTTCCACGTCAATGGCCATTATAATCTTGAAGCGTCTCACACACACCTGGGCAGAGAAGTGCCGGCAAGCAGTGAGTGTGGCCTCCCTCCCCGCCCAGCCGCCTCGCCGCCTCAGCGTGCTTCCGTCAGCGGGGGATCCAGGAGCCCCAAACTGCAGAGCCTTCCACGTGTAAGCGTGTGTGAACGCTCCCGGGCAGGCCTAGGAGCCTCTGTGGGTGGAAAGCGACGGGAAATGCGAAGTCCAGAGAGAAGGAAATCAGGAGGGCAGGGAGTGGGAAGAATCTTTTCTTCTCCCTTTCACAGGCAGCAGTGTGCGGCTGTGAGTCACACCCAGGCCTGCACTTGCACAGGTGGTTTCCCAAACACCTGGGCTTCCTGAGATCGATCCACGTTCGGAGTCAGGACTGACCCCTCACTGTGCATCAGGCTCAAAAATCCCCCCCTTGGGAACAATTAAGGGAAAGTCTTTTTCAAAATGTCATGCTGTGTGGTGCTGAGAATATGTAAACCCATGTTGTAAATGACATGTACTTCAGGGAAAAAAGTTTTCAGGCCTCCCACTGACAATTGGATCGTGCCATCTCAGCATTTAAGGAGACTCTGGAAGCTTCCAGCCAAACCCTTACCCCAAGCTCAGAGATGAGGAGTGCCCTGTACAGACCAGGAACCAGCTTCTCTGGGAGCCCCTGTCGTTCCTGTCTGTATTGTAGATCACCCGCTTTTCTCTGCCATTTTTCCTCCTAAATCTAACTGATTTCCTTAAAATCCAATTTACCTGGAATGAGCAATTTAGTTAATCAGACAGTGGGAACCTTGTGATGCCAGTCAGGCTACTCAGAGGCTCTGAAATAATCGGGGAGAGGAACGCTCTGAGAGAAGAGTGGACAATCCCCGAGCTGCAAGAGGCCAACCGCACAACACAGGAGAAAACAATGGTAGGGAATAAGACCCTGCCATCATAAAGCCCTAGCGGGGCCCCCTGCCATCTTTATGGAGAGCTGCCGTGCACGTTTGAAGACCTGACTTTCAGAAGCGCTGTCTTCAGCCAGAGCTCACGGGATGGACAGGCACCGACTGGCTTTCAGACCCGGCAGAACTCAGGCTGTGTGACATCAGCCCTCGGGACACCAGCTCTCAACCACAGAGTTCTCAATTCTGTTCCATGTTCGGAACGTTAGCGTCCCAGGAAATACAGTGTCTAGATGGTATCTCGAATAATTTTGTTCTAAATCTTGTACCTGTGCAGGTTTTTGTTTCCCCAAGAGAAAATGTTTAGGATTATCTTCTAATCAAAACAGAGTTTGAGGGGCACCTGGGTGGCTCAGTCGGTGAAGCATCTGCCTTTGGCTCAGGTCATGATCCCAGGGTCCCGGGATCGAGCCCCATATCTGGCTCCCTGCTCCATAGGAAGTCTGCCTCTCCCTCTCCTCCTGCCCCCCTCCCCTGCTCCTGCACGCTCTCCCCTTCTCTCAAATAAATAAAATCTTTAAAAAAAAAAAAAAACAACCACACAGTTTGAGAATTTAAAAAAAAAAAACAACCAGAAAACCCAATCATGTGGGAAAGTGAACACTGCCCTTACACCTGACAGTTGCACTTGGCTTTGGCCACACGGTGCAATAATTCTTTGTAGCCATTTATTGGGGTGTATGTGTTCACTGACATGTGGATACGTGAAGTATGTTGATAAATACAGCTGACACACACACACGCCAACGCATGACTAACACGTGTCATGGTCACATATGTGCTTATATGTATTATACGTGTAAATGACACATATATACAACAGGACACAGGGCACAGTGGGAAGAAACCAGAGTGGGGCACTGGTTGTGGCCAGGCGTCTCTGGTCACCCGGTGCAGAGAGCTTGCCAGGCCAGTGCTGTGACATGAGGGGATGAGCTTCCTAGGCCCCTCACGGGAGTCCAGGTACAAGGGCAGAGCAGAGCAGGCCCGGCGGGCACGGGCGGGGGACCAGCAGCCCCCCGGCGCTGGGGCAGCCCCCCTCTGGCTCTGCGTAAATGTCGTGTGCCACAGTCACACGGGAAGCACGAGGTACCTGCGCACCACTGGGAGTCACTTCGTTGCGCATTTCATCTTCTTTGTTTCGTTTTACATTTATTCAGGATGTACCTAACAATCAAAAGCTAATTTAAAATGTAATGAAAGAGGCTGGAACTGCAAATGTGAACTCTGCCTGGGTCCACGTTATACTATCAGAGGGCTGTTGCTCAGTTTTAAGGCCCGATAACGGTGGTGTGCTTTGCTTTTTTCCCCCCAAGAGTCTAACATGTACAGACCCATACGAACATATTTATGCACAGGATTATATAGGATGCCTGGGGCTTGCTTCTGAATATAGAAAGCACGCAGTGGGTGTGAGGGTAACAATGGGAAATTCCACGCCCTGAGCCACACCTATCTCCTGACGGCTGGCCCGGGTGCCCTCCCCTGCCGCAGGACTGACCACGGACTGCTTCAAGCCAGTGCTGCTGGTTCGGGGGGCTAGGAGAGCACGTCCATAGGAGACAGGGAAGGAGCGGGGTCTGTGGACACAGCTGAGGGTGAGCGGCCCTTCGTAATCAGAAGGGCCCTGCTGGGGAAGGTCATCTAAAAGACGTGACTGCCGACTGACCCGTGAGCTGGACCTGGGCATGCCAATGCTCCTCACCCCCTCCCAGTCCTTGGAATGTGGGTTCTGTTCTGCTTGCCTTTCCTGCTCCCAGAAGCTGTTCCAAGGACACAGCCTTGAAAGGTAATGTGGTGTTGAAAACACCTGCAGAGTTTATGGGACTGAGCCCAGGTAGGGCCTCTTGATAAACTTTCAAGATCTGGCAGGCGGGTGCAGGGACCCATTACACCTGGACAGCCCTGGGAGGGTTTCGAACCAACAGGCCCCCCAACTCCATAGTCGTACCCCTCACCCCCCGCTCGCTCTTGTGTCCCCACCTGGTACGTGGCCAGCCCCAAATACCTCTGAGCTGACAGGAACTGAGTGGGGCTGTGCAGGTAGCTTGACAGGTTATCCAAGCTCCCTGGGAGCACAATACCCTGATGCCACTGGGGCTGGCCCTGTCACTGCAGCATGGGTGTGAGGCCAAACACCTGCTCCAGGGACCTCACTCGGAACAGATCTTCCTGGGTCACAGTCTAGTACTGTGCCCTGTCCAGAAACCCCAATATCCTGGAGCCCCATGAGGGGTCTCAGGCTACAGGGCCATCAGACCAACCCGGCACAGAAGGGCTGCTGGGGCACCCCGGAGGGACTGCCAGGCCAGAGGATGCAGTCTACACCTGTCTCTGGGCTGCCCCCCTTTTTATTTATCTTCCATAGAGCAGCTGGGAGGATTCTTTTAAGTTTATATATTTAGTTAAGTAATCTCTACACCCAACGTGGGATTTGAACTTACAACCCCAAGATCAAGGATCACCTGCTCCTCTGAGCCAGCCAGGTGCCCCAGATTGATTCTTTAAATAATGAATCAATAAAGTCACTCTCCTGCTCAAAAGATCCCCACTGAACTTAGGGTAGAGTCCAAATTATCTGACCTCCAGGTCCTTCATCATCTTCCCATCCACGCTCTTTTCCATCCTCACCTCCCTCCTCCCACCCCCTCACTGACATCTACCACACTGCCCTCTGTTATTCTGCAGGTGCTGGGTCCTGCCCCAGGGCCTTTGCACTTGTCCTTTCCTTTGCCCACACCACCCATGAATCCCTAATCACATGTGACACTGTCCCTCTTACTTTTCTTTCATTGCTTACTTTTCATCTTTGCAAGAGGTCTTTCCTGGCCACCTTAATATTGACTCCCCACCTCCAAGGCACTCACTTTCCTGATCTACATTCTTAGTCCCTGTCGCTATTTGAATTTTTCATTCATTGTCTTGTTTATTGTCCGTCTCCTCCACTTAGAATATAAGTTCCATGAGGGCGAAGAATGAGTCCATCATGTTCATTTCCGTAGTCCCTGTCCCTAGAATAGTTAAGGAGTATTTGATGAATGAATGGGTAGCTAAAGGACAGCCCCCACACCTGCACGCTTGCTGTTATCAGACCTGTGACGCTGGCATTCCAGGCTCTGACCTGCAGCCATAGTGCCTGAAGGGCCTCACTCCCTTCCCTCAGGCTCCCTGGACGTGACCCGTTACAAATTCCAGGCAGCTGAGCTAATTTCTTCTTTCCCCTGTCCCTCCTCCAACAGACTCCTTCAGGAGGGGAAACGGGGAGGGGCAGTTCTAGAACCTCAGGTGAGTCCAGTTTATCCTCACGTACAAATCCCTGGCCCACAGAATAGAACACCACACAGCCATTAACTAGGAGGGTAAATACCCACATTCGTGAACACAAAAAGGCATCCACGACCTTCCACTGAGTTTAAGGCAATAGCATAGAGAATATAATTTATATAACATCCATACACAAATCCTTCCCTGTGCATGTACACATGTATCTGCAAGAATGTTCACCAAAATGTTACCCATCTGAATCACTGGATTTCCTCTGAAATTTACATTTTCCTATACTGATTATTCCCTTTATTTAACAACAACAACAACAACAACAAGAGATCAGAGATACAAATCATCCCCAACCCCAGCTAACCAAGAAAGAAAATGGACGCAAACTCTGAGCAAACGGAGGGTCAGGCGGTAAAGCCGCAGGTGCAGCGGGCCCCAGCAGGCTGTGAGGGGCGAGGCTCCGCGCCTCTGCCACCAGGGCCGGTCGCCGCTCGCTCAGGCAGCAGCTTGCCCACGAGCCCGCCGCCACAGAAATGGAGTGGGCAGGCGGCTGCCAGGTCGGGATGTAATTACCCGGGGATGCCGCAAACATTCTCACCCCAACAAGAAGCGTGCTCCTGGGGCCTTCAAAGGGCTGCGCGCCCAGGCCCGCCTGGGCCTCCAGGTGGGCACACTTCAGGCCTGGGTGAGAAGGCCTTGGAAACGCGCGGCTCCCCGGGGCTGCTTGTATAAAAGCATCGGGGGCCTGCGCCTCCGGAGGGAGACGGGACGGACGGTGGCGACGCGGGAGCGCAGGGCTCAGCCGGGGCCATGCTGGCCGCCTCCGTCGTCCGTCGGGCCCTGCTGCTCTGCTGGCTCGCTGCCCCCCGGCCCGCCCGGCCCGAGCCACTTTTCCACAGCCGGGACCGCTCGGACCTGGAGCCCGCCCCGCTGCGCCGGGCCCAGCCCATCGCCGACCCTGTCGCCGCGCAGGTAGGAGCAGCCCCGGCACCGGCCACTCACGGGCACACGCGGGCGCATGCGGCTGCGGGCGCGTGCACGCGCAGGCTCGTGCACACCACACGCAGGCACGTACATACATAGGCCCGCGGGCCCGTGCACACCATCGGCGGGCCCCTACCCCCGCGGACACGCGCACGCGCAGGCACGTGCAAGGCGGCCACACCGCCTCAGGTGAGGGGCCTCCCACAAACAACCGATAGCCACCGACTAGAAATGTTCGCACGGCGAACGCAGACCCGCATGAGGGCCTACGGGCCTCACGCGTCCTGTCTCCTGCGGAAACCTAGTACATGACACAAGCACACGCCCGCGTCCTAGCCGCTCAGTCCGCGAGCCCCGCCCCGCGGGTCGGTACCTCTCTTCCGCAGCGATTCCTGTCCAAGTACGGCTGGGCCGCCGCGCCCCCCGGACCCGGGCCCCGGGCTGCCAGCCCCCACGCGCCGCGCGTGGGCCCCCGGGCCCCCGCCCTGGCCGAGGCCGTGCGCAGGTTCCAGAAGGTCAACGCGCTGCCGGCGAGCGGGCGGCTGGACGCGGCCACGCTGGCGGCCATGAACAGGCCGCGCTGCGGCGTCCCCGACACGCGGCCCCTGCCGCCCCCGGCCCCCGGGCCCCCGCCGTCGCGCCTGCCGCGCCCCGCCCGGCCCAAGCGCTTCCTGCGGCCGCCGCCGCCGCCGCCGCCCGGGGGCCCGCAGCCCGAGGTCGCCGCGCCCCGCGGGGGGACCCGGGCCTTCGCCAAGAGGACGCTGAGCTGGCGGCTGCTGGGGGAGGGCGCCAGCGGGCAGCTGGCCGTGGACGAGCAGAGGCACATCCTCAGACTGGCCTTCCGGATGTGGAGCGAGGTGATGCCGCTGGACTTCCGGGAGGACCTCGCCGCCCCCGGAGCCGCCGTGGACATAAAGCTGGGTTTCGGACGAGGTGAGAAGGGCGAAGTCTCTGCAGGCGGGCTGCGCCCCATTGCCTTCCCACACGGCCGGACGTGGGGCCCGGTTCACCGGGAGCCCCGGGGCCAACAGGCCGACTGGGGGAACCCCGCGCCAGTCACCTGCAAAGCCTCCTGGGGTGTCCGAGGTGGCACCTGCCAGGGGTATGGGCGGATGGCAAACCCTCTGTAGGTGCTGCTTTATTACCACTCACTGGGAAGGGCACGGCATGTCTCCCTGCGCCCACCGGGGAGCGGTCACATGGGGACATCAGTGCGGGCCCTCCGCTTGTCTCTGAGCAGATCAGCGCAGTGAGGCCTGCAGCAGAGACCTCGGCGAGCCCAGCAGGGCGCGACCCTGGCCTGGCTGGCCCTTCCCGCCACTCCTGGGGAACACTAGCCCGGTGGTTTGCTGGCCCCCACCAGCAGGCCCCACCACTTCCTAGCTGGGTGGGTTTGGAGAAAGTAACTTCTCTGCAGCCCCGTCTGGGAGCTAGGGATGCTCACGCCTGCCCTGCTGGTCTGACTGGATTGACTGTCCTGCTGTGAGCTCTACACAGGAGGCTTGCTGAAAACTGTACACAGGGCAGGGACGTGACCGCCGGGCAGCACCTCCTTCGTGTCCTGACCACTCAGCTGTTAGGATCCAGCTCAGATCTCGTCTCCTCCCTCAGCCTTTGGATGGCACCCCCCCCCCCCCGCCCCACTCCTCTGGGCTCCCACAGGTTTGCTAGGCAGCTATTTCCAAGTGTTTAGACTCGACACCACACTGTTGCACAAGCCAGGAGTGGCTGCTTCTGCTCCCGGACTGTGAGCCCTGGAGGCCACGAACCCTCGGGTGTCCGTGTTCCCTCTCCCCTTGCCAGGCCGGCACCTGGGCTGTCCTCGGGTTTTTGATGGCAGCGGGCAGGAGTTTGCACATGCCTGGCGCCTGGGCGACATCCACTTTGACGATGATGAACACTTCACACCTCCCACCAGTGACACGGGCATCAGCCTTCTCAAAGTAAGCGGTCTGCAGCTGTGCGGAGGGACCAGGCAAAGGGCATGCAGCACGCGCTGGAGTGCAGAACGCCAGGGCTTCTCGGGGGAAGTGTCCACAGCCTTCTGAGAAAGCTCCCCGATTCTCCCCCTCGCTCCCCTTCTCCTTAACAAGTGCCGCCCCTCCTAAAGCACAGGCCTGCCCCTGGAGTGGGGGGCGGGGGGTCCACGTGACTCCCAGACACCCAGGGTTGGCACCGCACCCGTGGTTTGTGTTCCCTTTTAGGTGGCCGTCCATGAAATTGGCCACGTACTCGGCCTGCCTCACACCTATAGGACAGGATCCATAATGCAACCGAATTACATCCCCCAGGAGCCTGTGTTTGAGTTGGACTGGTCAGACAGAAAAGCAGTTCAAAAGCTGTATGGTAAGACTGTTCTGGATGATCGTGAGCTCTTCATTCAAGGTGGCCGTGCCCCAAGGGTAGCCACTGGTGTGGAGCAAAGCACTCCCATGGATGTTCCCTCCTCCCTGTGCCACGTTATGTCCCTGGGAGGACGGAGGGTAACAGGGTGGTTTCCTAGAGCTCAGTGGGCCACCCAGGCGGTGGCCTCCCGTGGGCGCTGCAGGCACTGGGAAGCCCCTGGGAGAAGTATCTTGCCGTCCCAAGGCAAAGAACAGCGGGAGCCTTGCCAGGATCAACTTTAATCTCTCTTCAATTATTCAGGCCAAAGAGTTAACGGTTCATTATTTAATGGAAGTGATTAATGACCTGGCGTTGAGGCTGAGGGGAAAGAAAGCTACTCTCCCCTTTTCCATTTAAAACAGAGAGCACCACCATTTCTGTTCCACTCCAGCCATTCTATGCGAAGATGCTCTCAGCATGTTTGGAGAGTGACAAATGCCAGGATGGATTTCTTTCCTGCAGAGGAAATCTTACTCTTGTGTGTGCCCAGAACCAAACTGCTTGCCTCTCATGAAGTCAGATGAGCCATCAAGAGGCATTAGTTATATTTAGGGTGATCACATACCCAGCATCCAAAATCGAGACACCTCAGAGAGTAATCTTCTGCACAAAATAGCCAGAACGGCCCATGTGAGCCGGCACTGCTGCAGGCCCCCGGGGCCCCTCCAACTCCTCCTGCTCGGCTGGATAGGCCTACTTCAGTCTTGGGGGGCGTCTTGCTTTGAGACGGCTTAACAGAAAACTCCAGCTTTGCAGTTGTCTCTGTTCGAGTCACACATGAAAATAGCGACTGTTGGTTTTTGCACCAGGTGACCAGTGGCTGGACTTTTTTTTTCTTTCTCACAGGTTCATGTGAAGGATCATTTGATACTGCATTTGACTGGATTCGCAAAGAGCGAAACCAACATGGAGCCGTGATGATGAGATTTAGCACCTACTTTTTCCGCAACAGCTGGTACTGGCTTTACGAAAATCGAAATAACCGGACACGCTACGGGGATCCTATCCAAATCCTCCGTGGCTGGCACGGAATCCCAACACAAAACATCGACGCTTTTGTCCACCTCTGGACGTGGAGAAGAGACGAACGTTATTTTTTTAAAGGTAGAGCTTCTTCTGAACGGTTCTATTTCTTTTATTACACAGATGCATTCAGAACAAATGTTTTGAGCTCCATACCAAAGAATCTTAGTATAATGCTCTTGCAATTACTCACCTGATTTCTGTCTGTTCTGTCAGACTGTGAGCTCTGTGAGCACAGGGACTGTGTTGTATCCCCTGATCTCTGTAAGAAGGCACTGAATTCGTCAAAGGAACAAATGAATGAGTGGACCAACTGTGCCAGGCCCTGAGGTGGTTGCCAAAGACCCGTAAGAAAGGGCCCTCCCTATAGAAATTTTAACTAGTTTCTGGAGAGAAAAGACCTTAGAAGCTGACCACTAGAATTATGCGGTGAAGGGAAGGATGAGTGGACAAGGTGGCCACTACCCCTGGAACCAGATGCTGGAGCCACCCAGAACTCAGGGATTGCCCCAGCGTCAGAGGATGCGTAGGACCCCGGGTGCTCCGAAAGGGACACTGGGAATAGCGTGATGGGGGAGGTGCAGATGGGGGTGAGGGGGCGGTGAGACACAGGAGGCAGAAGCAAAGCTTTAGGGTGAGGGTGAAAACGCAGATGGGAGACAGCTGAGCCCGTGGAGGTGTGACAGGACACTCACACGGGATGAGATTAGGTTGGAAAGACGGTCGGCCTGAGCACCAAGAGCCTCCGTGCTCAGAGGCTGGATGTCATCCAGCAGGCAGGGAGGAATCAGTGGTTTCCAAGCAGGGAGGGTCAGTGTTTTGCTGGAAGGCAGAAACTGAGGTGGGGGGCCCCGGTGGTGGGAGGGACACACAGAGAGCAGGCAGGCCAAGACTCTCTTGCTGCTGCTTTCCCTCGCTCACAGACCACCCTGCCCAGAACTTCGGTGCCCCTGTCACGGAGGCGGGCTGCCTTGGCAAACCAAGTGCTTGGAGTCCAACCACAAACAAGATTCTGTGGCTGCTGCTTTTTCTTTCCCTTCCCCAGACTTTCGCCCTAGAGGTAAGGGGTACGCCCTGTCTCTGCCCGACTCCCTAGTAATATGACCCTCTTGCCTGAAACCGCTCAGGAGTCCGTGAGGCAAGAGCCCAACCAAAAGGATGCTGTATGTAGATTTGGCCGTAAGAAACCTGCGTATGAATTTGGTCTTAATTTTCCTTACATCACACAAAGGAAGAATTATTTGGGTTCAGTTACATAAAGAAGTTTCCCAGGGTGGACTTGTCTGGTTTAGATCTTTCAGAGTTGGAAGCACAACATTCAGTGCTTTAGGAAGTCCTGGAGTAGAATTTATACTGGCAACAAAGACTCTTAATTATAGAATTAGGTCATTGTGGGGGATTGCTATCATATGGCTGTATTCTATTCTTGGAGCTTTAAAAACATCTTAAAGTTAACTTGCTGTGAATACTTTGAATTCAAAAAGTATTCCAGTTAGAGTGAATGGCACCCCCCGGCTGGACACACGTCATTCACTGTTCTTTTTTGATGGCAAAACTTTGGGGGGGGGGCGGCGAGGGGCGGGGAGGGGATGAGGGAGAGGGAGCTCACATGGTTGGCGGCTGAGGAGCATAGCTGGTTGTGACGTGTAAGTTGCGAACACAAAAATATCTAACCCCGTGGATTCGTTCTGTTTTCTGCTGACAGTATGCCAATAGTCAGGATTAGGAACTATTAAGGAGAATTTAGAATAATCCTGTGGTGTTTCAGAGCATGAAATTAGCATTTGGATCTTGAAATGAAAGGGAGCAAAATGACAAGCTTCAGAGAACAGTGGGTGGAATCACGTGGTGGAACGTGGGGGAGGGGCCTGCACCGGGTCCACCTGCACCGGGTCCGCCTGGGCTGTGATCCGGACGGACCAACTTCAGCTCTTTTCCAAAAACGATGTAATTCTAAAATCCTGAAAAAAAAGTAAAACCCCCTCATAAGCATCAGGATTGTTTTCTCTAAGAAGAGGGCTTAGGTTGATTATGGTAGGAAAATGACTCAGGACAACCCATGGGTCTCTAACATGTAAAAGGAAGATCATGAGACTATATTGAAAGAAGGAGAAGAATCTTCTGTGAAAAAGACCACATGATTTTTGTTCTTTTGTTTTTGCTTTTGATGAGTGCCAGTGGGCTGGAGTGCCCGACAGAAGACAACTGACATTTTCTTTTTTTTTTTTAGTTGTTCAATAAGTGACAGTTATTTTAATATGTTAACAAAAATAAGACCAATGCAAAGTTATTGAAAGTGTGTATTTTTCTAATGAAGTGGCCATTCCGTAATCCTGAAGGTAGCCAGCATTTTTCATAGGCTGTTTGCATCCCTCATTTCCTAAAATTGTTATATTTTTCGTCCTAATCTGCCAGATCCTCAAATTTCCTTAAAACAATTTGAATGGTACCTGTACCTATGCGGGACATTCTTTCATATTCCATAATTGCCACCTGAGTTCTAACCCCCTCAACAACAAGCAACAATATATTGCTGATAGGCTCATAAGGAGAAATCCATCAGCAATGTCTCGTTTTTTCTTGACCTTTAGGTATAACGGTATACCCGTCTGCCCCCAGAAGTATTTGACACATCATCTTTCTTTTCTGTTACATGAGCTAAAATATATTCTATCTAAAAGGATACACGTATTGTCTTAAAGGTAATAAAAGCATCTTCATTACAAATATTGTCCTTTTCCGATTACCTTAAAGTAAGAGAATGCCAAAAGACAAGCATTAAAATGGGAAGGAAACCACAGTATTTTCACACCTGTTAAATAATCTAGCCCCTCCAGCAATTTCTTTTCTTTGGAAAAATCTAAAGCAAAGTTTTCAAAGGCATCATTAAAATTGATGTCTGGAATCAGAACTTGAGAAGATGCTGTTGCCATAGCGACCCTCTCGGCAATATTTTTTGCAGACTGGAGAAACCGGGCCTGGTCATCTTCTTTCAGGATATGTTCAGCCTGGTTGATGAGGACCGTTGACCGCTCAAGACACTGGCGGCAATTAGCCACCTGTTGTGCCAACTTTCTCAGTTTCATAACCTTTGTCTCTTTGATTTTGACAGCGATCATTTGTTTCCTCTGCTGGATGATCTCTACCAACTCGTCACATTCTTCCATGAGTTTTGCCTCATGCATAGCAGTATTCACCTCAACTTGCTGGCAGATCTGTATTAGTTTGGCCATTTGATTTTCTAGTTCACTGTTGCGCTTAACCAGGTTGGTGAGGTTCATCTCCAGAGTTTGCAGCTGATTCCAGCAGCCTTTTCTCCAGCGCCCTGTCATCTTGAAGGAAGACACACCGAGAGGGGCCCGAGTGGGCACGTGTGTCTTTTTTTTTTTTTTTTTAAGATATTATTTGAGAGAGAGAGAGAGCACGAGAGGGGGAGGGTCAGAGGGAGAAGCAGACTCCCTGCTGAGCAGAGAGCCCAACTTGGGGCTCGACCCCAGGGTCCCGGGACCCCGGGATCATGACCTGAGCTGAAGGCAGATGATTAGCCGACTGAGCCACCCAGGCGCCCCTGACAACCAACATTTTAATAGCAGCAGTGATTGCCAGGATCAATCTAGAAGTAATTCAAGACCTGGGGAATCATTCATCTGAATGGAGGCTTTGCTTAGAGGCTGAGGTCCTGCCTCATCCTGGGATCACGGAAGAACATCGTGGTTGGCTGAGACCTATGTTGAAAGCAGTCCCTCTTCATGGTTTGCTATAATTAAATGGTAATAAACCATATTAGCATTTTTTGTTTGGCCCTCAGGAAATCAGTACTGGAGATATGACAGTGACAAGGATCAGGCCTACACAGAAGATGAACAAGGAAGAAGCTACCCCAAATTGATTTCAGAAGGATTTCCTGGCATCCCAAGTCCCCTGGACACTGCCTTTTATGACCGAAGAAAGCAGTTAATTTACTTCTTCAAAGAGTCCCTCGTAAGTGGGAGGCTTCCCAGCCTGGTGGTGCTTCTTCACCCCTACGTGAAATTCAAGGTCTTAGTTACAAGTTGTTCTCAGTTGCCTCAGACCTCTGTGGCCATGGCAGATTCCATCATATGGAAAATGAAGAACTTCAAGCCCAGAGAATTTGGTGCAAAGCCACAGATTTACTTACCTCATTCCTATAAATTAACCTAAAAAATCAATGATTTTCCGAAAAGCCAGTCTTAACTCTCTTCCTTGCTTTGCAGGTGTTTGCATTTGATGTCAATAGAAATCAAGTACTTGATTCTTATCCGATGAAGATCACTGAAGTGTTTCCGGGAATAGAGCCAGAGAACCATCCCTTCAGGAATATAGACTCAGCCTATTACTCCTACGCACACAACGCCATTTTCTTTTTCAAAGGCAATGCATATTGGAAAGTAGTTAGCGACAGAGACAGACAACAGCATTCTTGGCTTCCTTCAAATGGCTTATTCCCGAAGCAGTCAATTTCAGAGCGGTGGTTTGACATTTGTGACGTCCATACCTCCACCCTGAACATGTAATGAGAAAAATGGGCAAATGGAGTCAAAGGATTTTTCTTCTAAGAGAAAGTCTGATTTCTTTTACAAAGAAAACAAACCAGCTTTTTAATAACCAAAGCAAATGAGGCTAAAACCCGGTGGGAAAAGCATTACTTGAACTTTTAAAATACTTGATTTAAAAGTGAATTTCTCAGGCAAAAAAATAATCCACTGAATAATTTTACCAGTCTTTTAGGAAAGGTTAAAAAAAAAGAATCCTGAGGAATCCCTGTCTTTCCACCCCCTGCCCCCCTGCACCCCGATTTCATGGGTGGACGGAGACGTACCTACAGCCATAGGATCCAATCATGGAAGGAAACGCAGCTCCCTGGGGGCATTCAGTGGAAAAAGTCACAGATTTCAAATTGACTACAGTCCACAATTCCTGTCATAATAATTTATATTTTTCTAATACGTGACTGTGTACAGGTTTTCCCATGTATTTCTCGATCTTCACAAGTCTGGCAAAGTGCCAGGGGACCTACTACTGTGCACATTTCTAGTCAAGGTGAAGTTCACACTTGTGTCCTTCCCAGAGTCAGATGCCGTGGTTGCTGGCGACCCTCGCCTCCTCGCTCCAGCCCAGTGCCCAGGCAACCTGCTCTCCATCCCTGCCCTGAAGTTAACTGCAAAACAAGTCATCTCGGTGATCAGGCCACGGATGGCACAATTCTTCTCAAGTAACAGCTAAGACACGAGCTTAACTTTAAGCAGCACGAACTTAAAAAGTAAGTAGATTAAAAAACATTGAAAAAGACCTCTCTCCCCCTGTAGGGATGTTCATATTCTTGCTCGGACAAGGGAAGACAGCTTTAGAATTGGTATCTTCTTGCTGAGAAACAAATACTCCTCTGGACGAAAAGGCTGTTCAGCCAAGGAGAGGCCAGAAAACAAGACCAGGGCCGCGACATCCCTGACACCAGCTCACTTCAGCGTTGGATCTTTTCCACGGAAGCGTGCAGGTTTAACTAGCGGAGACAGTGCTTGCCAACAGGGGAGGCAGAGTGAACGCTGTCCTGACAGGAGACTGAGTCTGTGCACCTGCTTCGTGACTTAGTCAAAACTTTAAATGCTTCAGTGATTTTTCAAAATGGATGCAAATCTGTCCCAAGGAAGTGCAAACTAAGTAACAAGGAAGTGGACAAACGGCCAGTGGCCAGGAGGAGCTCTGCCGAGCTAGGACAGGTGTCCACGCACTGCCAAGGAAAACACCCCAAAGTCTTAGTGCATGAGAAAGCACTCTGTAAAAACTCCACTTAAAACAAGCTTATTCCAGACAACTTTCCCTATAGTTCAGATTCCTCCAGAGAGGTGTGGCTGCTGAGCGGAGGGGTTCTGCAGGATCTGCAGGGAAAGGGGTCTGCCGGTGGCATGAAGGAGGTCGGAGTGGCCCTCGGGGCCAGGCCAGCGGACTTGGAGGCAGGGCAGGCTGTCTACAAAGGCCTCAGGCACCTAAGTCCCGTCCATCCACCCGACAGGAAAGAGTATGCTTGATTTCTGTTCCATTTCCTTGAAACGGATTTTAGTAGGACGGGGCAGGACAAGCCCAGCGCCGCACGCTGTAGGCACAGAGAAAACAGATGCTGTGCATACGCAGCCGGACAGGAGCCATGCAGGAAAAGGGGCGAGAAATGAGTGTGACGTTCTGGTGAAAACTTAGTGAGTGGCACAATTTTATTTTTAAAGTTTTAATCGTTCCTTTGTAAAATTCATTCACTAAACCAGTTCAAATCAAAACTCAAAGTGAAGAACGTGAAATGGAAAAATACGAAGACATTTTAAATAAATAATTTATTTATTCAAAATAGTTTTCTTACCTTATTCACAGTTTCAAGTTTAAAATGAAAAAAAAAAGGGGGGGTAGTACCTATTCTTATCAACTGTCATACAAAGTCAAAGAAAAGCGGATCCTTTCAGAACATGCACTAAATACAGAAACTCGCACAATGGCCAGTCTCCATCAAATCCTGCACCGGAGCTGAAGGAGGACGGGCTTCCTTCTGTGCAACCGAGGAGGAGATGCTGCAGATGCACAGGACATTTCTTTAACCCATGTGAAGCACTAAAATCATTTGCAGAAAAGTCCCCTTGACCAAAGTAACATCATCCAAAATAATTGTTATCTTAAACCCATGTAGCTTAACATACCTCAAAAATGCCTAGAAGTGTACCGGCCACCAAAGCAAGTCTGTTAACACTGAGGTACCGTGTACTTCTCAAAGAAACAAAGGCTGGGAGCTCCAAGTCTGATTCTGATTTTAGCACTTTCAATGAAGAAGTCAAAGAACTCAGCCATGACTTGTCTGTCATGGGAAAGAGAACTCTGTGTTTCCACTGCCGGGCCTGTTGTAGGTGGAAATTTCCCTCATATTTAATGAAACAAAGCACCGAATGGACAAACGAGACCCCGGGAGCAGAAGGCACTGACAGGATCTCCTCAGCCGGAGCCTCGGGCGCGAGTCACTGCATGCCGCTGCCGCCGCCGCGAGCAAGCTGATCCAGCAAATGGATGAGAATGTCGATTCTTTCCAGAAGAGTTGCATTTTTGTTGGCAATAGCTCTCAAAAGCTGGGAGTAAATCTGCTTGTTGGTTTTGAGGACATCTTCCTCAGTATTACTGCTGCAGTAAAACAAAAACAAAGACGTGAAGTGCACAGCGATGCCCAACAATTCAAGAAGAAATCCAAAAATGTAAATAGGAATAGCCCGTCACTTTTCACACGGAAGCAGGTGTTCTATTCGTGTTTATTCCATACTTAACCTTCTTGCATCTATTGCTTAGAGGCCTGTTTGTGGCCATTTACTTCACTGCATCAATTAGAACCAATGTTCCTTCTCTTTACGAGTCTCTGAGTGCCTTCCATGTACTGGGAACGGCTCCTGGCAGTGGACAAACCAGACCAAGAGCCCCGCCCTCTCGGCACCTGCGTTCCACTGAGGGAGGAGTGGGGGAGAAGCCGTGCACTGAACAAGAAGGAAACAGCATGTCTCAGAAAATCCAGCAGAGACAGGCTAAGTAGGGCACAGAGCGGTCCAGGATTTCCTCCCTTCTCTGTGCTGAGCCTGACACCCCTCAGGTCAACCAGCCTGAATGTGGGGATGCTCTCCGTGGGGCTAGAACTGCGCCGGACTGAAGCCCAGACCCCAGACTTGGGAGCTACTCCACCTCCACGTATCCACACTGTCTGTGCCATTTCGTGCGAAGAATGCCCCTCGGGTGCAGGGTCCTAGACATACTCCACTTAAAAACTGTTTTAACAAAGACTTCAGTTGTCCTGAAAATAGGTCCCCCACGGGATAGATCAATAGATTATGTTACTAGTAGAAAACATTACTAATTACATGGCAGTTCATCTCTAGCATCCTTTCTCCCCCCTCCTTTTTAAACGAGTCCAGATGCAATATAGACCCTCTGGCCACACGGGACCAGCTACTGTGGACAGTGGCTCGTCTCCTCAGAGTGTGCGTGTCTGCGTCTGAGCCATGTGACAACCATTGCCTCAGAAGGGGAAGGACTTACAGATGGAAAAACCAAGGCCCAGAAGGGCTAAATAATTTGTATTGAGGTCAAAACATTATATTCTGACTTCAAATGCTATGTTCTTTCCATTCACCAACGTACAAATGTTCTGTTTTTGCCTGAGTGCCCGTCAGGCCGGCCAGAGAGCAAACCGGCAGTCTAGAAGCTCCCGTTGGTGCACATCAAGGCTCGGGCTAGGAGGAGGACTCCTCAACAGGACCCACCTGTCCGTGCTGGGGCTGACCACGGGCCCAGGCTGGAAAGAGTGGGGACCCCACACACCCCTCTCCAGAAACCCGTTTCTCTTCTCCCTCTTAGTCCTACTTCTTTTTTTTAAAGATTTTACTAATTTATTTGTTAGAGAAAGAGCACCAGCAGGGGGAGCAGGAGAGGTAGAGAGAGAAGCAGGCTTCCCGCGGAGCAGGGAGCCACATGCGGGACTCGATCCCAGGACCCCGGGATCATGACCTGAGCCGAAGGCAGATGCTTAACCGACTGAGCCACCCAGGCCCCCAGTCCTACTTCTTTTATCAGGCAAATCTCTCTTCCTTTCAAACCACCTGTGGCACAGTAAAAGTGACCGTTCAAAATGCATTCACTGTCTACAGTTTGGGCCTATAAGAGGGCTATGTTTTAATTTCTGGGTGGGGCTGACATTTATAAAACCTCTGATAATCTTATAAGAAATGTAAACTCCTGACAAATCAAGGCAGTAGTACTTAATCAGTGCTCCAAAAATGAGTTTTTCTTCATGGACAATGATACCACATTTTAGCTGGGGGCCTAAAGATAACTGATGGCTGCTGGGATCATAAATTTAAAACTGAGATTTGTTCTGATCCTCTTTCTGAATCTTAAATATTCATCTTCCAATTTTTCTTTTTTTAAAAAGATTTTTATTTATTTGAGACAGAGCATAAGCAGGGGGAGGTGCAGGCAGAGGGAGAGAAGCAGGCTTCCCACTGAGCAGGGAGCCCGATGTGGGACTCAATCCCAGGACCCTGGGATCATGACCTGAGCCGAAGGCAGACGCTTAACCAACTGAGCCACCCAGGTGCCCCATCTTCCAATTTCTACAAATGATTCCCATCCTTAATCAACTCTCATCAATAGTCTCATTGAACCATGAACTCTAACAAGAAAGGTCCCAATATTTCATTGGCTTATCTTTTTTCCAAAGGCAACTAACATTCCTCTATTTTCCTTTTAATAATCTTAACCAAATATTAAACATACATATTAAATGGCCAGGAACAGCCCATAAAGCTAAAAGATCTGCTCTCTGCACTGTGGTCAAGGGCTTTCCAAACCCTCAGAGATTACTTCTGTTTTTCATTCTATGAAACCCCAAAGCCATCAAAAAAGGTCAAGAGGCTTCAATCTCCTAAAGCAATGAATATTAAAATATAGTACAAGAGTAAATAAATTCTTCATCCAAAAAGAAAACACAACCCAACAGACAAAAAACAAGCATTTCTAGCAGGACAACACTGGTTGTCATAAGAGGAAGTTGTCATAAGAGGATTCTAAGAAAATTATGATTTTTAATTACTAAGCTATTTTCTTTTTAAAGCAGGGTTGTGGCAGGTAGAGAATAATCAAAACAAAACCCACAAACATACTATTTCCTTTCTTTTAAAGTCTAGTTCTGGGGCGCCTGGGTGGCTCGGTCATTTAAAAGTCTGCTTTTGGCTCAGGTCATGATCCCAGGGTTGTGGGATGGAGCCCTGTGTCTGCTTCTCCCTCTCCTGCTGCCCCTTCCCCCAGCTTGTGCTCTCACATAAATAAATTAAAAAAAAAAAAAAAAGAAGAAGAAGAAGTCTAGATCTGATCTCCCTTTACTCCAAACAGGAAGGCTCACAGATCGTGGTGAGACAGCACCGGTGGCTGCCCTCCTCACGATAAATCCCATGTTTTCATGTGCGACCAGTGACACAGGAGAGACACGGTCACTGACTTAGTAACCAGTTTCTCTATGTTTTGAAGCCTATCAACATATAAACTGTATAAACATAAGTATCACATTTAACAGTCTTTTTACTTAATAAACCTTGAAAAATGAACACAAATTAGCTAAACAGGACTTTATGCATCATGCATGAAAACTTCAGGTTGCATTTTTTTGAGAGGATATTAATAACCTGAAAAAACAGGTTAGAAGACCCTCCACTAAAATAAAAATTGCTTAAGCCATATATATGACAGTTGTTTTTTTTTTAAATTTAATTTCTTAGTGTGTGTGCGAGCGCGTGGGGATGGGGGAGAGAGAATCTTAAGCAGGCTCCAGGCCCAGTGCAGAGCTGGACTGGGGGTTTGATCTCATGACCCCACGATCACAATCTGAGCTGAAATCAAGAGCTGAACGCTTAACTGAGCCACCAAGACGCCCCGACAGTTATGTTTATAAAAGACATTGTAAGACCGAACCATCACCTGTTAGTTAACTACTCAAACCAGCAATTTGTGAAAAGTCAGTGAAGCACTGTTTCTCACATATCCTATGTTTATATTGCCACCTTGTGGAAACCAAGAAAAAATTTTAAAATTTACCCGCTCTCGTTAAACAGGAAAAGCCGAAATTTTTCAACTGCGTGTCACTACCTGCACTGTGTCCTCTGCCTTTTAGTTCTTTGGTCAGAAGACAGCGCATCTGCTGAGCCACTGCGCACATGCCAGTACTCCCTGACCTACGGCGACAGGGTGCAGAGCCGCGCAGGACGGACGGTGGGGCTGAGATGGCAGCGCCCCTAAGACGGAGTGCTCCGCCCCAAACAAAAGCTCTCCTCAGGCCACAGACAATTATCTGAAAGCATTTACTGGAGAGGGTTCTTCTCAGAATGTAGACAGCAGGAAAAAGTATGATTCCCACCATCTTGACAAACACAGCAATACAAAGCAGGACAAACTACAAGTACATGACTCTGCATGACTCTATCAAAGAGCTGGGGTCGGGCGCCTGGGTGGCTCAGTTGGTTGGGCGACTGCCTTCGGCTCAGGTCATGGTCCTGGAGTCCCGGGATCGAGTCCCGCATCGGGCTCCCTGCTCGGCGGGGAGTCTGCTTCTCCCTCTGACCCTCTTCCCTCTCGTGCTATCTCTCTAAAAAAAAAAAAAAATCTTTAAAAAAAAAAAAAAGGGCTGGGGTTGCTGGGTAAGCACTGAGTCTGCAAACTAAGGACAGACGGAGACAGGGAAGTACTTCCTTGTCTGCAGCAGATGCAGCCAGATACCCCGATGCTGCTAAGAATTTAATGAGCTGGTAGAGGCTGAGCAAGGGCTGGTGAGGGAGTGAAGGGCCCCTGGGGGCTGCAGATACAGGATGAGTTTACCTTGTCTGGTAGGCTTTTCTTCAAGGACCCTACCAGATGCTCACATAAAAAACTGATGAGAGCCCTAAGAAAGCAACCTTCATGCAGGCTAGGCAAGGGGACCAGCTAGAGCTACAGAAAGGCAGGCAACCCCACCCAGACCCTTTTCTCCAAGGAATGAAAGCCTTAATCTGTAGGGTGTAGTTGAGGGACAGGAAGGCCACAAGCTATGGCAGCCTCAGGGCACTGGTAAAAGTCAATGCAGATAAAGCAGTGAACAGAAAAAACCACTCCACCCCGGGGCTGGGGCAGAAGCAGTGTGAGGCCACACACCTGGCACCCAGGGACCCAGTGTCTGCCTAAGACTGAGGCTTACCCAAACAACTGAGAAGGCCTGGCGCACCCTCTCCCCCTCCCTAGCAGGCTAGAAGCACTGAAGGACAAGCAGGAGTGGAATTATAGCTGAGAGAACTCTAAGAGTGTGAAGACAGACCCTCTCTGAGGTACCACACACCTTCCTTAGGAAAATCCTAAAACTAAAGGTGGAGGAGACATTCAGAAAAACCCTCTGCAGACCTGCTCCAGACTAAGCACAGGCACTGCTTGAGGAACTTGAAGGCTGCTGGACATGAAAAGTAACCACAGCAACAAAAAAATCTCAACCACAGCTCAGCTCCAGGCTAGAAAAATGAACTCAACCCCCCATACTAAAGGCCTAGCATGGGACAGGTGTAAGAACTTTCCAGGCATGAAAATTATTTCCCTCAGGCTGAGATGTCCAGTTTCCCGTAACTATGAGATGCAGAAAGGTAAGGAAACAACACACACCAAGAGAAAGAATCAACAGAACCAGACTCAGATATGACACAGATGGTGGAACTACCCGATCGGCAATTTAAAATGACAATGACTGATACATTAAAAGGCTCAAGTGGAAAATGTGGACAATGTGCAAGATCAGAATGGTCACTTCAGCAGAGAGATGGAACCTACAGAAAAAACCCAATGGGAATACCAGAAATGAGGAACACAGTAAAAAGAGATAGAGAATGCCTCTGACAAGTTCAACTGTGACAAAAATCAAGAATCAGTGAACTTGAAGATAGATTAGCACAGGTACAACTGGAACCACAGAGAAAGGAGAGAGAATGGAACAGAAGAAATAAAAATACCAAGGAAGGAAAGGAGAAATCACAACACACCCATGAATATCATGTTCAAACTGCTGGGGGTGGGGACAGAAAACCCTGAAAGCAGCTGGTGGAAAAAAGGCACATTATATACCTAAGAACAAAGGTAAGGTTCAGAACAGGCTTCCTGTCAGAGAACACGCAAGCCAGAAGGCAAGGGAGGGACATCCCTTAAGTGTGGGACAAAAATGTCTGTCAACCTAGAACTCTATACCCAGCTAAAACATCTCCCAAAGCTGAAGGAGGAATAAAGACTTTCTCAATCAAAATGGAAGAATTCTTTGCTGGTAGATGTTAAAGGAAGTTCTTCATGCAGAAAGAATAGGACACCAGACAGAAAATGGTATCTGTACCAAGAACAGCACTAGAAATGGAATAAATGAAGGTAAGTAAATTCATATAAAAATAAATTGTTCTGGCGCCTGGGTGGCTCAGATTGTTAAGCAACTGCCTTCGGCTCAGGTCATGATCCCGGAGTCCCGGGATCGAGTCCCACATCGGGCTCCCTGCTCAGCAGGGAGTCTGCTTCTCCCTCTGACCCTCTTCCCTCTCATGCTCTCTCTCTCTCATTCTCTCTCTCTCAAATAAATAAATAAAATCTTAAAAAAAAAAATAAAAATAAATTGTTCTATTTTTAATTGCTCTAAAAGGTAACTATCTAACGCAGAAACAATAGTAGTGTATTGTGTTTGTAACATATGTAACAGTGAAATGAATGGTAACAACTGAAGAGAGGGAAGAACTGGGAGGGACTATCTGAAGATCTTCATACAGCATGTGGTGCCACAGAGTATCATGTGAAAGTGGTCTCTGATTAAAGATGTAAACCTAACCCTCGGTCAAACACCAAAACATTTAAAAACTAGTATAAATAATAAATCAATAGTGAAATCAAATGCAATCATAGAAAATGCTCAATTGACTCGAGAAGGCAGAAAAGACAAAACAGCTAACAAGAGGGCAGACCTGATCTGTTACTGTATCACCTTAAATGTAAACAGTCTGAAGACACCAACTGTAAGTTTGGATTAAAAAAAAGCAAGACCCAAGTTATATGTCATTTATAAGAATCTCACTTTTACTAAAAATGGCATAGGTTAAAAGAAAGAAAGAAAAAGACATCAAACAAAAGAAAGTTGAGTAGTTATATTAAGATAAAAAGCAGATATCACATGGTAAGGGGGTCAATTCTCTGAGAACAATCCTAAATGTGTATGCGTCTAAATGTGTCCACATCAAAACAGAGGAAACAAAACTGACAGAACCAAAGAGAAAAATAGATGAATCCACAACTGTAGTTGGAAAATTCCACTCCTCTCTTAGTAAGTGATAAAACAAGTAGAAAGTCAGTAAGAATACAGAAGACCTGAATAATACTATAAACCAACTTAATTGACATTTCCAGGATGCTCTATCCAAGAGAGCAGGATACCCATATATTTCAAGTGCATATGGAAAGACAAACCATATTCTAGGCCATAATACAAACGTACACAAAAAAGAGAAATCATACGAAGTTATGGTCTCAGCACATGATGGAATTACTAGTAATCCATAATAAAGATTACCTGGAAAGTCCCACTATTTAGAAACTAAAGCAGCATACTTCTAAATAACACAGGGGTCAAAGAAGTTGTGTCAGGGGATATCAAAAATTAAAATTAAACTGAAAGAAAAAGAAAATACATTTGTGAGATGTAGCAAAAGCAGAGTGGAATTTATAGTAAATGCTTATATTAGAAAAGAGAAAGGGTCTCAAGTCAATAATCTAAGCTTCCACTTAAAGAAACCAGTAAAAGAGCTAATTAAACCCATAATAAGCAGAAAGAAAGGTATATAGATAAATGTATAAATCAATGACACTGAAAATAGAAAAACAATGGGGAAAAAAATTGAATAAACCAGTTCTTTGAAAAGATCAATAAAATTGATGAACTCCTACTAATCAGACTAACCGAGAAAAAAAAAAAAAGACAAAAGTTGGCAATATCAGGAATGAAAAGAGGGCTATCACAACAAACACCTTAAGACATTAACAGGATAATATGGAACACTGTGAACCTATACATCTGACAACAGCTAAAATACACTTTCATTCCTCAAGAAGAAAAAGTCAACTTGAATAGCATTTTATCTACGAAAAGAAATTAAACTCATTGTGAAAAACTTTCAATAAAGCCAACTCTAGGTTAAGATAATTTCACTGGTAAATTCTAACAAACCTTTAGGGAAGAAACAGTAACTCTACACTTCTAAAAACCAGAAGAGGAAACACCTGCAAATTGATTTAATAAGACCAGCACTGCTCTAGTACTGACAGCAGACAAAACCACCACAAGACCAGAACTGCGATCACACTACAGGAGAGAACCATCCTCACAGACAGACACAAGAATCCTCAACACAGTATTAACACACGGAATCCCAGGGATACCCAAGAATGACACATGCCAACAAAGTGGGGTTTATCTCAGGAATGCAAAGCTGGTTTAACATTCAAAAAAACTGAATGAGCTCTAGCACATCAAGAGATTAAAGAAGGAAAACCATGTGGTCATTTCAATGTGTGTACCAATAAACTGACAGAAATTCCACATCCATTCATGATAAAAACTAGGAAGAGAAGGGAACATTCTCAACTTGATAAAGGGCATCTACAAAAAACCCACAGCTGATGCTACACTTACTGGTAAAAGACAGCAAGCTTTCTCCCTGAGATCTAAGGATTTGGGGCAGAGCAGGGGCTGACCACCAAGAGGTAGCAAGAGGGAATTTTTGGAGTGATGGAACTGTTCTGTGTCATGATTTTGGCAGGAGACACATATCTGTATGTGTTTCTCAAAGCCTGAAGGACTATACACCACCAAAAGTAAATTTTACTACACGTAAACTAAAACAAATATAGAGACAAAGCACCTGAAGATTATAAATTGATAAAATACACACACAGAATAACTGATAACAATGTATGTGTAGGGTGATGGCCAGACTGTACTTACATTTTAAAAAAAGGAAGACATATTATTTATATTACCTTCCTGATCTAGTACCTACTACTAGAATTTCAAGTTAAATTAATAATGCCAACATAGTAACTCTGGCAAAAACAACAGAACTATACAAGCTGATACAGGTGTATGAGAACATTGTTTGCTGAGATGCTCACACTTCTCTTCATTAAGTTCTTGGGCTTTACAGAGATTTTGATGCTCTGTCATCTCCTTCCTATTAGTGTATTCGGTGCTGAATATCAAAACTGTAGTCCTGCCTTCCCATTAAAAACAATGAAGAGTTACTAGAAACAGTCGAGGTCTTCATTCCAGGGTCAGTCATCTCTCTCAGGGAAAACATCATAACCAGTAGGGTATTTACTCTTAGGAAGCAAGACCTGTTTCTATAGTTTCAGTATGTAGTAGGTCACATGGAGAGGAGTCTCGTCTGATTTACCAAGTCAGGAAAGAGCACCACTTAAAATCCCTGATCACCCACACAAAAGACAAGAATGAATACAACCTATCTATCTTTTCATACGGTCAGTTGAGATTATTACCTTTCTACAGGTTAAGCTGCTGGAAAAGACATCTCCACAAAGAACCATTGGATTTACCTTGTTTTCTTCTTAGTTGAAGACAGCAGCTTGATGGACTGAAGGAGAAGGAATGACAACCGAGATTCAAATATACTGAGGAGCTTGATCACTTCTTCTCGATTAAGACTAGGAGAGGAATCTGCAGCTGGAGTGGACTCATCACTCTTAGGCTGAAAACAACAAGAAGTTACTTTACCTAAGCTGCCCGAGAGTGACAGCTTCATAGTGACGTGAAGGGACCACAGTTGCACTCACCCCATAAACTTTTTAGCCAAAAACAAAACCAACAAAAAGGAAACCCCAGGTCATTTGTTTTTCTCCAGGCACAGCCTGTTGGCAGAAGCTGTGATGAGCCTCACATCCCAGAGATCACTCTGATAGACTAAAACCTGTGAAAAATGCCTCACACCTAACAGGCACTTACACAGAAGAAATTAATCCCGAATGGAAATCTCCCACTTTGCAACACTGCAGTAAAGGAGCAAGATGGAAACGGGCATGATACAGGGTTGGACAAACTGGGCCTGGAAGAGGTAACAGGCTGGTGGACCATGGGGGACTCAGGGAAGCTTTCAGCAACAGCAGAAGGCAGCATGAATGCTGGAATGCCAGGCAAACTAGAACTGCTTTCCAAGGAGCTTAAGCCTATCCATTGTTCAACAGCTCCCCAGCAGTTTAGTAGAAATTATAAAAGAGCTATGCACCTCTTTCTTTCTTAAAAACAAACAGAACAGGGGCGCCTGGGTGGCTCAGTCGTTAAGTGTCTGCCTTCGGCTGAGGTCATGATCCCAGGGGTCTGGGATCGAGCCCCGCATCGGGCTCCCTGCTCAGTGGGAAGCCTGCTTCTCCCTCTCCCTCTCCCACTGCTTGTGTTCCCTCTCTCGCTGTCTCGCTCTGTCAAATAAATAAAATCTTTAAAAAAAAACCAAAAAAACAAACAGAACAACAACAAAAAAGAACAAAAAAAGCAAAGGAAAACACAACAGAGATGTTATGCTACCAGGTCTTACTAAGCTCTATGTGGTTATTTAAAGAAAAAGAAATTTTAACATAAAAGATATAGTTCCAAATTAAAGAGTTTAATAATCCCACCAAGAAAATATAATAGATCACTGTTAATGTGTTTTATGCAAAGCACATATATGTATATCTATGTCTGTATATACACATACACACGTAATACACCTAACACACACATATACCCCATATGCTCACTATGTATGTTCACCATTTAGCTTAAGACACACAAAAAACCAAGATAAATATTTTCTCCACTTACCTGGTCAAATTCCTCTACAAGCTCTTTCCTGATGAGCTGGAATGCATGCTTAGTTCTCACCATTATATCAAGAGCCCCAGATAGTGTTTTTAATTTTCCAACATTGCTATTCTGACCTAGAGTGTTAAAAACACAAAAATGATCATTCCTTTAAATATAAATCTAGAAACCCATCCAATGTCAATGTATTAATGAAAACTGATTTTCAAATGCTATAATAGTAGCTCATGAGAATCTCAACAAATTTTCTAAAATCCAACTTTTAATAATTATCCCCAAATAAAAATATTAAGTCTACAAAACAATAAATAACAATTGTCTCCCTGCCTTACCATTTGGTTCTGTCAAGGTGAGAACACAACCTATCTGAAATAAGACCGGAGTGTAAGGTCAAAGAAACCAGCCAGGACAAGTCTGGTCCAAAGGCCCCCAAATGTTTACATTACTTTTTTCAGGTACTCAATTTTTAAACATTTTTTAGAAGGAAAATTAACCGTATTTATCATCTTAGCAAATTTGTTCCCAGTATCTGTTTCTATGAAAATGATGCCTGCTCTCTTGAAGGAATTCAAACATGGCAGAAAATTCAAAGATGCAAATGAAAATAGGTCATCCAAAACGCACCCCCCAGAAAGAGCTACTGTTAATCCTGCCATCTAGTATACACTGCCAAAAAGTTAAAAATACTTTCAGTAAAAAGTTTTTGTGCGTGTTTTTTTTTTTTTAAAGATTTATTTTTCTCGGGGGTGGGGGTGGGGGGAGGGAAGGGAGAGAGAGTCTCAAGCAAACTTCACACTGAGTGGAGCCTGACATGGGGCTCGATCTCATGACCTTGAGTCACAACCTCTGCCAAAATCAAGAGCCAGATGCTTAACTGACTGTGCCACCCAGGTGTCCCAGTAAAAAGTATTTTTAAAAACTGATTTGAATAGCTAATACATTCTCAAAATGTATAAAGTCTGAATCAGAAAACAGTGAAAGCCTTCCTCCTGGCCCCCAGAGGCAGCAATGTTATCACTTTCTTGTGCATCCTTAGGGATACTCTACTGAAAGAGTCATCTACCTGGTTAACTATTACATGTATTTTAATTTTTACAAGAAAACAACTGAAATAAAATCAAATGAACAGCTGCACTTCAAAGAAACGTTTGTTTCTTTACCACATGACAGCTATTTTTCCAAAGACCCCTGCTACAGAAGGCAAGCAGGTGGGCAAGAGCGGGAGAACTCGGCAAACACATTCAGCGTGGGGCAGCGACTCCCTCCCTGCTGTGGCCTGCCCCAACAAAGCCGGCTCATCCGCCTGCCTCCTTCCCTTCCCTGCCCGTATAGCTCTAACCTTGCTCAGGATCTGCAGTTCTAGTTCCGTAATCCACAGCTGCCAGTACCCACTGGAAGTTTAAAGGAATTCAATGGGGCCACTGCTTCTCCCTTCCTATGTTGTTCATGATGATTTATATCTCTAATGGTCTCAAGTGACCTGTCATATTTTTTTTTTCCAAGTAAGAGAGCGTGGGCTATATTTCAGTATTTCTACGAACATAAATAGTCACAGAACATAATCAAATCCATTTTCTAAACTTCAAGAAGTATAGAGACTTCTCCTGGCCCCTACCCAAAGCCGTTAACTATGGGCAAATTAAAAAGAAAACATTATCTACATTCAAGAGAGATCCCCACGTCTGTCTCACTCTAAGACAATCTAACACGAAGTCAATGCACACAGATCTGTGAAATGACAAAGTTAAGACTTACTGGTCATTTGGAATTCTGCAAATGCCACTCTTTCTAACTGTACTCTAAGTAGTTCACAGGGAGCATCTTTGAGAAGCTGAAAAAGCTTAACAGCTTTGCTGTAATGAAGATCTGCCAGTACCCGGTGCTGCTTCCTAAGATGTTCATCACCAACCTAGAATCAAAATAAAATAAAAAGACAAATCTTAAAGCCTGGGTTTCACTATAACTACTTAACCAAGTCTCTGGATCACTAAATGTTATTCAGTGTCGTTATTTTTGTAGAAGTCTTATAGTTTTAGTTCTTATAGTTAGAGGTGTTTAATCCACTTTTGGTTTTGTATATGAGGAGCTGGAGTCCAACTCCAGCACGTGGACATCCAGCTGTCCTGGCACTAAGTCTTTCCCCATTGTGTTGTCTTGGAATGCTAAAGCTTGCTTTTGCCTTGAGGATACTAGGCCATCTGGGCAAGCCTGAATTTTGGTTAGGATGTCCTGGGGCAAGGGGAAGAGTGTTCAGGGGCCAGCTTAAAGTGAAAAGAAATCCTCTCTGATTAAGCTGGACCTCAAAGGACAGTATTCTCAGGATAAGGGCACCCAGAAGAAGGCCCATACCCAAGGGACTGCAAGGTAAGTTGTCTTGGTCCTGAGCTAAGTAAAGGGAAACAGCAACACACACAAAAAAAAACATTACTGAGAAACTTCAAATACAAGATTCCTTGGCAGAAGCCAAGCAACCATTCTGGAGGAAGGTACCTTCAACCTGGGCCTCTATTTATTCTTAGACACACATGCATCTGAGTACCAGGATTCATGTACAAGGTTGTTCACAGCAGATTACTTCTAATAGCCTCACACTAAAACAATCCAAAAGTTCAGAAATCACAAAATGGATAAATAAACTGTGATATATTCATTAAATGAATACTAGTGAACTAAGAAAATGCACCAACCAGGAGGAATCTCAAAAACACCATGTCTAGTGAAAGGCAATAAACCACAGAATACGTACAGTATGATTTCTCCTATAAAGTTCACCACCAGGTAAAATGTTTAAGTGGTAAAACAGAAAAGGTGCGGACATACTGGAAAATCCAGGACAGTAGTTACTCTGGGTGGGTCTGGAGGGAGACTCGGTGGGGAGGGGGTGGCGCACAGAAGATATGTAATTTCACAAAATAATACCCAATCAATTATTGTAGAGAAAAATACGCAGCAGAGGCGAGAGTGGAAAATCAACTACACTGCAAGTTTTTCTAAAGCAGCTAATAGAATAGATGGCATTTAAATAGATAGTGAAATATAAGAAAAACAACCAGAACACTTTTAAATGGACTTGAGATTGAACTTAAGTTAGAATGGCAATACCTGATTTCTCAGACAACTGTGGTACATGGATGCCAGCCTGTGATGGATGGTCGCGGCTCGATACTGACAAAGAGGCTGTCGAGCAGAGACTGAGTCCACATCACAGTATTTCAGGGACTTCATCATAGCCTCACTGACTTCTTTTTCAATCTGTTTTTTTTTTTTTTAAGGGGGAGGAGAAAAAAATGACAAGCCTATAATCTTAAATAAAAATATTTAAATCCTGCTTATTACGGAAAATATGCTCAATATCTGTTAAAGGCATAAAGTTGAAGACTTCTTTTATAGCCCTGCAAATATTATTACCTGCTCCTGAGCTTTCCTAGATAATGGAGCATAATCTTGCTGTAGAGTTGCCATCGTGAAATAAGTAGTGGACAATTCCCAGTTCACTGAATCCCAAACAGCCGGGTGTATGTCTCGTGTCCCCAGTGACCTCAGAGCTTTCAAATAGTAATCGACAGCCTGTGAGGGAGAGAAAGATCCAGTTCTGACGCGGTCTAAATCTATGCCAACAACCTATGAAAATAAAACATACTTTAAAATCACCCAGATGTTAATTTGGTGTGGGAACAATTTACAGAAGGGCAATACTGTGAGGAAAGGAAAAAACCCTATCAGTGAAACTGTTGCAATGAGGCGAGCCAGTTCAAGTGGACTGCACGCCACTCCCCGTTTCCACAGCGAGTCCAGCATAAGCCTTAGTGCCTTCTGACTCGTGCTCGTGCGCGAGGATGCTTTTCCCTCCTTTGGTTTTTTTCCTTGCTAAATGAAAATTAGTTTATATAACTAGTGAGCTAGAAAAAACTAACTTGATGAGCCCAAGGACAAAAGATTGCTGGATCTGACTAAAAAGAAGCAACCCCTTCCACCCTTTACCACCTCCAGCCTGAAGGGCATGGTCATTATATTTAAGCAAATAAAATCACATTTAATTCCATCACCTAGCAATAATTTCTACATTTCTTGTGTGTATCATCTACATTTTTCTGTGTATCTGTAAACTTAAAAAAACTATAAAAAGGATTTTAAAATCTCCCATGCCATGGGGCGCCTGGGTGGTCCATCTGACTCTCGGTTTCAGCTCAGGTCATAATCTCAGCGTCGTGAGATCGAGCCCTGCATCTGGCTCTGTGATCAGCAGGTCGTCTGCTTGTTCTCTCTCTCCCTCTCCCTCCTCCTCCCACACTCGCACTCAAAAAAAATCTCCTATGCCACAAACATTCTTCACTAGTATTCACATAGCTGTGAAGTACTTGTTAAAGGAGAGCTCTTGGGTTGCCTGGGTGGCTCAGTCAGTTAAGCAACTGACTCTTGGTTTCAGCAAAGGTCATGATCTCAGGGTCCTGGGATGGAGCCCCACCGCTGGCTCTGCACGGAGTCTGCTTGTCCTTCTCCCTCCCCCCCGCCCCCCCACGAATAAATAAAGTCTTAAAAAAAAAAAGGTGAGCTCTTGTTCCAACACTGGATGTTACCACTTGCCAAAATACTTGGCAATTCGACAAACAAAAGAAACTCAATTTTTAAATTTCATAAAAATTTAAAATTTGAAATTTCTTCCATATTAACCACTTTTTTTTAATGTGTATGAATTTTTTGTTCAAGATTATTTGCCCCTGGGGCGCCTGGGTGGCTCAGTCGTTAAGCGTCTGCCTTCGGCTCAGGTCCTGGGATCGAGCCCTGCACCGGGCTCCCTGCTCCGCAAGAAGCCAAGCCTGCTTCTCCCTCTCCCACTCCCCCTGCTTGTGTTCCCTCTCTCGCCGTGTCTCTCTGTGTCAAAGAAATAAAATCTTTAAAAAAAAAAAAAGATTTGCCCCTTAATGAGCACTGGGTACTATGAATCATAGACCTGTACCTCTGAAACCAGTAATACGTTATACGTTAATTAAAAAAAAAAAAGATTATTTGCCCTTTTTTCTACTGGGGCAGTTTATTTTCAGTGATTCTTTATTTTATTTACTTATTTTTAAAGCAAGCATTATGTGCAAACGTGGGGCTCGAACTCACAACCCGGAGACCAAGTGTGCTCTACCAACCGAGCCAGCCAGGCACCCGTCTTCAATGGTTCTTAACTCTTCTTCATATATGAAGGCTTTATCCACCTCTGATCTGTTCTGTGTTATCAATATTTTCACTAGACTGGGGTTTGCTTTTCAATTTTGCTTTCCGTCGTGCATTTGGAAACCGTTATTTTTACACATTTAGGTGCATCCATCGTCTGCTCTGCGACCCCTGCCTGTTGTGGTGTGCCGGCCTCATCACACAAAGCTTCTCCTCCACTTTCTCCTGGCACTTTCTCAGTCAGCCTTCTCCACGTCAGCCTTTAATCCAGCTGACGTCTTCTCTGCTTCCGCCAACACGACTCACTGGGTAATCATCTTGTCAACGCCACATCCTCGCACCCTCGGGAGTCTGTGTTCTGTCTTCTCCCGTGCCGTCACCACAGTTCTGGTTAGCCTTACAAAATTTTCAGGGAGCGATGGCAAAGGTAAATGGCAATTAGGTGTAAATGGATGAGGTCCGACATGCGAGCGTGTTACCTTATTGTAATACAAGCCTTCTTCTGGTGAGAACTCCCGCTTAAACTCATCGCCGGCACCACAGTGCGCCTGCGCACAGATCCGCATGAGTCTCCCCGTGTTACACAACAGAAGGGCAGCATTCGTGGCATCATCAATCGACTCAAAGTTGTGAATTCCTTTTTCAAAACAAGAAAAGCTTTTTTTCCACAACTGCTGCTCCGCGGTAGACACACTTTTGCTCACTGCACACAAGAAAAGAGAACAACACACGTAAGCGGGCGTCAGTGTCAGCCCTCTGCGTGTCCCAGGGAAGGACGAGGACAGGAGGACAGGGCCAGGGCGGCTAAGGAACCAGCTGCATGCAGCCATCGCAGTGACCTGGTTGCATCATCCCCCTCCAATTCATGGCGAGGCCTTAACCCCAATGTGACTGTATTTGGAGACAGGGCCTATAAAGAGGTAATTAAAGTGAGACCAGGTCATAAGATGGGGCCCGGATCCCACACGACTGGTGTTCTTCTAAGAGAAACAGACACCAGGGGCACACGCACAGAGACCAGGTAAGGACACAGCAAGAAGGTGGCCATCCGCAAGCCACGGAGAGAGGCTTCAGAAAACCCCAACCTTGCCGGCACCTTGATCTTGGACTTCCAGCTTCCAACTTGTGAGAAGTACGATTTCTGTCTTAACCCACCCGATCTGTGGTATTCTGTTACGGTAGCCTGAGTAGACTCATACAACACTCAAACATGGCCCTCTTTCACTATAAACTGACTGATATGAAAACAAGCAAATAAAAACATCTGAGCAAAGCCCTATTTTATAAAGATTCAAAACACGTGGTCCCACGGAGTTGTAAGAGGTAGGATCTGGGTTGTGTCTAATTCTCCTAGGTTTCTGACCACCACTTTGCATGCTCCTTCACGGACTTCCTCCTCCAGAGACACCTCAAAAGCACAGGCTCTTACATAACAAAACTTAAAAAGGATGACCTCTTTGTATCCCCAGTGCCAAGCAGAATTCACAAACAACCAGGCACACACACATTTCTTCAACTTACCCGCTGTCCTCCGTTCTACTGTGGCCCTATTCCTTCCTTCTGCTGGCTGGTCTTGACATTTCCAGCATATTCTCATGGATCCAACTATCCCCTCCCTGTATCATCTGAGCGATCCCCAACCTGTGTCTTGCTAACCCAAAAAGCTCTAAGTACAGGTTTCTAACCAACAACTGAGCCAGACCTTCCACTCACATGTCTACCCGGATCTCAAACTTGACACAGGCCCAGCTGAATCCGTTATCCTCTGCCCGAATCACAAAAGACCACTTGCTGCCACCCTCACAATCCACTGGACCGCGCATCTCTAGTCCTTCTCAATGCTGCCTCCTCAGTCTGGACAGCAGCCCCCTGCCCACATCTGCCTGCTGATATCCTACATCATGCACCAATCTGCTCAAACCACATCTTCTTTCCAAAAGCCCTCAAAAAAGCCTCACAACTTCAATAAACATCTCCTTTCCCCACTCTTCTACTGTACCACATCTGTGCTTATGGCATTTTTCAAAAATTTGTATTTCTTTTATTTATTTATATATATATATTTATATATATACATTTTAAAGATTTTATTTATTTGAGAGAGAGAGAAAGAGAGAGAGAGAGCACAAGAGGGGAGAGGGTCAGAGGGAGAAGTAGACTCCCTGCCGAGCAGGGAGCCCAATGTGGGGCTCGATCCCGGGACGCCAGGATCATGACCTGAGCCGAAGGCAGTCGCTTAACCAACTGAGCCACCCAGGCGCCCTATTTATTTATATTTTTAAAAAATACTTTATTTATTTATTTAACAGAGAGAGACAGTGAGAGAGGGAACACAAGCAGGGGGAGTGGGAGAGGGAGAAGCCAGCTTCCCGCGGAGCAGGGAGCCCGATGTGGGGCTCGATCCCAGGACCCCGGGATTATGACCTGAGCCGAAGGCAGATGCTTAACGACTGAGCCACCCAGGTACCCCTCTTTTATTTTTTTTTAAGACTTTGTTTTTATGTAATCTCTACACCCAACATGGGGCTTGAACTTACAACCCCGAGATCGAGTCGCATGCTCTACCAACTCAGCCAGGCCGGCACCCCAAAGATCTTTCTCTCTGGCTTCCTGACATGAAAGAGGACTATGTTTTAGTCAATTACACATGCTGCACAGAGCCTAGCACAGGCTGGCTGTGCGCTTCCCTTCTGAACTGATCAGATGGAGAATGGAGGACACTGAAATGATGAATCTCAAAGGGAAATGTATTTTCCTATCTTTGTTTCTCAAGAATTTAAGAATAAAAGATTCATCAACAGAGCACCCCTTCCTACATCAAGTCAAGTGCCACAATTCTCTGCTCAGGCCATAAAATCAGCACGATTTTCTAAGAGAAGAGGCAATAAAGAGAGGACTCCAAAGAGATACTCACCTGCTCGCTCACTCTGCAGTGCAGCAGCCTGATTCATGTAAAACACACCGATTTCATTTCTAATGTTACCCATTCTCTTCAATACTTGTACGTAGTGTTCTGGGTTCTGGCTTTTTAAGTCACTAAATTGCAAGATTTCATTAGCAGCTTCGTAACATTTACAACTGACTGAAAGCTGACTCTCTAAGTCTGTAGACAAATCGGTTGCCCATGCAAATCCTTGAAAGAAAAAAAAGGAAACATCACCATGAGTCCCGAGAACCTTTTTCCTTAGTATCCATGTAATCTCCTATTTTTAAGACAGTAAAAGAAACCCAAAATGGTATAATCCTACTAGGATTTAATCAATACATCTAAAATTTTAAGTTTTAAAGATCTTTTAATTTAGAAAACTATGTTTTCCTGGGATATTAATGTTTTAATAAAGAAATATCTTCCTGACCAAAAATACCAAACAATTTCCATGATCTGGATTTTACCAAGCACACTTGCTCATTGGTACAGACTTGAAGTTTGCTGATACGAGGTAAAACGTTTTTTTTTTCTTTTTAATTAATGGAAATAGTTCTTGAAATAAAGCCGACTGCTACAAGAGGCTACTTATGTACCTTATGGTTTGCAATGTCCGTTTACCTCACTGAAGCAGCAGCTACATAAGCTCTCAAAGACTCCAATATGACATCTGGTGGAACTGGAGTAAACTCAGGTGCAGGGCCCAAAATTCAAGGGGGAAAAAAGGGAGCACCCCTGCTGCTAACACTGGCATCCAGGAGAGACGTCACTCTCACACAGAAGTGTTTTAAATGAAATTAACGTGATGAAACTGATCATTTGAGAAACTCAGGAGAGAAGGCAAAGAAAGAGGGCAAAAGTGAGGAAATACTACATTCCCCCCAATGTACTTCTCTAGATGTGTAAATGTCCAAAAATTTTGGTGAGCTGGATATCAAATAACATCAACGCTTTAAGAGCAAAATACGACAATGCCATGATAGAAGGACGGATCTCCGAGCTCATTTACCACCCTGACCGCAGTGAGCTTATGACCGTAACTAAGGATACAGTCGCTGTGGACTAATTCTCCCAGTTTTAAAATCGGACAACTCCAAAACAAAGTAATATATTCAGTAAGACAGTCAGCCATGAACTAAGTTTAAAAAAAATGATCTCTGGATCTGGGCCCCCAGAAATCATTCAGAAGGTAATTCATTCCCTTTTACCAACTGTTACTCCTTTTCAAAAGAAAACCATGGCTTGGTTCACTGACTACAAGGTTACCTAGGAAAACCTCATGAAAAGACCAGAGTGAAAAAGTCAACACAATTGTCTTAGAGCTTATTTTATCTTTAGTCCTAGTTGTGTAATTAGTAATTATGAAATATTCTGAAATCATTTTACACACAAATACATGAGGGATCATGTTCAATTTTAAAATGAAGCAATCAATGAAACAAAACTGCAATATCAAAACACTAATGTTTTCACCACTTTCCTGGACATACTCCGATAAGCATAAGCTGGATGGAATAATCCCCACATGAATCGAACGCTGGGTCTCACTGGCATACCTTGACAACTGGACTCCCTGTGGAGGCTGTGTAGTATCTCCTGATCTTCTTTTGTTTGATAATTAAACTCCTCAAGATGCGCTGCTCTGTTGTTCGCATTCTGGGCCAGCATCAGTTGGATGTCGCCACAGAGCGTCAAGTACTGAGACAGAAATAGCAGCACTTCCGAAAGCATGTTGGTGCAGAGGCAGCAGTAAGTATCTGGGCAGAAGAGGTGTGAAAGAGAAAAAGACACCGGTGTATTAGAAATTAATGAATACAGTGAATATTAAGATGATTTGTTACTAGCTGAAAGCTTTGTACCACTGTATCTATTCTATGTTATGTCAGTTATCACATATGGCTTTATGTATTTCAAAAGGAAGAGATAATCAACCAGAGCAGAAAATAAAATACAAAGTAACACACTCAAGACTGGAAAAAGTTATTTCAAGGTTAAATTTTACAACAGAAATAGGAGTAAAACTTCACTGCGATTCAGATGCCTTTTCTGTTCTCCCCTCCCAATGTCTATGAAGTGTATTAATTTACAGTGACTTACCATGGCTCTGCAAAGCTAATTTAATGTATCGTAACGCTCTTCCATATTTCTGAAGACTCATGGCAGCATCAGACAAAACATAATAGGCCTTTGATGACTTGAGAATCAGCTGGAGTTTCATTTTATGTTGCCAAGAACCAGGGATCATTCCAGATTGACTGGAATAATTACCCTTCTGAAGGGAGCCCACTACGACAACGGAGGAGGGGAAAGGAAGCACATTTTATTTGAATGTAAGTCTCACTATAAATAATGTTTCTTGACAGACAGTCCAAGCTTAGGTGCTCTGGCTACAAGACTGGTAAATACTGTGCTTTACTGCTTAACCACAGAGTAAAATGGCAGTGTTTCAATAGACCCTCACTGGATTTCTGAAGGCTCTCTGCTCCCTGCTGCCATCAAGTGTGTCATGCTCTTTCAGGGTCACTGACGTAACTCATGACTGGCACGTCCTTTCTCCAGTCCATGTATGAACCTGCCAGGTTCTAGAACCCTGAAGTGGCTCTGTACCACTAATTAAGCCCTGTCTAAGCTTCTTAGCCCACTTCCTGGGTAACATTTTTGTCTTCCTCCCCAGTATTCCACCCTTACTACTCATCAGCCAAAGTCAAGTTACTGCTTGTTGCCCACACAGATGCCTATTTTTCCCACCTCCTCTCTCAGTGAACTGCTTCCTCCACCAGGAACATGCTTTATTTAATAAAGCCCAGCCTACTACTACCTTCTTCATTTAACAAATGATCCCTTTTGTGCAAAGCACTATGCTAGGCACCAGAAACCGTGACATGAAGTTCTTTGTTCTCCATCCCTGGAGATCTTGCACACCAGAGGTACAGATAGGCTGCTAACACAAACCACGGCAAAATCTATTATTAAGTGCAACTACAGAGGTAAGAACAAAATGCTGTGGGAATCCCCCTCCCCAATCTCTGAGCCTCAAGATTTCTCATTTTTTGATCAGTGACAACATGAATCTTTCAATCCAAAGAAAGGTACTTACAATCGCTCTTATGGTTTTAATTGTGCATGTATTTCTTTTTCCTCTGTTATTGTATGCATTCTCTGTGAGGCTTGGTGAGAACACCAGAACTGAGTAAGACACAGTGTTTGCTCACAGTTGTATTGGTATGCGCATAAAACCACTCAACACAGCTAACTATGACATAAGGCAGGCTTCAGTTAAGTTCTCAAGGACAGAGTGCTAGCAGAATCAATTCTGACCAGAGAGAGAGGTGAGCATAAATCTCTTGAACATCAGCAGGATTTTCAACAGCTGAGTTGGGGACGAAGGAAGAGAGAAAAGGCATTTCAAAAAAAAGAGTACCATAAAAAAGGCAGAGATGTCTCAAGTCCTGGTATTCTCCTCCCGGTATAAAGGCTGAAGCCGGGCACACAGGAAGCAGTACTTAAATGCTAGGGCAATAAATTTACTCCCCCCACATACAACTTATATTCATGAAGAGAAAAATCAGGAAAGCTCTTGGTATTTCAAACATACAGGCTTCCAAAACTTTTTAAGCAACTGAAAGGGATTTTTTAAAAGTCCACATGTTCTTCATGAAGTGACTTTCCTGAGGAACAAATTAGACAATTTATAAGCGACCTTTCTAGCTTATTCAAGGCCCACTCAGTAACAAAAGCCAACAATCCCGTGGCGCTTATTACGTGCACTGTTCTAAGTACTTCACACATATTAATTCATTTAATCCATATAAAAACTTTAAAGTAGGCACTATTGTCTCCATTTTGAGAGTGGGGAAAAAAAAATAAGGTTCAAAAACGTGGAACTTGCCTTAGCAAAGCCAAGATTGAGGCTAGGCAGTTTGGTTCCGAAGTCTGCTCTTACACGACTGCTTTTACTGAAGCAGTAATTTCTTACGAGAACCCTACTGAGCTGAGGGCATTAGCTCCTCGCTGCAGGGAACTGGAAGAAGCGGAACTTATTAGGAGTATTTATAAAGAGTCAAAATTATCCTTTGTTTTATATTTTGAATGAATGGTATTTTCCCCTACTTTCCATTCACATGATATCCTTCTCCTGAATTCCTTTCAATGAATGCCTTAATTGACAGAAGTCTGCTGTTGATAAAGGACTAGGATACTATTCTATAGAAAAGTCCTTATTTGCACATCAATTCAACTTACTTTTGTCCAAAAACAAGGCCATCTGCTTCTCCAGACCCTCAGGACCCCCCCTTGTGGAGTCATCTTCATATTTTAATGGGATTGGGGTGTTGGGGTCAGCTGCAGGAAGGTCGCTTTCTTTTTTAATGCTGCTATCCACAGATTTTAACCCCTTTAAAAGAGGAGAAACGTTTACTATACACATAACTGAAGGTCAACTAGAAACTAAATATAAGGCTCTGAACACATTTAGGAGTATTTAAATTTTGAAAACAGACTTGAAAAGACTACATTTTACTTGAAACAGTTGGGAAAAACTAATTTTCACTTTATGCTTAAAGGGGAAAAAAGCCAGAGCAGAGTATCATTCAGAATAATGTTTAGACACCAATAAACAAGCGCTATGTGCATACCAAATATAAGTTCACTGAAACAGTGAAGACAAAATTAAGACTTACCTCCAGAACATAGCTAAGCACAAGTCTACAGCGCTCCTCTGTGTCATGGCAAACTGGAAACGTGCAACTGGGCTTCAGAAACAAACATTTAAAACTATTAATATGCTGCCCACGTGACAAACTTCACAGCTCTCAGCTCCTGGGAATTATTAAAACTCTACAGATCAATAATTTCAAAATATGCTGTGTATTCAGCTTTGTGAGGTAACTGATACTAAGGTTAATGTACTGCTTTCACTGCAGATAAAAGTGACATAAGCATCCACAAAAACCTTGCCTAATAACTAATAAAAAGACCTTCCAAAGTATATGTTACTTTAAATTCTTACAGTTTTAAAAACAATTCTATTATGAGAAAAAAGCAAGAATGTGAGTAATGTTTTAGATACATGTATACCTAATCTAATAGGTGAGTTTAATCCCTAATTAGCACTGATACTCGGTAACACACAGTTAACAATATCATCAATTTAGCAGTAAGTTAACAAGTATCACCAATGGTCTCATTGCATAATTTGTACAATTTAAATGCTTAATTATGAGAACCAGTTAACAACCCGAATCTACTAAGTGATCTTCTGTGTAAGGGCCTCTGCGAGGCATTTCATTTTTGGTGAATCCTACAAGGCTGGAATGACTTTTCTCACTGTGCATCAAGCACAGATGTTAAGTAAACTGTCTGTGGGCAGTCACTGAGCTGGAAATGAGGTGCTGAAGCCACGCTGACTGTAGTTTCAAAAGTTCACTATTAAGGCAAAGCTAACAAAAGACCTGTTTATATGAGTAATAGGACCGCATTTTTTGAGTGCTTCAGATATTGATAAAAAGTGCCACCTCTGTAAAAAACTGTAAACTAACATACCACTACGTCTTTGTCATCTACTTGCCGCATAAATCTAGGGTCTTGTGTTACAATGCAGTTCCCCAAATACACAGAACTTTTGCCATCAGTAATCTTGTTTATAATCAGGAAAAACCTTTTTTTTTTTTTTAAATTCCACTGGGGGGTTCAAGCTGTAAGTGCACTAAAACTCAGATGGACAGTTAAGAACTTGTCCTGTAGTCATTTAATCAAGTATTTCCTGAGCACCCATTACGTGTCCTCAACATGGGAGGTACAAGAATGTCTACACGTACAGGGAGCTTCTGTTTTCATGAAGGGAAACAAACACAAGCTTTAGATACAGATTATGATCTCCGTGAAGGAGATAAAAATATAGCATGCTCTGGCTAGAGTGGTCAGGGGAAAATCTTCAGAAGGAGCAACACTTCCAGCAAGACTTAAGGCTTAAAAAAGGCAGCCATGAAAACTTCTGGGATGTGCCGAGCACACACGACAGCAGATGCCTCACATGGGCATGATCTTGATGAGCTTGAGGCAGGAAAAAAGGCAATGTGGCTATGGTAAATGAGAGGGGAAAGTGAAGAGTCAAAAAGATAGGCAATGTTTTTGGGTGACAGAGGTGTCCTCTAAGAATCTATCTGGATATAAAGTTTCCATCTGAAAGTTAAACTCAGAACTTACGTTAAGAGATTATCTGTATATATGACTATATTCAGTTTCGGGAATAGCCAGAGTCTTTTAAGGCTGACTTGGACCTGATCACAGGAAGATAGGACTGGAAAGTAATTAGGATTTAGCAAACTGAAACATAATTCTACCGTCTGGAAAATGACCAATTGGGAGAATAGTCAGTGCAGTCCATGTCAACAGAACTTAAAGGGTAGGAAGTGGTTAGAATCTATCTGACCTCGACCAGGCTAGAGATGTGTCCAATCTAGCTGATATGGCCCAGTCACTGAAAAGTGCTGTCCTGTAGCACTGGGATAAGGTACCAGCTTCCCCAGAAATGGATCAACAAGCCACCCCTTGTCTGCTTTTATTCTACATTTACCAAGCAATCTACACATTCAGTTTCCCAGTAATCCAGAAACTGAGAATGAATACCCTGGTGAGGAGACAGGACTATACACTGGTCACTGCAAACGAAAATCTCCTACATAAAAACTAATATACTGACGTGTGGTTTACACATCGTCTACCATTGGTTTGCATGTGGATCAGTTACCCTGGGGCAATTACAAAACAGGTTTTAGTATTCATAAAGTTAATGGTTACTAGGCCCTGGACCATGAAGGATCTACTGAATTTTTTTTTTTTTTTTAGACATTTGAAAGAGAAAGAGCGAGTGAGCGAGTGAGTGCAAGAGCGCACGTGTACGCCAGCACACACAAGCAGGAGGGGTGGGGGAAGAGGGAGAGAGAATCTGAAGCAGACTCTGCACTGAGCACGGGGCCTGACACGGAGGTCAATCTCAAGACCCTGAGATCATGACCTGAGCTGAAACCGAGAGCCGGAGTACGCCACGCAGGCGCCCCAGTAATGCCATCTTTTGAGAGGCTAGCTGTATTCAGTTAATAATTGTTTTTCCATTGACAGAACTTTAATACAATTTTACCATGCTTACTCGGATTTGATGAATGGATTTGTATTTTTCTGGAACTGACAATTCTCCAACAGACTTAATAATAGCTACTGCTTTGTTATCATCTGAGGGATCAGAACTGGTGCTATAGGATCCATTTTCATCACTGTCCGGCATCTCTTCCTCCTCTTCACTGTAACTTTCATCAGAATTCTCATTTAAAGGAGATTCTGAACTTTCTTCTTTTTTAGGTTCATCTAATTGAAAAAGTTCTGAAAGCATGTAATTGGCTGAAGCAATAATCTTATAAAAAAAAAAAGAAATACATGTGATTGTCATCAAAACTGAGCATTCTAAAGTGGAATAAATTTTACTACTGTACTAACAAATTTTAGGAGGTCTGCAAACAGGCTGTTTCCACACTGTAATACACACAGAACTGTTCTCAAGTCAAGGTTATCAATACTGTGAAGGTTCTCCACAAAATCTTCATGGGTTATGTTTATTTCCTGCAATTACTCCATCCCCAGCCCTCTGTTCTTAAAAAAGGGTGGCAACTGGAAATAAAGAAAAGTTTTCACAGGGAGTGTCGTAACTAAAATATTAGCAAGACAACACTCTGTATTAACTGAGAAACCAGAATTTCTCTTTACAAGCTATTAATTAATAAGGGTTTGATAAGCAACTGATATTTATTATATGATCTTTGGTTCCAGGGAGGAAATCCCCCACTAGCTTAATGAAGGAAAAGTCCATCCTGGCATCTCTTAAAATTAGCATTTATATATTATTATTTATTCTACTTCATTATCTGTTGTTATTTTTGATCACATTCAACAGTTTCAACACCCTTTTCTAACTTTCACATAAACTATTCAATTTCCACTAAACACCACCACCTCAAGCGGCAATTAGATATTGAAGTCAGAAATTATTTTGCCATTTTTCTTCAAAAAGCGTTTTCTCTTGGTTTGGTCTCTAGAATAAACTTTTATATCCAACTAGATGTGGCTACAATTAAAATTAACTTGGATCTTTAAAAAAACATTGCATATGCTCCATGCCTTTCCTAATTTAAACGGAATACAACTAGCATTACACCAAAAAGGAGTTGTCAGATTCAGACAACTGAGGGTAAGGGTGGTGTAAAATTGCGGGGCACATGACTAAAAGATTATTTTAAGAGATGCTTTATACACTGAAGAAGCACAGAGTGTGAACCTTATTTATACAACAAAGTGATAACAAGGCCTGTTTGTGTAAATGGATCTTTTAAAAAATACTGTAAAATAGTTTTCCACCTTCTAGAAGTGCTAAGACAAAGGAAAAAAACAGCACCACTGTTAAAATGACATGAGTTCTAAAATTATAGAACAGTGTTATCCAACAGAAATGTAATGTCAGCCAGAAATTTAAATTTTAAATTTCTTGTGGCTAAATTATGAAAAGTAAAATATGGTGAAATTCATTTTAATATATTAGTTCAATAACACAAAATATTATCATTTCAACATGCAATATCTACACCCAACCTTCAAAATTCAATGTGTATTTTACACTTAAAGCACATCTCAATTCAAATTAAGCACATTGTAAGCACCCAACAGCCACAAGTGGTTACTGGCTACCATAATGGACAAGGCAGTTCAGACTATGAATTAAGAGGCTTTAAAGTCTAGGCAACAATCTTTCAGAATGCTAGAATATTTTTAAAGAGCATATAAATGTTAATCTTACTTGAGGATGTCTGCTTTTGTCCAACAATTTAACACAATTAAGAAGCAATGTTCTAATAGTCCCGTAGTGTTTCTTATTTTGATTCTTCTTCATCATCATGTTGCAAGCAACCCTAAAAAAATGTTTATATCAACTTTACACCCCATTCCTCATTCTCTGCAAGACCCAAGTACAAGCATGCTCTTCTCACCTTCCAATAAAATAAGGGATATAAGAAACAATACTGTATTTTAAAATATGGTATTTACTTCCCCCCCAAGTTGACTGTGGTACAGCCTATAAACATATGTACATACTTTGTTTCTTAAGCTACAAAAACCTAAAAGGTATTTAAAAGCTTTGGCCCGGATAGTGTGGCTGTGCACTTTAAAATTTTACATAAGGCTACTTCTTCACGCACTCACTTATATAAGAGAATAGCCACCGGCATTGTGAATGGATTTTGGTACTTGTCTTCAGTTTCTTCACAAAGAGTAGTGAGATCATAAAGCTTCACTATATCACTGCCACTTGCTGAAAAGGAAAACAAACCTTAGTTTACCAGGGTCACTCAAATCAATTATTATCGTTCATTCAAGAAGGAATTTACCTTTAAACAGCCAATAGGTATGTCCTTCTTTCGTACAGTTAGATTTTAGAAACGATAAAATATTCTGTGCAATGTCTTTTATGACTTTCGTAGAGAAGTTCGAGTTTTCCAAATTGGGAATCTCTTCGGTTTTTATCATTTCATACTTCTGTAAAACATAGACAGAACGCAGTTTCAGAGAAAACCCAGGCAGCAACCCTTCTCTTATTAAAAAGGAACCAAATATATAAATCCTGCAATCAGAGATCTATGCAGCCCCGAAGAGCTGAACCCACTGGTTTTCGATCTTTTTATTGCTCCAACATTCCAAAAGAATCCGACCCACCTGTTAGCAATGCTGTCGGCTTACCACAGGAACAAGTCTCAAGACAGAATCACCACCAATTCGGAACCACAAATTTAGGCATGATCCTGCTTCTGTTCTCACATGGAACAGCTTGCAGCATACACTTCCTTCCGTTCTCCCTGGTGGTTTTCACCTGGGAGGGTGGTAGATGAAGGCAGACTTCACCCAGCCTGCTTTTCCCCCAGACACTAGACTCACTCGGCAAGTCCCTCCGGTAGACACTACTCTTCCCTTGAGCTACGGACGGGGCTCCTTTACAGAAACAGAGACGGGGACTGGAGGCAGCAGCAAGAGTAGAGGCCACAGGGAAACCACTGCCACGACTTCTAAAGTACCTCCACATTTCTTTCTAGTCTTCTGTTCACACTTCCTTAAACGTCTCTGACCACATTTTCCGAAAACTCTAAGACAAGAAACTCCAAATCGATTGGAAAATAAGACCAAATAGCCTCCTCAGGTTGGTTTTCCTCCTCCTCGGTTCATCTAAAGCCCCACGTCATAATTCCTTCCTTAAAATCCTGGATTTTATACTGCACTCTTCAGGCCCCCCTCCCCTTTCACCCACACGGGGGAAGGCTCCAGAGTCTGAGCTGAATAGATTCCTGTGGTGATGACGTCCAACAGTATCCAGGGAGACGGACCTCAGGTTATTTCTCTAGCCCCGTCTACTCCAAGGCCTGTAACTTCAAACTGCTCATGGACATTTCAATGCTTTCCTCAAATGGAACACATGATGGAGACCGATCACCTTCCCTGCCTAAACCAGTTCAATGTCCCCACATCTCCGGCAGTGACACCGCCGTGACTCTAGACCCTGAGCCCTGGAATTCTCTGGAACCACCCCCTCCGGCCACAGCCTCTCATTAAATGCTGTTTAGGGTAATGGTACAACAGTGTTTCCCAACCAAGAATGCAGATCAGAATCATCTACAAAGCTTTCTTTTTTTCCTTTCTTTGACAGATACATAGATCCCACCTATCCTGATACACTAGGAAGCCAAGCAAACTGTCTTTTTAGAGACCACGAGTGATTCTGATAAACACTGAAGGTTCAGAATCACTGGGTTGGAATACAATGGTTAGAAGCATGGCCTCAGCGAGATCCAGGTTCAAATACAGGCACCACCACTTACTAGCAATGGGGCCCTGGGCGACTCACTTGAGCTCCCTGATCCTCAAGTTTCCCTCTTCATCAAAGGGAATACTGGTATTCCAGCAGCTAAGAAGATCAAGTAAGTAATGCATGTAAAGCACTTAGCAAAGTGGAACAAAACACTCAATAAATGCTAGCTCCTTCTTATCACTGTCAATTCTTAGTATTTTCTCTACAGTCTAAGTCCATCAAGTTACTTGCAAAAGTACAGCAAGGCCCTCCCCAGGCTTCTTGTCTCCGAGTCCCCCGTGCCTGTCCTACAAACCATCTCCAAACTAAGACTCCAACACAACGAATTTCACCTCCCAGATGCAAAGCCTTCACAGATTCCAGATTACCAATCGAACTAAGCCCACACTCAGTATTCTAGATTCTCCATTATTTGACTTCGGCTTTTCTAATCTATTTGCTATTTTGTTACATGAATCTTGTGTCCCTAGATGCATCTATTATCAATCCCTTCATTTACTTAACACTAGTCTTCTAACATTCATCTCTTATTTTTGGAGAGGCTACCATTCAAGATTCAGTGGAGAGACCACTTCTTCCAGAAGTCTCTTTCAAATCAAATCAGAAGTGATCTCACCTTCCCTGACCACCCAGACCTACATGGGTGTCCCGCCCTTCTAACAGATGGTCTCCTATCTTTCTCTTTGCACCCTGTTATTTCCCTTTAGCATTTTACCTTCCTCGGTAGTGACCAAACTTTACTCTTTGTTTTCCCTCAATACTTATAATGAGGATAAAGTGCCTCACAAAAAAAACAAGCTCAATAACAATACGCTATATAAACTATCGACTTTACGCATTATTGTTGTAAACTTCCCCTAAGACTCTGCATATACTGAGTAGATATTTGTATACCAAATGGATACCTCCACTGTACAGACACTTTTAGGTAATTAATTACTATGAACACCTAGCATTAAAATCGAGTTCTATGGCTACAAATGTGGGTTGCAGTATATTTATGAACTTCCCACAAATTACCTGTACAATTATACTCCTGTAACATCTAGAATTCTGATATTACCCAATCAAATGTGAAAACACTCAAATTTCAGTTTATTCACAACAATCTTCCTTGTTAAAAAGACAGCCTAGTATTTAAGGGCCTCAAAAACTTTGGTGAGGTACTCTGCACTGATTTACATTTGGGAGAAAATTAGAGAAGTCACACTGTACCTTACTTACCTGCACAATTCCATTTACGTGAAAACACATCACAAGTTCCGGTACGTTGCATATCAAGTTGTCCAACCAATAGTCAATTCCAGTTAGCACATTAATTGGTTTGTTGTTGTCCCTAAAAATACATATTTCTAGTGTTATGGAGTTTAAGATGTTCCATAATAAACCATCTGAGACTTATTTCCACCATTTAATCATTTTAATCTATTCTCCCCTAGGTGAAAAATGCCATATTAACTTTATTTCCTGATGAGATATGCACATGTAGCTCACGTGGTGCGTTCTTTACCATCTTTCCCTAAGTTCTGCTTGCGTTCCTAACTGGAATCCATACAAGTTTTCAGTAAGAGTAGAAGGAAATAGGATAGCAGATTACTGTGAGCCTACTGCATGCTCCTCATACAACCTGAGGTGAAATACTGACCACCACCAATAATAATGCCCACGCTGTAGCTCACGTTGGCTGATAGGAACACATACAGCTGGAGTACTAACAGAAGTGCTCACAATTAGTTAACAGGAAGCTGGTAAACCATCTCCTTAACTAATTAAATTCTATTATATTCTCACTCGTTGTGAATTCAGACATAAGATTAAGACGGTACAACAGATCTCTGACTCCATTCATTAAGGACCTGAATGCAAACCCAGCCCCAGGGCTTTCAGCATTTGCTGATAATAGCCCCGTCCTTACGGTGATTTCAGTGGGGGGGGAGGAGGAGGAGGGAGGTGAAAAACCCAGATAAAGGTGATGATTAACAGATTAAGTGAAAGCAGATAAAACACTCTAAAGAAATACCATTTTGGTTTACCTGAGACGTAGGCTGACTGCTGGATATCTGCCTCCTCCAAATATAGGCATGTTGGAGCCAACTAACATATGTATATCTTCAAACGTCCATAAGATATTCCGAACAAAATCATTTTTAAGACCCTTTGATTAAAAATAAAATAGGAGCGGTTATTATGTAATACACAGGAGATCCATAATTTCCCCCCATGATTCACAGAAATTCTAGAAAAAGGAAAGACGAAGACAAAGTAAATTAAAGTCAAAGAGCTATAAGATCACAGAGATGTTTAGAAAGTGATTTTCAGGATCAAGTGGACTTTTTTCCCTACAAATTCCAATTCAGACTAGCTTTTAAATGACAAAGTAGACTGGGGATCAGGTATCCCAATCTGGACACCACAGAAAGCATACCTGACTGTTCTCCCCGTCATTGAATAAAGTAGTCAGGTTTTGTTCTTTGGGTGCTGAGGCCACATGCCCCACTATGTATGAGGGTTCAAGAGGCTCACTTCCCTGTGAAAAGTGCAAGGATAAGGAGTGACTCTGCTGCCGTAATTTCTCATAAATGGACTACTTTTCAAGAGTATCCCCTAAACATTCAAAGTATAAACCTCAAATCTACTTTTGTGAATTTAGAGCTAATATGCAAATCATGAACTCATCAATGTGTGGCTTACTTCAGTTCTTAATTATCATAGTTACTCTAATAAGCTAATCACATTTAGATCATACTCAAAAAAGATTAAAGATTATTTTAAGCTTTCAAAGTTTTCATTTTTTTTCTCTTTTGGATAAATCTGAATACCACTGCTATTTCAGCCCACCCCATCTCTACTGAATTAAAAAAATTTCTAAGAAACCTCAGCCAGATTCTTTTTATTTTTCCTTTATTTTTAAAAAGATCTTGAAGTAATCTCTACATGCAACATGGGGCTCAAACTTTTAAACCCAAGATCAAGAGTCCCACTCTACTGACTGAGCCAGCCATCACCCCTCAGCCATATTATTCTTGAGACACTGGTCATCAGAGCAGCCCCGACGTTTGCCATTGTCTGACATGTGCTTCACAGAATACTAATCCCTGAGGTACTCAGTGAAGAACGTCCAGAGTAAGCTTTGAAACCCACTGTTCACTATAGACTTGCTTTTGGACAGTAACAATGCTTACTACATTAAAAAAGCCTCTAAAAGGTTCTGTAGTAGAAAAATCAACTTCCCCTCTGTAAAATCCAATGTTCTCAAACTTATTTAATCTTGGAACACGTTTTATTCTTAATACATTCTGTGGAATATATTCTAGAAAACACTTAAGGAAGGGGAACATTTGACAATGGGTAAACTCAATCCACCACTCAAATTTCCAACCATTAGGGACAGTTGTCTTAAGAAACGTTACTTTAAACCTTTAATCCCAAGATCGGTATGTGTATGTGCATGTGCACAGCTTATTCCATAAATTTCTTACTTCTCAACCTATGTGCATGCTAATAAGCTCAGCCCCTGCCTGTGAAGTGAGTACACTCGACTGCAAGTACGGTGGGGGTGGGGGAGAATCTCCAGTGCTTTTGCTCTGCCTTGTACTCTTCTTAAAGAGTCCCACTAGAACTTCAAGCTTTTTTATTTGTTTGCACAGACAAGTCATCAACCCGTGGACCAAATCCCCAAACTGTATTTGCGAGGTAGCAGCTTTAGTGGGAGTCTGGGCTCTGGGTTATAATGTTATCAATAAAAGTCTGGCTCCAAGGCCAACCACAGACACCTATTTGAACTCTAACACTGCTTAACACAGGCCTCAAACCAGCAAGGTTAGTTTTGGGAATAAGAATTCATGAGGTAGGGGCGCCTGGGTGGCTCAGTTGTTAAGCATTTGCCTTCAGCTTGGGTCATGATCCCAGGGTTCTGGGATCGAGCCCCATGTCGGGCTCCCTGCTCCACGGGAAACCTGCTTCTCCCTCTCCCACTCCCTCTGCTTGTGTTCCCTCTCTCGTTGTCTCTGTCAAAATAAATAAATAAAATCTTCTAAAAAAAAAGAATTCATGAGGTAATAGAGTACACAACAATCTCTAAATCTGAAATTTAGGCAGTATAATGTTACATAAAATATTCTGTCGAAGATGATTTTTTTTTTTTTTATGGCAGGCTAGCTCTGCTTAGGACCATGGCATTGCTGTGACAATCCTACTGCTTACACGGCCCTTCTAAACACGTGCGGACCACATGGATGCAGTGGAGTACTGCTGTCAGGACAGGTCTCTGAAGTCAGAAAGCTCAGGGTTTAAATCTTCAGATTTCACCAGCAGTGTGACCATGAACAAACATCTACTCTTTATGAACTTTAGTTTACTCACTTATAAAATGGTACCATCAACAGTGAATACATGTACAGCTCCAAGGATGAAAAAAATGTATACGTACGCACATACACATACACGGCTTAAAGTACATGGCATAAGAGGCATTAAATAGACGCCAGTTTACTTCCTCCACAAAGAAGTCTACAGATTCTCAAAAGCCTCCCTGATTTTTCACAATAAGCCCTAAACAAGGTAAGGACAAAATGATTAAGGCTGGGAGACGAGCAGAGAGGTGGTAGGAGATTCATACTTCTGTTATGTGGTCTTTTTGTAATGTGTGGGTTTTGAAGTCAAGGAATACTAAATGAATTTTTAAAAACTCCGTTAATGCAATATAATCACATACCGGAAAATGCATAAAATAAATCATACAGTAAAATGACTAATTACAAAGTAAATTATCCATGTAATCACTACCCAGGTCATGATACTGGTCCCTGCCAGCACCCAGCACCCATGCCCCTTCTCATTCGCACAACAACCCCCCTCCTGGAGTTTAGCACTATGTGAACCTGCAAATTACTTCTTTTTCTTTATAACTTTCCTAACTTTGGAAAAAATTTAAATTCATTACATAGCTTAATGAGCTTTCTCTATCTTAAAACCTACTAAAACTAAAATCAAGTTAAATGTATTTCCCTCCTATAACCCTGTAGTTTATGAGGATAGCAGCAATCTGGACAAATAATGTTCATATACGTGAGAACACATAGCAAGAGGAAAAACACAATTTACCAAAGATCTCATTTTTATCTTCTTCGACTTTGTCAATATGTTTTCCTAAAAACAGACATGCATAAATTTACATAGATGCAGTTACTTTACTCTTTGATAGACACAGCAAAGACAAAAACTAAACAAGGAATAAGAAAAAAACCCAAGAATGCAAGAGACAAAACAGACATACTACTCTCTCTTCCTTTCTAAAAGCTTTATAATATTAATGTGGGTTAAGTCTCAGGAACTTCACCCAGAAAAGCTTAAGGGCAATTTTAGGCTTAACAATCTAAAAATTAAGGTAAGAAGGTCAGTATTAAATTACAAACAGGCCTGTGAGTCTCAATATTTGATAAGCATTTACTGTAAGTCTAAAGCTTAAAATATTCTATATATCACTATATAATATTCTTACGACTTCAAGGAGATAATCGGTATTGATAAACATACTGGTAAGCTATTTTAAAAGCTAATAAAAATCTTTAAATATTTCGAATTAATTTTAAAAATCTAATCTAGCTATTCATAGTATTTTTTATAAATTCTATTTTGAAAAATTTTTTAAAGTAATTTTTTCAGTTAATTATAAGACATAAATTAGAGTATTTTTTACTCCTGTTCTATTTTTATTAACAAGATCATTGGTTTTGTCTTCTTAAATGAGTTTACTGAATTAACATCTAAGTACTAACTAACCTGACTGGAAGCACTGGGATCTTCAGAAACTGAAGAAGGCATTTCAAAGGGGGCGGGCCACGAAGCCCCGTCTGAATCATTTGTCTGATCTGAACTGGATGATTCCTGCTGTTCTGCAGCAGATGGGACGGGCTGAGCGGCTCCATCGCCATTGATACTGGCCAAATCAGAAATAAAAATATCACATTGTTACTAAAGTTAACTTTATGTGATAGTCTACCGGTTTTTAAAAGCTAAATTCCATAATCAACCATAAATCTTATTTAAAAAATAGAAGACATTGAAATGTCATCAATAGTTGCAAAATTTAAACTACTTTTACTAGCTTAAAATTAAATTTCAGAACAGAATTTCATTTTCCTTAAGATAAAAAATAATCAAGTAGCCAAGTACCTGTAATATAAAAACTTGGAAAGAATGGCCTTCTGATACCAGTGCTCTTTGCTCTTTTTCTTCCTCTGCCACTTCTGATCAATGAGTCTTTGATAAAATTCTTTCAGCCATGTCCAATCACCAGTCTGAGTAACAAAAGAAAATGATAAATACAACAAACCTGTAATCAAAACAATTTGTTACCCACTCCTCTTTTACAGAAAATATAAATACTATTTAATAAACACATATTCAAACACTATCTTTCTAGACTCAATCCTATCACCTCTTTTGGGAAATCTGTCTTCCTTTTCTCCCTGAGCCAGGCTAAGAGAAGTGGTTTTTCTTTCTACCACATTCCTTAGTACCTGGAATAAGTCCCAATATGCACACCATATTGAAATTATCTGGGTATGTTTATCATGCCAAAACTGTAAGCTGCCAGCAAAAAAAGACTGTGACTTACTCACTGTCACATCCCAAGAGCTTGACCAGTGGCAAGCATACATATACACTAAACCGCCAACAGTCCCCAGTCCGAGTACAGAAATGGAGAGTAAGCCTTGAGAAACTCAAAACGTTACTGTTACACTTTTCAAAAAGTATCCACCATCACATGGGAGGGTGGGGAACTCATTTACCAAAATAGTTTGAGAAGCTCTGCTTTAAGTGAACCAATTAATTCTAATAACTATGTATTCATAGGAATAATTTCTAACATTCTTCACATTTCCTGGCAGTTATGTTTCATGAGAATCTCTTTAATGGAGACATCAAAGGACTTTTCAAAAATTTTAACTATCCCCTTAGATTTCTGATTTTTCACAACTTTTTTCACTGGTTTCATCCTTTTCTTTGCAAGAATCCTGGCTGTTGGTTATAAATAAGTTTCTTCCCCGTTCACTCTGTTTTCTATTTTTTTGTTATTAAAACTTCTTTATATTCCACAAAACGTCTCATTTCTCAGTTGCCGACCTGCATTCCCCCTTCAGCCTTTCTTTGAAACAATACTGCTAGTGCCCTTAAGTTGTTAAAATAAGTGCTTTAATGGTTGTTTTTCCACAAAAAGTATCACCTGAGATGATCTCATGAAGAGTTCCTGAATATCTAACTCATCGAGTAAGAGAGTCCTTCCTATGCGGTGTACAGCCATGCTTACATGGGACTTGCTGTAGGGAATCTTCAGGAGCTTTTTTATGTTCTTTAAAAAATTAAGAGGAAAAATAGTTAAAAAAGACCTTTTTAGTGTGACTTGAACTCTTTCAAATTTTAACTTCATTCAATTTTAAAGCATAATAAACTTTATTTTCCTAAGGTTATACGTACTGTACAGAAATAGCTAAATACAAACACATGGAAGACAAAACTTTGAAACCAGGATCACCTACACTTTAGCTGTCATCCTATGTTAATGTAAATGGTGGGCAAAGATTTTTACACAATGGAATTTCCTAAAGTTAAGTGCGTACAGGTCACTTTTGCACTGACCTACACTTTTAGCATATCAGATAAAACTGACCAACTTAGAGGAGCAAAAGATTTTGCCATAGGTATCATTTCTAATTCTCAACTGGTAACATTATATAAATCATCCCACACATTTTAATGACTTATAATAACTGCTATTATTAAAACACAGCCATCAATATTAATTATTTACCACTGCCAGTGTTTTGGGTGTTGCTCCTTCCTTTTTGAAAGGAGATGTGGCACAGTGTTACTTTACTAACAGAAAGGGTATTCAATAATCAGTTGTATCTTATTTCATCAGCAATTTTTCAAGACTACAGAACAGAGCATGTTATAAATCCCTGACAAACACCCCAATTACATTCTCCAAAAAGGACACTTACTTCAGAGTCAGAGACAACGTCTACATCATTTCCCACAGAATCAATAAAGTCGTACGCCATACCAAAGCTAATGAAGGGAACAAAGGCCACAAAGGTCATGCTCATGATACAAGTAGAGTTTATAAGAGAATACACTATCCCATCACTTCCAGGATACCCATCTTCCACATTCTTACATCTTACATCTCTGCAATCAATATGCCTATCACCATTAGAATTAGTTTTTCCTTCTTCGTGGTACAAAGACTTCAATCAATCACATCTTAAATTTGATAAAATATAGTAATAATCATTAGAAGCAATTAATAGCAATTACTTTCTTTTTTGTAATTACAAATCCCCCAAAAAATCTCCAAGAGAAAGCAGTTCAAGATAGTATACTTTTTAGGTGACGAGATAAGAAAAATAGAAGCAGAAACACTCATCAGGATTTTAGTCTCTAGGGCTGTGTTGCTAGTGATACACAATACCACAATACCAAAAAAAAGAACATTGACCCCAATTCAGCCCAAAGGAGAAAAAAAAAATGTTGTGTCAGGTGCCACGTGAGGCACGTCTATAATCTCTAAGCCTGAAAAGCAGCTGATGTCACCATTTTTCAGTTAGTAAGTGGCAGAGGATCAGAACACTTACCTAGGACTGCCTCACTTCAAAGCATGCTCTGATGATTTACCATGCAGGCTAGGCAAGTTACTTAAGCTTCTAAGCCTCAGTTTTCCCATGTGAAAATTAGTTAACAGAACCTAACTCAAAGGGTTGTGAGAATCCAATGAGCTAAACATATAAAGTACTTAGCACAAGTTTGCGCATAGTCAATACAACTAAAATTTAAATCACTTCCTAATATTTGTGTTGACATATAATTAAGCCATTCTTCTAAAAGAAAATATTTGGACTATTTCCAACTTTTTGCTAGTATAAATAATGCTACAAACAACGTTTTGCAAATATAACTTTTACCTTTGGAGGCATTAGGATAATTTCTAAACTACTAAATCATTAGGTTTTAATATATTTATGGCTCTCGTTGGTTATGTGGACATATTTTAGGTTCAGTCACGGAGAGGGAAAGAAAAAGTATCCTACACATTAAGTAGTCTACAAGAATATGAATGTTAGTATATGTTTCTCTATAAGAATCCCAGGCCAGTCTCTCACACTTAAATACCACCAGCAGAATTTCCAGCAACTGTCTCAGCAAGTATCAAAGTCAAGGGTGTAGGTCACCCAACATGGTGGGTTTCTACATCAGGCTTTTTCAGATGAAGCCATCCACCACCATTTAATGAAAAACTCTACAGGGCAGATTACGTAGTGCTAAGGGTTCTCCTCCTCATGTGCCACCCTGATTCTTTGTATTCACATACTCAAAAGGTAGGTAGATTGGCTAAAAATAAAACAGCTGATTGAATTTAAGTGGTCAAAACTCAGCTTTGTTAATAACATGATGCAGACCGGAAAGAAGTACACGCAACTGATGTCTTCATTTTAGAATACAATCCTACTGGGGGGAAAAAGGACTTTGAAAGTCAAATACAACCTTTTTCTAAAGAGAAATCTCACCAAGGTGATAAGCATTACAAATTAAACCGAAAAAGCAAACATTAGAGTCTGGGGGCTGGCTGGGGGGGAGGGGGTTGTTGAGAGACAAGTAAAAATGCCACTGATTAATATTTACCTTGAAAATGGCTTGCTTTTCTTACTGTTGCCAAGAATGGTAGTTCCTGCTGGCCCTAGTTTGGCACTCTCTCGTAACCAGTTGGCAGGTGGGAGTTTCAAGTCTGTTTTCTCTTCAAGGCGTGCAAATGCTGTTCTAGGAGGGGCAGAAGAGTATTTCACCACAGCTCGGCTCTTCACTTCATTGCCTCCAAGAAATAAAGCTGATCCCTAATTAACACATTGAACAAAACTTTTAATAACACTACTAGGAATTAAATATCCCACCTTTATAAAAAAAAAAACAAAACAACAAACCACCACATCAGGCTTCACAAGAATATATGCTACACTTTTCTAATAGCAATAAATGCAAGCATACACTGTCGTATTTACTTAGCTCTTTTTCACATAATTTCAAAGAAAAACATGAGTCAAGAAGTACAATGTTTATAATTATCAGCTAAGACAGTGAACAAGCAAAAGCCAAGGACAGTCAGTAGAATCACATCAACAAAATGCAAAATTTGATAAAACCCCTGCTTGTTATTAAAGATGTATTATTTCAATTTCAGTAACATCATTCAGAAAGTCGTTTGTGGTAAGATATCTGGGACGTTTTTGTTTTTTAAGTAAACTCTACGCCAACGTGGGGCTTGAACTCACCACCAAGAGACCAAGAATCCTTCCTTCCACTAACTCCCGCTAGCCAGGCGCCCCTGGGGCTTGTTTTCAAGCAAACGTTTAGTAATTGATTCGTCGGTTCATTACACACTCTGAACCTTCACCTTCACAGGACGGCACTGCGGGTTCCTCACACTCTTCACTTGCACACCCCCAAGCAAGCTCAGTGTCCGAGTTCACTATCCTAACCTTTCACGCAGTCCATTTTCGGCCCAGGAAACACTATAAACCCTTCAAGGATTACCTCGATCCCATCTCCGTGAGCTCCCCGCTGACATCCTCTCTTTTCCCTCCAGCTTTGCACGACTGTGCCACATTTTGGAAACACATATTCACATGTGCGCTCCTCGACAGCCGAGATCGTGCCTAACTCGCCCGTCGGTTATAACCGAGGGGGAAGCCAAAAGTGCTTTTGGATACGAGTGACTTGGATGCAAATACCCGAATGCCTGACCACAGACACACGGGCTTCCACTCCGTTTGGGGGACTGTCCGGGAGACGCAAAGAAGGCATCAGCAGCCTCCGGGAACCGTAACATGCCTCCCCCGCGGAGCGGGCCCGCAGCCCCCGAAGCCCTGCAGGTCCCGCCCCAGGACGGACTCACCTGTGCAGAAGATTCCTCGGATTCTCCCTGGGACAGGAGGCTAAGCCCTCCTCGCGCAGCGGCCCCGGCCGGCGGAGACTCCGCTCCAGCCTCCTTGGAGTCCCCCATCACCTCCGCCCAGGGTAGGCGAGGCGGAACGGGATCCGAGGAGCCGCGACAGAAACCGGGCCCACTGGCGCGGCAGCACACCAAAGCAAGCGCCAGAGACGCCCCGCTCCCTGCGCTTCCGGTCTCTGACCGGAAGGAGTCGCGGTGACGCGCTCAAATCTCGCGATCTTTGTGCCAGAGGCCCGGTCCCGTCTTCCCCGGTGGAAGCCACCTTCGCGGCGGAGGCAGGAGGTGTAGTGCGCCTGCGCCTGTCGGAATCTCTTCAGGGGACCACGTCTCGCGGTAGCTGATTCCCAGGCTCCACCCCTTGCACGCCTCCAGCCTTTGTTGGCAAACAGTTCTGGCGACTAGGGCTCGGGGGTGTCAGTTTCCTCGGGGTTGTCGCAGCGCGGGCGGAGAGGTGCTGCAGTCCGTGTAACCAGCGGTTCCAGTGAGATAAAGTAGCGAGGTCTTAGTGCTCCTGCCTCCCCAGCCTTCAGTGCCCCCACCGGCTTACAGACGGGCTCACAGCCCCAGGAAGGCAGAGATCAGGTGCCCCGGTGCGCGCCCGGGCTCGGCGTCCTGCCCCCGCATCACAATGCGAGGTTGGGCCTGCGGCCCCGAGTGTTGGAGCGGCGGCCCTCCGCCTTTACCGAAGGACGCATTTCAAAGGCGGTCGCACTCCCACAGGGTTTTGCAAGGTGCCGCGTTTGCTTAGTGACTCGGGAAGCATCTGCGGAAAGCCTGCTACTTGTCAGGCCCTAGGGAGCTAGCAAAGGGCTTTCTGGGTGGTCCTGGGGCTTTCTCCAGCGTTAGTGTGCAGAGGAAACACCTGGAGATCTAGTTGACATGCAGATTCTGATTCTAGAGGCCTGGGATTCTGCATTTCTAACAGACTTCAAGGAGATGATGCCAGTGCTTTGAGTAGTAAGGAAGTGGAGAAACAGCCAGGGCCGTGTGAAGGCTTGGGAGATGCTAGGCTCTCTTCTGCTCAGACTCCTCATCTACTGTCTTATCAAGCCTAGTTAAATGCAGCCACATCCTTCATAAAAATTTGCTTTGTTTTGTGGTAAAACATTGGAAGGTTTTTGAAAAATTAACTTTGCCTTGCAGTATTTGGCTGTCTCAACTTGTAAGTTACATTTGGCCCTGATAACTCACTATGTGCATATTCACACGTCCTTGTGACATCCTTGTGACTGAGGAAGCTCAATTTACCAATTGTTTTCAAATGTAATGAAACATTCTTATGAATTATATTTAACAATGAATTATACTTAATAGTACATTTTGTAAACACTTCAACATATTGATTTTGCTTTTTATCATTTTTTGTTTGTATTTTGTAGTCCTTTTTTTGCAAGATAATACATTACTTACTGTAGTAAAAAATTGAGCACAATTTAAATTAGCTTTCGGAAGATGTTTAAGTCTTTTGGTATGTAATACCATTAACTTGTGCAGCTATTCTTCAGGAATGTTCAAGAACACTTCAATTGTACATATGATGTTAAATGATAAAATTTTAAAAAGCAAATATGCATTATTTTCCTCATTTTTAAAACGTATCTTTTTCTTGCCTCCATGTCCATAAAAACGTCTGAGTGGTGAGATGAAGTGATTTAAAATTCTTTAAAGTTTTTATTTTCCAATTTTTTCTGATTGTGCATTTTATCATAAAACATAATTTTTATTAAACATTTAAACATATATACTTTAGCTTCCAGTAATCTTTAAATTCTTTTGTTTTATTGTATAATTCTTTGTAAGAAGGGATTTTCTGAGATATCAGTAATTCTTTTATTCAGGACTCAAATATATTGCAGGCTTCTTGAGAAGTAGGTTCCCGAACCCTTGGTGATGTTACTAAGTGGGAAAATGTGCTGGAAATGCCCTTTGAAAAGGCAGAGAGGGGGTGCCTGGGTGGCTCAGTTGGTTAAGCGTCGGACTCTTGATTTTGGATCAGGTCGTGATCTCAGGGTTGTGAGATCAGGCCCCATGTAGGGCTCCTCATTCAGCATGGAGTCTGCTTGAGATTCTCTCTCTCCCTCTGCCCCTCCCCCCCACTCACCTTCTCCCTCTCTCTCTCTAATAAATATATATTTAAAAAAGAAGAAGAAGGGGTCACCGGGGTGGCTCAGTTGGTTAAGTGTCGACTCTTGATTTCAGCCCAGGTCATGATCTCAAGGTCCTGGAACGGAGTCCCACATCAGGCTCCTTACTCAGTGGGGAGCCTGCTTCTCCCTCTCCCTCTGCCTGCCGCTCCCCCTGCTTGTGCTCTCTCTCTCTCTCTGTCAAATAAATAAAATCTTTAAAAAAAAAAGAAAGAAAAAGAAAGAAGGAAAGAAAGAAAGAGGAATGAAACAGTCAAATTCAGCATAGAAAAAGAGGTCAGCTGCAGAAAGGGTGCTGGGAGCAGAGAGGGGCTTCAGGCTGGGGGTGGGGGGGACCAATGAGTCCCATCCCCTCAGGACAATTTGTGGCATGAAACCTGAGGGGAGACTGGATTCCTGAGGCCACTCCCAGGGCTAGAACCAGCAAGGTATAGGCAGCAATGGAGGAGGATTCCTGAGGGCAGGAGAAACTGGGCACATCTGAGTTACAGAAAGTTGATCCATTCTTCTAGCTAAATGCTTGTTAATTGCTTTCTTTTCTCTGTTCAAACACTTTTAAGTGCTGTGTGTGTGTGTGAGAGAGAGAGAGAGTTATTTTTTCTAATGTAAGTGATTGAAATTTAATGTTGTGGGTAACATGTATGATTACTTCCCGAATTTCACATTTTAAGAAGCTTATTTATGTTTCTTTTTGTATTGTATCAATGTCTGCCTTCTGCCTCCTTCCCTGTCCCCCAGCCAATCAGCACTCTCAGGTGTTTACCTGGCTCCCTAGCACCTGATGTTTTCACCACTTAGGAAATGTTTGTTGAATGAATGAACTGCTTACAGTTTTCTGCTTCAACAGGTTGTTCCAGAAGTCCGTATATGCTGGTGCTTTTCCTCTGCTTAGAATACCTTTCCCTTCCTCACCTAGCTTATTCCTCAAGACTCATCTCAGGTAGCATCCCTAAGTCTCTCCTGACACCTCCCCCTCCTTACCCCTTAGGGTCCCTTTTCTTGTTCCCAAAGCTTATATGTAGCTTTATCCTGCACTTGCCACTTTATAGAAAAATTACCTGTTTGTATTTGCCTCTCTTGCCACCTGTGAGCTCCTCAGGGGCTAGTGTCCCATCTGATCAACTGTTTTACCAACACCAGGCACAGCACCAGCCCATTGAACTGTTTCAGCCCTTAGGCAATGTAGGTAAAATAACTAGTATGACAGGCTTTTAAAATGCTTACCAAAGTGTTTGAGACATAAAAACAATGTTGTTGGCTCCAGTTTTTTTTAATCTGCAAAATCAAAGCTAAAAATGTATAATGAAGTATTTCCAAACTATTGCTGTCAGTCATTAATTATTAAAGTTAGTCTTCACAAACAGCTTGTTCCATTCTAAAACAATTTGTAGGTTAGACTGTATTTACAAATCTCATCTCCCAGCACACGTTATGATTTCAGAGAGATCCCAATCATAAATTTGCTTAGTCATAGCACACAGTATTTTCCAAAGCAAAATTAGAAATCTTGTCATAAATGTTTACAGTTCTGGGGCCACCTGGGTGGCTCAGTCAGTTAAGCATCTGCCTTTGGCTCAGGTCACGATCCCAGGGTCCTGGGATTGAGTTCCCGCATGGGGCTCCCTGCTCCTCCGGGAGTCTGCTTCTTCTGCTGCCCCTCCCCCCACTCATTCTCTCAATCTCTCTCTCTCTCTCTCAAATAAAGATATAAAATCTTTAAAAAAAAAATGTTACAGTTCTATGCAAGGAAGATGTGTCTAGCACCCTGGGAGTTCTGCCCGCAGAGCAGAAAACATGCAGGGACCGCTTAGAATAGGGCTTGTGCCTTGAGAAGTGCCACGGTCCCCTCCACGACCTAGTGTCTTACACCTACCCACCCTCAATGGTTTACTTTGCCTGTGGGACCTTGGAAGGCCCTGGTTTCTGATTCCTTGCCCTGGGCTTTTCGAGCTGGAAGAGAGATTTGAGATGATCTGAGCCAATCGCATCCCTCTGTATAGATTGAACAGTGATTTGAGATGATCTGAGCCAATCGCATCCCTCTGTATAGATTGAACAGTGATTTGAGATGATCTGAGCCAACCCCCTCCCTCTGTATAGATTGAACAGTGATTTGAGATGATCTGAGCCAATCGCATCCCTCTGTATAGATTGAACAGTGATTTGAGATGATCTGAGCCAACCCCCTCCCTCTGTATAGATTGAACAGTGATTTGAGTTGATCTGAGCCAACCCCCTCCCTCTGTGTAGATTGAACAGTGCCGTCCAGAAAGGAGGATAGAATTGACTTGTTGAACATCACACAAAACTAGTTTAACAGCAAAGGCAGGATGAGCCTCAGACTCCCACGCAGCCACTGGACCTTTAATTTGTCTCAGAATCACCTGAGGAACCTGTTAAGCCAGTAGATCCTCCAGCCATCTCCAGGTTCAAAATCAGTAGGGTAGTGCCGAGAATCTGCATTTTTAGCAAGGTTCCAGCATCTCTGACCACTGCGGCCGGTGACCAGAGTTTAGAACAGTGATCTCTATAGAACTCTGCCAGCTCTCAGGAAGAACTGGAACTTTCTTCTTCTTTTTAATCTGAAAAGTAAGGGCAAAATTAAGCCTTCCTAGTACTTAATATGCACATTGATGCAGGCATCCTTCCTTGGGCCATGCTCAGGTGGTGTATCAGGGAAGATTGACGTTTACAGCCAAAACAAATGATCCCCAAATGTAGTGACTGACGACTAGGGCCCCCAGGTGAAATTCAGGATGCTAGGTTACATTAGAATATCAGATAAACTGTGAACAAATTCTTAAGGGTAAGAACGTCCCAAATATTTAGTGGAAGTATATCCCAGGCAGAATTTGGGATATCCTTGCACTAGTCCACGTGATCTTTACTCTGTGAGGCCGACTGATGAGACCACCCCGAGCATTGCCTGTTAGAGTGGTACAACCAAGACAGGTACTACCTGTAAACCAGTCCCCAGAGCTTCTGGTCAGGAGTGACAAATATTGCTGCCACTCACCTTTTTTTTTTTTTTTGGCTAAAATGAGACACATGACCAAGTGTAACATTGGTACAGCAGGGAAGATGAATGCCCCCAACGAGGGGGCACTGGGTGTCTGGTGGCCATTCTGTAGTCTACGAGAGGATATGGTG